ATTTCGGGTAGGGTCCAGAACGCAAACTCTAGTTTCCAGATCGCTTTCGATGAAGCTCTGAAACTTTTTAGGCAATGTCCAGTGGTCTTTCTGACTACGTTAAACACAATTAGAAATCATAAAAAAGCGTGTCGGATAAAATAATAGCAACACTTTCAACCAAGTCTTCAGCAAAGGCCCCCTATGAAAACTTTTTCTTATTATTCCGCGTATTTCTTATTGTCTGTCTCTGTAATAGGGTGCAGTAAGGCACATAGAGAGCCCTTTACGCGCAACATGAGTAAACCGGATCACAGATGCCTCGGGTTATCCGCAAAGAGACAAAATTGCCAAAAATTATAGCTGTAGAGCAATGTGCGTAATTTTGTGACAGTCAACAATGGTAGCCCATTGTTTCACGAGGTAGTAGAGCAATAAAGCGGCTCTATTTTGCACCCAAGAAAGGGAGGAGTGGAAAGATGTTATGAGCTCTTTTTAGAATTGTACGGGATGATCCAACAGTTCACCAACGATTTTTTGAGAAAAGTAATTTAGTTCTATTATGTCGTACGGCAAAACAGTTGGCTATTGAGGGGTAGCTGAGTGTAAGGGATTGTCCTTAGTTTCTGCATATCATAGTTTTACACATAGAAATGCACCGGCAAAGCGGCGGTTGCAGTTATATTCAAACTTGGGGTGGTCCTGCAAAAGTCAAATTTTATGGCTATGTTTTGATTTAGTCCCCGGCGACTTTACGCATATTAAGAGCTACAGAAGAAGGCTTTTTAGCAGTGCCAAAACAATTTCCTGGTAGGCCTTATTAAACAAACCAGCCAAGGATTTGTAATTTTGGACCAAAGATGGGTAAATGTCTAAATTAAGTTCTCAGTTCGTAAATGCTTAAGATGGCTGAAGGTTGTACTGCTAGATAGGGATGCCTGTCCCCTACCGACACCATATATTTGTGTTTGTCTTTTTCCATCAGCGCAAGAAAAAATAGCAGCAGTAAAAAATCGTACGAACTTTCCGTCCAACCTAATAGTATCAGACAGCACTATGTAGTACTAGAGGTAAAATGAACATCATTTTCGAAATCAGCACCCTCGAAAACCCCTAAAGCAAGTTTTTCCCGAAGAGAATCAAGGAATTTTCATCCCGGGGTCGCTTTACCCCATTTTGGGTCGCAATCGATGCGGGGTCGCAATCGATGCGAGGTCGCAATCGAGCGGGGTCGCAATCGAAGGATTCCTGCGAAAATTGGGAGTTTTTGCACGGTGCGGCCATGCGGCGCACAGTGCATTCTGATGTTTTTTCGCACGGTGCGTGTTTTTCGGACTTTCGTCGCGCGATATTTCGGTTGCACAGTGCAAAATGGGATTTTTTGCACGGTGCAAAACATCAAATGCACCGTGCAAAATGCGGTTTTGTGCACGGTGCGGGTTTTTCGGACATTTGTCGCGCGATATTTCGGTTGCACAGTGCAAAGTGAAAAATCTGAAATGCACTGTGCAAAAACCCTGAAATGCACTGTGCAAAATCTCCAAACGCACGGTGCAAAATGTCGTTTTTTTTGCACAGTGCGGCGCAACAAAAAGTCGTCGCATTTTCGAAAAAACCGCACTGCAGAGGCGTGACTGTACTCCCCGCCTCCACCAGTCCCCATTCGGCCCCCCAAATTGCCGCTAATTACACTCTCTGTAATCGTGGACCCATCAGGGCTCGGACTGATTGTTCCGCGATTGTTTGGCCAATTTGCGGCCGCTCGCCCCGGCTTCAAGAGGCGTGTAAAGAGGAGGGCCGGGCGTACGGGCGGCGATGGGGAGAATAAGAAATGGGTGCGGTTCGCGGGAATATAAAGACTTCTCGAATATTTGTATAAACCCGCTTAGTCACCCCCGCTAAAGCTCGCCGAAAATCGGCTGCAAATGTGAAACCGATTTTTTTTTGATTTTTTGAGGAATTTCTACGAATTTTAGCAAAATTTGGATGACTTTTGAGGGTTTTCTAATATTTCTGCCTCAGGCAAAATTTTCGGATTTTGATGAAAATTGGGGAAAATTTAGATCAGAAGTCTCTTAAGACACGATCAGGATTTTTAGTTTTAGAATTACACGTATAATCGAGCTTTTTTGGACTGAATCAGGGGAAGTACTCCAAGCGCAACGCTCATATTTTCTTTAAATTCTGCACACACGTCGGGTGTGGACTAAATACCAATTCCTAAAAGTTTTAGCTCGCGCTTTGCGGGCGCCGCTGAGATAGCGAACGATTTTTGCCGCCGAGGGAGCAGGCTAAACGTGGAGAGCGGTCGGAGAAAAAAAAACGTTTTTTGGCCATAACTTTGGCAGTTTCGTGCGGAAATTTTTTTTTTTTGATTTTTTGTGGAAAGATTACCCGTTACTGTAGAAATAGGTAAGCAACGTTTCGTGCCGAAATTCGGCAAAAAGTCCTAAATTTTCGCCGACTTTCGACACAAAAATCTCGGTCGCTTCTGGAAATCGCGAGCTAGCGATCTCTCATATATCCTACGAAAAATCATTCTAAATTTGTCCCAAGTTTCATCAAAATCTGAGCTTCGCACTTGGAGTACTTTCCCTGTAAGATTAGAAAAAGTGGACATATTGCAAGCCTTCGAAAAGTCTCCGCCGAGCCTCCGCCGAGCATCCAGCGACCATCCAGCGACCTTGCCAGGCTTCGTAGGCACTTCCTACAACCCGTTTTTGGGTATTCCCCTACGCTCCGCATCGATCGATCGGCCCGAACTGTCGTGGACCCGAAAAGTCGGGACGCGACCATTTCACTTTTTTTTTACTTTCTCAAAAACAGACCGAGAAATGGCAGTTAAAATACCGGAAAACGTTCCTTATTTTGGCCACAACAAAGGTACTCCGCGAACTGCGCACAAGCTTGGGCACTAAAGTTAGGAAAAAACGCTTCGACCTAGCTGGCACTGAATTACTATAATAGCTCTGTAGTTTTAAGGGTACCCACGAAGGCTGTGACGACTCATTTATTCCCATACGGAGGCAATAAGTTTAGTTCCGGACATGTTTCATCGTATAAAGTGTAAAATCACAGGCTGCAGCCGTTTTTGAAGGGTGGTACGTAAAAAAGAAGGTACCTCACTAACTAAGTTCGCTGTCCGGGCATTGACAACGATGAATTGAGCGTGCACGCTAAATTTGGGCTAATTCCGACCAGTTTCCGCAAAGTTATAAGTTGTGCCCAAAATAACGAACTTTTACTGAAATCCCCGTTGAGGGCGTTAACATAAGCTACATTCTTTGCATAGAACAATTTCCTTGACGCTTTTTCAAGGTGAAATTTCAGAGCCTCGCACATGGAGTATTTCGATAGTTTCATATATTTCGAGACATTCGCAAAAATCTTGTCGAAATTCCCGAGGTTCAGCGAAGAAATGACGGGTTTTCGGTCACCCGAAGATTAGGCCTTACGCACTTCCGGTATTAATTTTGGTGGGGGGAAGAGATAAAATTGCCCGTCATCAAAGGTGGGCTGTGAAATGAGCGAGTACGAATTTTCTTCTGGAAAATTCTTTTGGGGAGATTTTAAAAGTTTTTTGAAAAATTTGGGGGTTTTGGAGACTGTAATGTTTTGTGGAAATTTATCCGTTTCGAAAAGAGATTAGAATTTCGAACAAGGATTTTTAGGGTAAAATATCTTTCAAAATTTTCTGGAATCTTCGACTCAGTTCTTTCATATGCCAATTTATGAAAATTCTAGCTTATGTCAACGCCCTCAACGGAGACTTCAATTGCCATTTCTCGGTCTGTTTTCGAGAAAGTCAAGTTTTTTTGTTCCTTCGGAAGAGCATAATATGACGAATATGAGTATGGTTTTCGGCACGCATTTTACTAACGAAATAGAGAAGATTATTTATATAATATAAAAAAAAGTTAACAAAACGCGGATTTTAACTAACAAAAAACGCGCCAATTAAACCGCCGGATACTTTTGCATCCGCTGCGGGGCGTAGGGGAATAAAAAAGGGTTGTAGGAACTGCCTACGAAATCTGGCAAGGTCGCTGGATGGTCGGCGGAGGCTCGGCGGAGACTTTTCGAAGGCTTGCAATACGTTCCCGTTTTCTAATCTTACAAGCGAAGTACTCCAAGTGCGACGCTCGGATTTTGATGAAGCTTGGCACAACTTTAGAATAATTTTTTCTAAGGTATATGTGAGAATCCTAGCTCGCGCTTTGCAGAAACAACCGAGATTTTTAGATCGAAAGTCGGCCAAAATTTAGGACTTTTTGCCGAATTTCGGCACGAAAAGTTTCATATCTATTCCTACCGTAGAGGATAATGTACAAAAAAATCAAATTTTTCCGCACGAAACTGCCAAAGTTATGGCCAAAAAACGTTTTTTTTCTCCGACCGCTCTCCACGTTTAGCCTGCTCCCTCGGCGGCAAAAATCGTTCGATATCTCGGCGGCGCCCGCAAAGCGCGAGCTAAAACTTCCAGGAATTGATACTTAGCCCATCGCCGACGTGTGTGCAAAATTTAAAGAAAATCTGAGCGTTGCACTTGGAGTACTTACCCTGTTGGCTATTACAAACCTTAGTTTTCTTTACCCTGAGTTAGTGTAACATATGTATAAAAGATGAAAGTTTGGGGGCAAGAAACGAAAATCCATAAGTCTTACCTCGATATTATTGTAGCAACACGTGTAAAATACCCCCCAAATAGATGATAGACTAGAACCCGATCAATCTCATTAGTTCTAATTGCTATGCCTTCTCATTATTTTCCCGACAAAAAATTAGAGTTTAGCCATCAATTCGTCGGGAAAATAATGTGGATTTGTCTCTCCGAGTTACGTCAGATTTTCGGGTTCTCCTTCCCTAATACGAATGTTTTCTGCACTTTTATGTATGCTTTGCATTTTGATCTTTCATAATCTTTGTGAACAACACCTTGTTTTGATCTTCGTCAGTCTATTCGCGAGTTTTCTTTGCCTCCTTTTGGTTCGAAAAAAATAAAATTTAAATTTCAGGTCAAGATGATAATAAACGAGCTCTCTGGAGCGAATGTGTGCGAGATTGAGCAGTAAGTTGTTCTTGGTTCACTGCATGGTTGTAAATTGAGGATATCAACAAAAAATCTTATCAGTCTGTCGGGAAAATAATGTGGATTTGTCGCGGAAAAAAGCCCATTTCAAGGCACACCAAATCCACATTGTTTTCCCGACAGACTGATGCGAGAAAAGAGGGGTGATGGAGAAAAGAGGGGTTAAAATCAGCAACACTTTTCATAGTTTTTTTTATTTTTGGACATTTTTTACGGCCCTAGGTCCTGGAATCGAGCCATTTAGAATTGCATCGAAAACCTTTGAATTTCAGGATCACCAAAGTTGCGAACGGCACCCGAATCTTCAGAATCAAACACTGCTGTCCCGGCTATCACACGGTGGATGGGAAGAGTTGTAAGTCATCCATTTTTTCGTACAATTTTCGATCTTATTCACAGGGGAAGTACTCCAGGTGCGACGCTCAGATTTTCTTTAAATTTTGCACACACGTCGGGTATGGACTAGATATCAATTCCTGAAAGTTTTAGCTCGCGCTTTGCGGGCACCGCCGAGATATCGACCGATTCTTGCCGCCGAGAGAGCAGGCTAAACGTGGAGAGAGGTCACAGAGAAAAACGCTTCTTTTCCATAACTTTGCCAGTCTTGCGGGAACAAAATTGGTTTTTTGTGGAAAAATTGTGCTAAGTATTGGGAAAAGACCGAAAATTTCTGAAATTGAAAATCGAAAAAAAAATTTTTTTTTTTTTTTATTTTTTTGTCGAAAAATCTCGATTATTTCCGCAAAATGAATGCTAAAAATAGAGAGCACGCTAAACGCAGAGGGCGGTCCGAGAGAAAAACGCTTTTTGGCCATAACTTTGGCAGTTTCATGCGGAAAAATTTGATTTTTTGTAGAAACATTACCCTCTATGGTAGGAATAGATATGAAACTTTTCGTGCCGAAATTCGGCAAAACTTCCAAAAATTTGGCCGACTTTCGATCTAAAAATCTCGGTTGTTTCTGCAAACCGCGAGCTAGGATTCTCGCATATATCTTAGAAAAAAATATTTTAAATTTGTGCCAAGTTTCATCAAAATCTTAGCGTCGCACTTGGGGTACTTCCCCTGTCAGTTTAAAAATGTGATTTTTTCTTAAAACTGTGATTTTTTTCAAATTTTTTGAGAGAATTCTCAAATATCGCAAATTTTTTTTTGCAGTTTTGTTGCTCGTCAAAACTACTAGGGAGGTCTTTGAACACAGTTCACGATTATTATTGCACAAAAATCGAGAGCTCTTGAACTTTGAGACTAAAATTCGTCATAAGTTTTTCTGAAAGCATAGGAGCAAACTTTGCTTGAAATTCTTACGTGAAATTTGATGATTTTTGAACGATGATTTTTCAAAAAAAACCCCCCAAAATGCACTGTGCATTGGCGATGGAAAAAAGTTCAAAATGCACTGTGCGAAACAGAAAAAATATGCATGAAAAATGCACTGTGCGTTGAGGGAAAAAGTGCGAAAAAATTGAAAATGCACTGTGCGGAAGGGAAAAAATGTCCATTTAACAAATTTTTTTAAAAAATTAATGTTTATTACAGGCTAGGAGCTCGGGATTTTTTGATAAAAAAAAATAACAAAAAAAAAATAAAATTTTTTTTTTTTTTGAAAAATTAATGTTTATTACAAACTAGGAGCACTATATTTCTGTCAAAAATAAATTTTTTCCCAATGAAATCCACAGAGTTATGAAATAAAAACGTTTTTTCTCTGACCTGTCTGACCCACTCTCCTCACTTTGCATGCTCTCTCGCAAAATGATGAAAATACTAATTTGATTAAAAATTAGAGTAGCGCAAAAAAATGATTTTTGCGACATGCACAGTGCGAAAACAAAAGTTCGCTTTGCACTGTGCAATTTCTCGCTTATTGCACAGTGGAATAGACTTTTTTGGGCTGTCGATCACACGGCTTTCTGCACAGTGCAAACGCCAAAAAATCACTCCAGCGACTTTACAAACTGACTCGTATCAGTTTGTCGGGAAAATAATGTGGATTTCATACGCCTTGAAATCGCTCATCATCACTTTCCGAGCGACGCGACGAAAAAAGTTGCCGCGACAAATCCACATTATTTTCCCGACAGACTGATACTACCACTACAGTCAACCTGCAGCTTTATTTTTTCTTTATTTATGCATAATTTGCCTCTTATTTTCACCTTAATTTACCCCATTTCATCGACGCAAATCCTTTTCCTTTCATCGAAAATCTTTTTCCCCAATTTTTCTTTCCCAATCCATCAAAACCTTGTCAAACGGAGGTTTTTTGTTTAAAACTCCGATGAGTTGTTTGTTACGGGTCTTGCAAAAAATCAAAAAAAATTGTTTTGTCAGACACAAAGTTTTCCCTTCCTTTTACAAATAATTGAGAGGAGCCGAACGATTTGCGATTTTTTTTCATCGCATGACACGGCTTGGGTTGTCGAGACTGAATGGGAAGTTTTTGTCATTTTGGATTGGGCTATATTTGAGGGATTAAATTGCGGTAAAACCCAAAGAAGACAGGTTATACGATGAAACATGTTTGGTCGAATAAAATGTCTCTGAATTACGGACTTTCAAGTGAACCAGAGCGAACTCTAATAAACCGTATATTAGTTCCTAAAATTTTTGATTCAATTTTTTCAGAGTTACGCGACATTTTATACGATAAAACATGTTTGGTCGTATAAAATGTCTCCGAGTTACGGACTTTAAAATAACCCAGGGATAGGCATAATGAATCGTATATTAGTCTCTTAAAATTTTAATACCTTTTAGAGCAAAGCGACCTTTTATACGATGAAACATGTTTCGTCGTATAAACTGTCTCCATAAAAAATTTTGTTGTACAAAATTTGTATTCCACATGCTAATTGGAGTTCTTGCTTACAATCTAAAAAAAATGAATTTTGGCGACATTTTATACGATGAAACATGTTTGGTCGTATAAAATGTCGTCGCATAAACAATGTTGAAAGGAAGCGGACAAATTGTGATGTATCACTTTTTATTCTCTAGAAATTTTAGCTTTCAATTTGATGCGGCAACTGAGATATTCAACTTCGAAAAAAATCAAATTTTTTTATTTAAAATTTTTTCTATAAAAAACCCCTTTTCCATATTGCCGGAAGCGTTTTAAATATATTCTCCGTTCCATGCGGACAGTTTAAAGTCACCTGAGGCCGTTAGGAAAGATTGATTTATAAGCCCGATAAGTCTCTCTCGTGCCTTTTCAAATTCTTTATTGTTTTGGTTTCGCTCAGCGTTTTTTGTGGCTGAAAGTAGAAGCTTGAAAGTCATTTTGAAGCCCACTTGCGGTCAAGGGGCCTGTTTCACGAACGCAAAATAAAGAAAATAGAAATATGAGTGAGCGAGGGAACAGAGGAAATGCATGCGAAACGGGAGAGACGGCAGGAAAATGAGGATTGCGCCAATTCTCAATCGGAGTGACTTTTTACGTCCAAAATTACGGGTTGGCGGTAGTATTTGAGCCATAACTTTCCTCTACTTGGGCCTACAAGCACCCTCCAAAAATTCAAATAATGCTGAGACTTCGGGCTATGTAGATCTATAAAAATTTTTGCTCTACCGCCAATGACAAAGTTTCCATAGGCGTTGTAGTGTTGAATTCTTCTACTTTATAACGCTAAAAGGCCTTTTTTCGCGTTAATTGAAACAGTAAAAAATTCTAATTTATGTCAGTCGATAGACAATTTAATTCTCTACAAAACATTTTTAGAGGGCCAACTGTAAGTAATTTTTTGGCTGAGTAATAACTGATTTACTTTGACAATCCCTCGATTTTCATCACAAAAAATCTTTCGAAAGAGCCCTCAAATCAAAACAAGAGAGAAGTTTTACGGTAAAAAATGGGATGCGGCTGGACTAAATCATCCATAACTTTATCAGTTGGTGAGATATAGACGCCCCTCTAAAAAAATGAGGTAGCCAAGACAATTTTCTTTACAATTATATAAAATTTTATACTAATATTTTATTATTTGGAACAAAAACCTATTTTTATTCTGAAAAAATGGAAAAATGTTGCAAACTGCTGCACTACTATAAATTTGTTCGTGCCGTAGATCGCCAAACATCCTAAAAAATTGCATTACTGTAAACCGCGGACTCAGGTCTACATGATTTTTTTTAAATGGTGTCGATCCGACAATTTTGGGCGATGTTATGAGGGAATTAAGCTAGAATTGCAAAAATTTTATAGAAAATAGAAATATGCTCATTCCTACTGCTATTTTCGAGCGAGTTTTTGCAACAATGCAACGAAACTTGCACACATGACAGTCCAAACAGTTAGCATTATTCGAAATTTTGAAGGGTGATTCTACGCCCATGGAGGGAAAAGTTATGACCGAAACACTGCCGCCAACCCTGATTTTGGACGTAAAAAGTCACTCCGATTGAGAAGTGGCGAAATCCTCATTTTTCTGCCGTCTCTCCCGTTTCACATGCATTTCCTTTGTTCCCTCGCTCACTCATATTTCTATTTTCTTTAGAAATATGAGTTTTTGCGTTCGTGAAACAGGCCCAAGGTTGTTGAGTTGAAGGTGGCTTCGGAATTTTTTTATTTTTTTTTGATTTTTTTTTATTTTTTTTGTATTTTTTATTGTCGTATTTGTCTGAGAAGCTGGCAAAAATTGTAGATTATGATTTTCCAAGACATCCCTGATTTTTTTAGCATTATTTTTACGGATATTTTCGAGATTCTTTGATAAAAAAAAAAAAAAAAAAAAATTTTTTAAACAATTAATGTTTATTACAATCTAGGAGCACTATATTTCCACCAAAAATAAATTTTTTCCCAATGAAATCCACAGAGTTATGAAATAAAAAACTTTTTTCTCTGACTTCTCTGACCCACTCTCCTCACTTTGCGTGCTCTCTCGCAAAAAGATTTCGCAATATCTCCGCTGCGGATATAAATTTTTAACTAAAATTTTCACTAATCAACACATGGATTATACAGAGTATTCCTGCAAAGTTTCAGGAAGATATGAGAGTTTTGATTTTTTTTGTTCTCCTTGGTCCCCCCTAACCATTTTTTCAAAAAAAAATTTTTTTTTGAAAATTTCGAAAAATTATTTCAAAATATCCTGGAAAGCTCCCGAAATTAGGCCCACGGAAACTCTCTAATTCGCGGGTGTGGGAACAACTCGTGCGCGATGAAGAAACGGAGCCCCATTGCAATTGTGCTTACTCATAACAGAGAGTGCCCGCAAATGGAGGGAAAAAGGGTTGGATGAGTCATTCATTCAGCTGAATGCGCGGCTTTCCAAGGCGGTTTTTCTCGATTTATTTTGAGGTCTAGCTACTTTTCTGGGCTTGGGAAACTTTTTTCGATTAAAAAAATTTTTTTTTATTTTTTAAAAAATTATCATTTTTTTTTTGGTTTTAGCGTCTTTGGGAGCCCAGAAAAAATATTAGAAATTATTTTTCGATTTTTTCATTTTTTAAAATTTCCAATTTTTTTCATTTCTTTATTAGATTTATTTTGGGGTCTAGCTACTTTTCTGGGCTTGGGAAACTTTTTTCGATTAAAAAAATTTTTTTGATTTTTTTTTTATTTTTTGAAAAATTATTTTTTTTTGGTTTTAGCGTCTTTGGGAGCCCAGAAAAAAATTAAAAATTATGTTTCGATTTTTTCATTTTTTTAAATTTTCCATTTTTTTCATTTTTTTTTATTTTTTTTTAAATTATTTTTTTTTGGTTTTAGCGTCTATGCAAGCCCAGAAAAAAAAATTAAAAAAAAAATTTTTTTCCTAAAAATTTTTTTTCCAATTCCCCCCAAAAAACCCGCATTTAACGACCAGACCGGAAATGGCGCTCATGTTAAGAGGATTATATAAATATTAATGTAATCGAATCCACTCTTCCATTTTTGAGCTGCTCGTAATTTCGCGGCTCATTTTTCACGCGCAAATTTCATTTTAATGGCTATAAACGGAAGGGGGATGATGACAAGCGCACAGTGCGCCCGTTTCACACCTTTTACTGGCAGTAAAAATGCAAAAAATCCCTATAAATGCAAATTTAGTGTAAAATAGTGCTTCTCCTATCAATATAAATATGTAAAACCTCTCCCCAATCTACATATCTTCTCGTCCGCCGTTTGTTTTTGTGGTATTCGAGACGGATTTAATTGATCGCGGAGCTTGTCGCCGGTGTCTTGGGCCCATTTATTTCCCCCCAGACTTCCTTGTCTCTCCCGTTCTGTGGACGTGACTTTGTTTTATAGGGAAACATGACTTCCCGGCCTCCCGATATATTCGATTTCCTTGGGAGAACAAGTCGGTTGAGAAGAATTACTTTGTTGTCAAAGAAAAGTCCAATGTTTTGACATTTTTTGCGATTTCGGAACGAAAAATCCCACAATCCAGTGCAAGTAAAACCTTTTTTTAACTTTTCGTGGCCAAAAATTTGCAGAGAAACAGCAAAAATTTTTTTTTTTCTCTGACCGTCTCTCCTTATTTTCCATAGTCTCTCGCCAGAAAAGACCCTCGAATATCTCCGCTATATCTGCAAAGCATGATCTAAAACTTTGGCGAATTGATATACATTCTATAAGGACTGACTCTGATTGTTTTAAAATCCTAAATTAAAAGACATTTTATACGATCATACATGTTTCATCGTATAAAATATCGCTTCAATCATAAAAATGTAGGGAAAATTTCTGATGGACAAATCTATGGTTGATTAAGGATGATTCTGATTTATTTGAAAGTCTGTAATCGTGAGACATTTTATACAATCAAACATGTTTCATCGTATAAAATGTCGCTTCAATCTAAAAAAATAAATTAAAATTTCTAGGGACTAATATCCGGTTCATTATTGCTGGCTCTGGTTCATTCTAAAACGTTTAATTCGGAGACATTTTATACGACCAAACATGTTTCATCGCATAAGATGTTTCCTTTGGTTTTACCGCAATTCAATCCCTCAGAAATGGCAAAATTGCAACTTATCCCCTAAAAGCCCAAAATGGGCAGCATTAGACATAGTATAATAGATTCTCATAGATTCACTTTGCAAAATTTTTTCAAAAAAAATCCGCCGATTTTTTCTTGGAGTTTGATTTTTTTTTTCCAAATTTCGAAGTCATCTTAAAATACGAAATTTTCAATACATTTTATACCCTAAAACACCCAAAGCACCGTTTCAAATTGGCTATTAGCACACTGTAAGCCGATATAAATCCGCATCAAGCTTCGATTTATCCGAGGGTGTAACCAATTCCTTTTCGCGCAACCCGTGTCTTTTTTCTTTTTTTATTGTTTCCAAAAATGTTTTTTCTCTCATTTCACGTGATCAAAGAGCCGGTGAAAACGAAATATTTTTCTTTACAGCGTAAAAAGAAGGGGCAATTACCGATCTATTTCGTAACTTTCGTGACTTTTCTGCTTTTTTGGACTATAATTTTTTCTAGCAATAATACATTTTTTACACTTTTTTATTGCGATCTGCAGCAAAACCGGGATTTTTATTCCGAAATTTGGTAGAAATATTAAAAAAAAAAAAAAAAAAAAAAAAAAATTTTTTACGAATTTTGTCAAGAAAAGTTTCATACTTATTTCTACTGTAGAGGGTAATATTTTTGCAAAAAATCAATTTTTTTCCGCATGAAACTGGCAGAGATACGGCCAAAAATCATTTTTCCCCAGCTGCGCCCGAGCCTTTCAATTGGGTTGCGTTTACGGCTAGCGCTAGAGACAAGTGTGGGCAAAAGTTCAAAATGCACTGTGCGAAAGGGAGAAAATGTCCATGCACTTTATGAAAATACTAATATGCCAAAACGTCTTGACATGTTTGCAAAAATTTTGAGAAATTTTTAGATAGTCAGTTAGGTTGATTTTTTTTATTTTTCAGCCTAAAATTTCGATATTTTAGGCTGGAATATCCCTTGAAAAATTTACAAGGGAAGTACTCCAAGTGCGACGCTCAGATTTTCATTAAATTTTGCACACACGTCGGCTATGGGCTAAATATCAATTCCTCAAAGTTTTAGCTCACGCTTTGCCGGCGCCGCCGAGATATCGAACGATTTTTGCCGCCGAGGGAGCACGCTAAACGTGGAGAGCGGTCAGAGAGAAAAGCGTTTTTTGGCCATAACTTTGGCAGTTTCGCGCGGAAAATTTTGATTTTTTGTAGAAGCATTAACCTTTACGGTTGAAATCGGCAGGAAACTTTTGGTGCCGAAATCCGACAAAAAGTCCTAAATTTTCGCCGACTTTCGATCTAAAAATCTCGGTTGTTTCTGCAAAGCGCGAGCTAGGATTTTCGCATATATCTTTGAAAAAATTATTCTAAATTTGTGCCAAGTTTCATCAAAATCTTAGCGTCGCACTTGGAGTACTTCCCCTGTAAGCCAAAATGTCTTGAGATGTCTGCAAAAACTTTGAGAAATTTTTAGATAGTCAGTTTGGTTGATTTTTTAAAAATTTTCAGTCTAAAATTTCGATATTTTAGGCTGGAATATCCCTTGAAAAATTTAGTCTCAACTTATGAAAAAAAAAATTTTCTCATTTTTTTACTATTTTAATTTGCCCCTAATACTAGCTTGATGTCTAAATCAATATCTTTCTAAATAAAAATTTCCGGTTGCTTCCTCTTCAAAAATTCCGAAAGACCCGCAGAACTAGTAAATATTGACTTGATCTTCCCCGTCTGTCTTAATACCATCCTGGAGCAATGTTTGGGAGAAGCCGCATAAACAAGCGGCGGAATGGCTTCGCTTGCCTTTTGCAGCGGATATCCGCGAGTTATTTCCGTGCCCAAAAGTCTTTCGGGGCCGGATTATTGGGATTACTTTCAAGGAATTCGTCGGCCCTAATTCCCTTAATTTTTGATATTGAAACCGCCAAATTTCGTATACATTTAATTAGCGTAATTTCTGAATATTCAAATTTTAAAATATCTAAAAATAATTTACTATTTTTATAATCAAATTTTTTGAATTTTTAAGGCATTTTTTTTCCTGAATTTTTTATTTTTAATAAGTCTTTGCAGACGAGAAAGCAGGCAAAATGCGGAGAGCGGTTACAGAAAAAAAAACACTTTTTGGTCCTATCTTCGCCCGTTTTGCGCGGAAAAAATTGATTTTTTGTGGAAACACTATACTCTACAGTAGAAATATTCATGAAACTTTTCATGCCAAAATTCGCAAAAAATTTTCAAAATTTCCCCAACTTTCAGCCTAAAAATCTCAATTGTTTCTGCAAAATTTGAGGTAAAAAATTCAGATATGTCTTGAAAAAGATTGTTCTAAATTTGCCCCAAGTTTCATTAAAATACAACCCTCGCCACGCTTGCAATCGCACGGTCCCACCTTACCCCAACCAAGGGAAAAAGTTTCTAGAACAAAAAGTCTTCTTCCCGAATAGAGACGTCGTAAAACAAGAAACTTATAATTTTTTGCATACATTATAAAGATTAGATATTTTAAAATGCAAAAAAAAATTTTTATGTAATTTTTTGAATTTTGTTCAAAATTTCAAAAATTAAAAAAAAACCCAAAAAACTTCATTTTAATTTTTTTCAGCTGCCTCAGGCATTTTTAAATACCAAAACATTATTATTTTTTCTAAATAATTTTTTTTTTCAAAATTTCAAAAAAATTAAAAAATTTTTTTTTCCCTATAACCTTTTTTACCCCCTAATTAAACTGTTTCTACTGTTTTCCAGAAAAGCAACGTCTCCTTTTGTTATTATTTACCGTTTTTCGAGCTTTCGAAACAATTTTGTTTTCGGCACAAATGTCTCTCCAAAGTATATTTGGGAACGGAAAAGGGGAGGAAGTCTCTATAAAGTTGTTTGATTGAATATAGAAATCCCCGCTTTGTCACGTTACTTTATTGTTTTACGACGTCTCCATTCGGGAAGAAGACTTTTTGTTCTAGAAACTTTTTCCCTTGGTTAGGGTAAGGTGGGGCCATTCGATTGCAGGCGTTGCAAGGGTTGTATTTTAATGAAACTTGGGGCAAATTTAGAACAATCTTTTCAAAAGACATATCGGAAATTTCTAGCTCAAATTTTGCAGAAAAAATTGAGATTTTCAGGTCGAAAGTTGGGGAAATTTTGAAATTTTTTGCGAATTTTGGCATGAAGTTTCATACTTGTTTCTACCGTAGAGTGTAATGTTTCCACAAAAAATCAATTTTTTCCGCGCGAAACTGGCAAAGATATGGCCAAAAAGTGTTTTTTTTTGTAACCGCTCTCCGCGTTTTGCCTGCTCTCTCGTCCACAAGGAGCGTGGAACGCTAATTTTTACAGATTTAGCTTCTTACCCAGTAGAAAAAATTATTTTTTTCCGCGCAAAACTGTCCAAAATATGACCCAAAATTTTTTTTCTCTGACCGCTCTCCCCTCTTCGCGCTCTCTCTAGAAAAATCAGTTTTTCTGCTGCAAAAAACGAACTCAAATCGTTTTTGTTGGACTCTGCGTGACTAGTGATTGGGAAGTGTGGAATCTTTCCAGAATCTGGCTGCGAAAGCCCCCCATTGTTTATTGTTTATACCTCCTCTTCCTTATAATAGTATATATTGGACGGAACACGTTGCGGGACCAAAAAAACTTTCTATTCTGGGACCTATCAGCGGGGAAATTGCTACTTTATTGGCCGTTTGGGCGCATCTCTGACTTGTTTTGTCAGCCTGTCGGGAAAATAATGTGGATTTGTCGCTGCAAATCTCCAGTCGCGGCAAGTGGTCGCAAAGCAATGATGGGCGATTTTAAGGTCCGAAATCCACATTATTTTTCCGACAGACTGTTACCAGTCCGTTCGCAAAGTCGCTGGAATGATTTATGCTACTTGCACTGCGCAAGAAAAGTCACAGGGCGAGCGACAGCCCTAAAAAGCGTATTGCACGGTGCAAAAAGCAACAAATCGCACAGTACAAAGTAAACTTATGTTTTTCGGCGACATGCTCTATTGGAAAACGAAAGTTTACTTTGTACTGGGCAATCTCTTGCTTCTGGCAGTGCAATAAGCTTTTTTGGGTTGTCGTTCGCATTCTGACTTTTCTTGCACAGTGCATGTCGCAGAAATCACTCCAGCGACTTTACAAACGGACTGGCATCAGTCTGTCGGGAAAATAATGTGGATTTTGGACGCCTTAGAATCGCCCGTCAGCGCTTTGCGACCACTAGCCGCGACTGCAGATTTGCTGCGACAAATCCACATTATTTTCCCGAGAGACTGATACTACTAGTAGTATACATACTCCGATCATTGTTTTTTTTTATTTTTCGAGCGTCTGCCATCATCACGTTTAATTTTTTCTTTGAAAATCATCACGATCACAAAGAAAAATACCTTGCTCTTTACTGATAAGCTATCATCATAATATTCGCTTTTTCATCCGTTTACTAATCAACACAACTTTTACAGGCAGAATGGACTTCCTGAACCCGTTCAGCGACTCGGAACAATTCAGTGTGGCCCTGATTTTCCTTTGCCTTTTCTTCCTGGTCGTCTCCATGTTGTCTATGTGCATTGCCTACAGATATTACTACCGTTATCGGCTCGGGAGGAATGCGAAAAAACAGGGGTGAGGCTTTTTTTTGAAAACCTTTGGGTAGTTTCTTAGCTCGAGGGAAGCGTTCGAAGTGCGACGGATCAGATTTTCTTCATATTTTGCACATACGTTGGGCATAGGACGCATATCAATTCCCGAAAATTTTAGCCCGCGTTTTGCAAAGGCAGCCGGGATATTAAACAATCTTTGTGGCCGAGAGAGTAGGGGAAATGCGGAGAGCGGCCAGAGAGAAAAACGTTTTTTTGGGCATATCTCTGCCAAGTTCGCGGAGAAAAGAAGATTTTTTGTGGAAACGTTGCCCTCTGCGGTAGAAACAAGGCTGAAATTTTTATGCAGACTTATTTATACCGTAGAGGGCAACGTTTCCTCAAAAAATCTTCTTTTCTCCGCGAACTTGGCAGAGATATGGTCAAAAAGCGTTTTCCTCTCTGTCCGCTCTCCGGTTGCGCCTGCTCTCTCGGCCGCAAAGATTGTTGAATATCTCGGATGTCTTTGCAAAGCGCGGGCTAAAATTTTCGGGAATTGATATGCGCCCTATTCCCAACGTATGCGCAAAATTTAAAGCAGATCAGCGGGCTAAAATTTTCGGGAATTGATATGCGCCCTATTCCCAACGTATGCGCAAAATTTAAAGCAGATCTGATCCGTCGCACTTCCCCTGTTTAAAATTAAAATTGAAGCAAAATTGCATTTTTTCTATTGTTCATTTCCAGAATTCTCACAATGGAAGACATGGATCTTCGAGATGAAGAAGCGTTTATTGTTGGGAAGTTCGGGACTCCCCCATTGGAAGAGGCACCTTACAAGCCGATCGTCTTGAAGGCGTAAAATCGTCTCTTTATGCCCTCCTCAAATTAATTTCGCTCAATTTTTTGATTGACAATTTTAGTTTAGAACATAATAATCGTCTTTTCATGAAGTTCATGGGCATCTGCACTCTTTCGCACAGTGCTTTTTGAACTTTTTCCCACGCTTGTCGCCACTGCACAGTGCATTTTTCTCTTCACGCACAGTGCAAACCACAAAAAAACATTACTGTGCCGATTGCACAGTGCAAATTTTTCAGCAAATCCGCGACAACGCAGTGGAAAAAAGCCCATGTCGCGGCAATATTTCCGATGCACGGTGCGAAACCAAAAAGTGGAACGCACCGTGCAAAACGTGGGTTTTTTGTGCACAGTGCAGACCGCGACAAATGTCCATGCACTTTATGAAAATACCATAATTTCTGACATGTATTTTCATAAAGTGCATGGACATTCTGACGCGGTCCGCACCGTGCACAAAAACTCCCATTTTGCACAGTGCATTTCACTGTTTCGGTTTTCGCACTGTGCGTCGAAACATCGCCGCGACGGAGGCTTTTTCCAACTGCGTTGTCGCGGGTTTGCTGAAGAATTTGCATCTTGAAATCGGCTTTTTTGTGGGATGCAATGTGCGCAAAAGTAAAAATGCACCGTGCATTAGCGGCAAGCGTAGTAAAAAGTCCAAAATGCACTGTGCGAAGGCGAAGAAATGCCCATGCACTTTATGAAAGTAAATAGTTTCCCCATCCAAAGTGTCTTCAGCGTCTCTAGATTCTATTTTTCGAAGCTGATTTTAGTCCGAGCTTCTTCAACTCCCAAAAATCCCATTTTCTCTTCCATAACCCTATTGTAATATAATATATTTGTCCATTCAGCAGTTATATCACTCGTTGGCCGAAGATTTGCAAAATTTCTTCGGTTCTCAACGTCTCAACGCATCTCAAGGTTTGTTTGTGTAAATCTCACTTTACTAATCAATAACAAATTCGACTAAATACTATTATATTCTACAGTAAGTAAATATTTACATGTTGTATTTGTGTGATAAATAAATACTTCCCGATCCGAAGGGACGGCATTTACAAGGTTGGAGGTTGGGATGGGCGAGATTATGGTCGATTCTGATGCATTTGTTGATCTGAATTGCAAGGATATTGTACTTGATAAGAAAATTTTTGAACTCAAAAAATTATAGATACCCATTGGCCAAACTCATAAAAAAAAAAGAAAAAACAAGTGCGTACGGACAGCTAACAGTCTCTGTGTTGAGCTATGACAATATGGGACCCAATGAAATGGCAAAAATTGAGATTTTAGAGCGGAGGTGTATAGAAATTTGAAATTTAAGCCCCCTCTTGTCATAGCTTTCCTTTGGCTAACTTTTACCCACCTTTCAACATGCTTAGCGATCTCTCAGTAAAGCCAAGATCCTCAATAAGCAATTTTCTCTCTTCCCTTCTAACTATTGTAAGCAATATTTCTATCTTAGTCCCCCTTTCCACTACTTTTTCAAAAAATCTTCTACATCCTCTCATATAATCTCCAGTCTTTACTACAAATCACCTAAATACCTGCTTTATTCCTACTTCTCCCACCCTATTTTCTCCTAGGTCTCCTCTCACCCTATTTTTCCCAAATTCAATTCTCTGATTCCCCCATCTTCTGAGCCATTCTCCACTCCTTCACAAGTCCATTCGCAAAGTCGCTGGAGTGATTTCTGCGACATTCACTGTGCAAGAAAGGTCAGAGTTCGAGCGACAGCCGAAAAAAGCATATTGCACAGTGCAAAATGCCAGAAATTGCATAATGCAAAGTAAACTTAAGTTTTCCTTTTCCAACAGCGCATGTCGCCGAAAAAACAAAAGTTTACTTTACGCTGTGCAATTTCTTTCTTTTTGCACCGTGCAATATGCTTTTTTTGAGTTGTCGCTCGCCTTTGACTTTTCTTGCGCAGTAAATGTCGCTGAAATCACTCCAGCGACTTTGCGAATGGACTATTGAAGGAGTGGAGAATAGTTCAGAAGAACGCGTTTTTTCGGCGACATGCACCGTAGGAAAAGGAAAACTAAAGTTTACTTTGGATTATGCAATTTCTTGCATTTTGCACTGTGCAATATGCTTTTTTCGGCTGTCGCTCGAACTCTGACCTTTCTTGCACAGTGAATGTCGCAGAAATCACTCCAGCGACTTTGCGAATGGACTTGTGAAGGAGTGGAGAATGGCTCAGAAGATGGGAAAATCAGAGAATTGAATTTGGTAAAAATAGGGTAAGAGGAGACCAAGATGAAAATATGGTGGGAAAAGTTGAAATAAAACGGATTTTAAGCTGATTTGTAGCAAAGATAGAGATATTATATGAGAGAAATCGTTGCAGCCACTTTACGGAAGGACTATTACACGTCAAAGAAAAAGTGAAAAAACAAGGAATCTCGGATCATCGATTTTTGACGAAGTGTCGCTGAATTATCGAGTCACAAAAGAAAACTTTCCCAGAGAAAAAGTTTTTTTCGAGAAGAATGCTTTTCAAAGTAAGAAAAAAAAAATAATAATTCTATCTCGGCAATTCTGTGGCACTTCGCAAAAAATCAATGATCCGAGATTCCTTGTTTTTTCAATTTTCTGAATGAATTTTTTTGACGTGTGTTAGCCCTCTTTGCCCATTTCCCTCAATTCTGCACCTACTTCTCTGGCGTCGCAGGATCGCATCCTGCAATTGATGTTTCGTTTCGCTCTGCATTCCGGGCCCTTGTTGCATCTGTCCGGCAGAGGGCATGGTCTGCGGGCCCGGTGGGGGTGGGTTCTGTTGGGGCATGCGTTGCGGTTGTTGTGGGTTCATGCGCATCTGCTGCATTTGCCACTGTTGTTGTTGGGTGTATTGTTGGTGTTGTTGGAGCATTTGTTGTTGGGCGTGGTGGGTGGGCGGGGCGTGCGGGAAGTTGGCGGTGGTGGGGTGTTGGGGCTGGTCGGGCGCCAGGTCCATGAGGTTGGTTTTGGATTTGCGCTTGGTTCCGCGCTGCGTGGGCGTGGTGGTTTTGCGGCCGCGGCCGCCGCGCCCCGACGACGGCGTGGGCGGGGTGTCTTGGGAGGGGGTGCCGGCGCCCATGCCCATGGGCATGCGGCCCGCCATCCCGATGGGGTTCTGCATGCCCATGGGCATTTGGGGCTGCTGTGAGCGGAAGTCCTGGCCCGGCATGTTCGAGGGCTGGCCCAGTGGGGTGGGCATGGGGACGGTGCCCTGGACCTGGCCCATCATGTTGCCGCCGGCCATTTGATGGCCCATCGGAGGCCCGCCCGGCATTTGGCCACCCATTTGCGGCCCTCCGGGCATTTGATTCCCGATTTGCCCTCCGGGCATGTTGCCCATTTGGTTTGGGCCGGGCATGTTGCCGATCTGCGCGCCGGGAATTTGACCGCCCATCTGCGCGCCGGACATTTGATTGGACATCGGGTTTCCGAGTTGTCCGGGCATCTGTTGGCCCATATGGTTCTGAATCATCGACGAATTGGGCGGAGGCATTTGTTGCGGCGGTGGTTGATGGAACGAGGCGGAAGGATGGGGGTGTTGAGCTTGGCCCATGGGTTGGCCGTACTGTTGTTGTTGCATTGGGTTGGGAATGGGCTCATCTGGGTCGTGCTCGACTTCGGGCAGCTGGAAGTGGGAGAATAAATGAATAAATTAGGAATGGAAATCGGCCGGTAGGACTGGTCAAACTGCCCGGTCAGATCGGTCATTTTCCATCGAAAGCCCTCAATTTTTTTAGAGCCGGACTTTTCAATTGTCCAATCTGACGAGTGAACTTTCTCTTACAGATTGGCCATATTAGACCGTCAGATTGATCATAGAACGCGGGACAAGATCCAGTGTTCAAAAGCGCCTTTCATTGCATCAATCACGCATTCCTATCGCCAAATACCTCCCTCTCTCTTTTTCGGTCAGAGAGGAAGGCATTTGGCGGTACTCGGAATGCTTCCTTGATGCAATGAAAGGCGCTTTTGAATACTGGATCCTGTCCTGCATTGCATAATCAATCTGACTGACCAATATGGCCAATCTGAAGGGGAAAGTTCGCCTGTTAGATTGGACAATTGAAAAGTCCTGCTCTAAAAAGATGAGAGCTTTGATTTGATGGAGAATAACCGACCATTATCGGGCAAAATTCCCATTTTTCAAACGCGACTTTTCAATTTGACCGGGCATCTTGGTCACCTTTGCATTTTGCACTATCAAATTGGTCAACTTACCCGGTCGGGCAAAAACGAAATAAAAAAATCAAAATCCCTTCAAAACTTTTCTGACAAGGGTCTGAACTTCCCCCGGCGTTGGGAAAATGACTAGTACAGGTGGATAGAGAGAGCAGGTCAACTTTGGTAAAAAGAGCGGCCGGGCGTATTCCGCAGCTGGAAAATGGCTCTTTTTGCCAAAGTTGTCCTGCTCTATCCACCTGTACTAGTCATTTTCCAAAACGCTGGGGGGAGTTCAGACCCTTGTCAGAAAAGTTTTGAAAGGATTGTGGTTTTTTTTCCGTTTTTGCCCGACAAGTTGACCAATTTGACAGTGCAAATTGGCAATACGACCAATGTGGTCGGTCAAATTGAAAAGTCGGGTTTTAAAAATGAGAATTTAGCCCGATCAAGTCGATCATTTTCCATCAAATCATAGCTCTCATCTTTTTAGAGCAGGACTTTTCAATTTTCCAATCTGACAGCTGAACTTTCCCGTTCAGACCATTCCCTTGTGAGGGTATTTCTTTCCAAGCCTCCTACCTGCAAGAACACATCGTTCTGCTGGCGGTCCATCTTGCATCCCCAAATGCCGGGCATTTTGTAGTCTTTAAAATGGGTGTGTTGGAGCAACTGTACAATACTTTTTTGTGCCATTTGTGGGAATCGGTCTATGCGCGTGGCGGTTGTCGGGTAAGCAAACTCGGCCACGGGAATGCGATTATTCTTATTTTCGGGGCTTCCTTTGGTCTTCTGTTGGTTCTGATATCCGAACAAGTCCCAGGCCGAGTTGTCGGCCAATTTTCGGCGCTGAATTGGGAGGAGTTGTTGCAGGCAGTGTAGATCCGGGGGAATGGGGCGTTCGCCGAGTTCTTTGCGGATCTTCTTCACCACCGTGTTGTAGGTGGGGGATCTGCATCTTAGGGCTTCATTTCGGCGGTCCGCGTCCTGCGTGGTGGCCAGGGTCGAATGTACGAGCATGGAGAGCATGTCAAAGGTGGAATCAAAGTGCTCCTTGTCCTTTTCCGGTGTGATAATGTTGTAGTAGAGGAGCTGGAAGAGGACGAGGGCCCAGAGGTCGACCGAGGACTGTTTTAACGTGTCGAACATGCCGCCAAGTAAATTTAAGCGCAGTAGGAGGTCCGTTCGCTCTTCCGTGATGAAGCTATGGGAGTGGGGGATGGTCGAGTCCTCCTTGACGCGATTCACAAGTTCCTGGAGTTGTTTTAGCAGCGCTGCGGCCAGCCCATCGCCTTGTTGTTCCTCGCCTTCGAGGCAGGCGAGGACAAGGTTCACGAATGGGGGCTGGTTCAGGAAATACGTGGATTTTTGGGTTTTCGCTTCCTCGCGCTTCGAATTCTCTAACCTAGTGGCCGTGTCCTTCAGGAACTTCCCCTTCACGCTGCAGTTCACAAAGTTCGCGGGCATGTTCTCCGGCTGCGGGCAGCGTTTGATCAGCGGCGCGATCAGCCAGTAGCAGTTCAGGTGCGACAATTTCAGGTCCGGCAGCGGCGGAGGCTCCAACAAATGGGGCTGGTCCATCTGGAACTTGCCGAACAGCTCGCCGCAGCACCGCGCAATCTCGTTGTTCAGGATGTCGGCCTGAACGGCGGCTTGATTCGCGTGTTTCGACTGCGGCTCGGGGTTGTTCTCTTTGATCATTTGGCGCAGGTCGAAGAACGTGGCGTTGAAATTCCACAGGTTCATGGTGGTCAACAGCTTCTCCAGGAGGGATTTGCGCGAGTTCGCCTTGCAGATGATGAGTTCGTTTTTGATTTTTCGTTCGGCTCGACGGCGCAGGGCTAGTCGGAGGAGATGTTGGCCCTGAAAATTCGGGAATAAGCGGTAATTTAGGCAAAAAAAATTTTTTTTTGTAAATGCCCGGTCAAGTTGAACAACATGACCGGTGAAATTAATGTGGTCAAATTCAAAAATTAAATCCAAAAGTTTGAATTTTCGATTTTCTTGACCGGTCAAGATGACTAATTTTCCCAATCTGACCGGTCAAATAAATGTGGTCAAATTCAAAAATCATGCCCAAAAATCGGAATATACAGTTTTCTCGACCGGTCAACATGACCAATCTGCCCATTATGACCGGTCAAATTAATGTGGTCAAATTCAAGACTCGAGCCCAAAAAATGGACTTTTCGATTTTTTGAGCGGTCAACATTCCAAATATGCCCATTATGACCGGTCAACTTAAAAAAACAAGTCCAAAAAAACGGAATTTTGATTTTTTTGACGGGTCAATATGACCAATCTGCCCATTTTTACCGGTCAAATTAAAAAAACAAGCCAAAAATTTTTAATGTTCGACCTTTCATGTCCGGTTAACATGGCCAATCTGCCCAATCTGACAGGTAAAATTTATGTGGTAAAATTCAAAAATCAAGTCCAAAAATCAGAATATACGACTTTCTCGACCGGTCAAGATTACCAATCTGCCCACTCTGACCGGTCAAACTTTGCGGGCAACTTAAAAAAACAAGTCCAAAAAAATGGAATTTTGGTTTTTTGACGGGTCAATATGACCAATCTGCCCATTTTTGACCGGTCAACATGACAATCTTCCCATTATGACCAGTCAAATTTAAGTCGGCAAATTCAAAAACCAAGCCCAAAAATTTTCATTTCCGATTTTTTCGACTGGTCAAGATGACCAATCTGTCCAATCTGCCCAATCTACCCAATTACATTCCCCTCCACTCACCACCGAGTTATCCTTCAGCTTCTGGCAACTAAATAATTCGTCCTTCTTTTGTTTTTGGTCCGTTTCCGTTGCCAGATCATTCTCGCATATCCAAAACATTCGCTTGGCCACCCACTCCTCTTCGCACATCGCCAGCAGCGAGCATTTCACAATGGCGGTGAGGAGTGGTCGATTGTTGCGGTCTTTTTTCACATTCTCGTTCAAGAGGGCGACTGCCGACAGGAGGGGGAAGATTATTTTGTCCATTTCGTTGATCTGGAGCATGCGGAGGGCGCGGATTTGGCCGAGCGGCTTCTGGACGCGCGATTCCTCGGCTTTGAGTTGGAATGGGCGGTCCGAGGCGGTGACTAGGCCCGTCAAAATCCGCAGCGTCAAGCAGAGACCGTTCACGTTCTGCGCGACTGAAGACGGGAAATTAGGGGAAAATAAAGCAAGATTAAAAATTTAGAGACCAAAAAGGCATGGTAAAGTTAAAAAAATCAATTTTCTTTTTCATTTTGCAAGTCTAATCGACCATTTTTTCGGTAAAATACGCCGTCGGAAAACATCATTTTTGTGATATTAATAAGGCTTTTTATAGGCCTAATTTTCTTTAAAAATCGTATTTTAGCCGAAAAAAGTCTTCTACAAACATTTTAAAGGCCATTTTTGGTCAAAAATAACAAAAATTTCTATTTTTTCGCGCGAAAAATCAAAATTTAAAGTAAATCCTTGCATGAAAAATCGTAATAAATGCAAAGGGAAATCTTTCAGAAATTTTCCGACCTTACTTTAGACATCAAAAAAATTCCAAAAAAATTTTTTTTTCAAAAAAAAAAATAATAAAATTACCACCCAAACACCGCAATAAGTCTTCACAAAAGGTCCAAAAACCCTTTTCCCACAACATTTCTCCCCAAATTTCCCCCAAAAACCCCAAAAAATCGAAAACTCACTAGTTCTCGGCGAGTCATCATGAACAGTCGGGATGACCACATTGTAGATCAAAGTGTGGATCAAAACATGGACACTGAAGCAGTATCTGGCAGCCAGCAAAAGAATAAAAACGGACAATGAATAATGGACAGAGGGGTCATCAATATTGACTCCGATTTCTTTGATGAACATTTTCTTCGACTGCGATGGATTGCAGAGTTCGGAAATGCAGTTGTACAGGGTTGAGGCGATGTGTTTTTGAGCGGCGACATGCGAGCAGAAATTGGCGAGCTCGGTGAGTCTGAAAATCGAAATAAAAATCTCCCAGAAAAGAAAAAACATGCTTGAAAATCCCAAAAAAAATCGCTTTTTGGTGTAAAAAACACCCAAAATGGGAGTAAAGCGACCCCGTGGTGAAAAATTTTTGATTTTTTTGGGAAAAACTTGGTTCAGGGGTTTTCGAGGGTGGTGATTTCGAAAATCGTGTTCATTTTTTCTGAACTTTACTAGCTTTCCTTAAGTAGTGGTGTTAAAAAGTAATTTTTTGAAATTTTTCCAAAAATACTGGATTTAGGGGTTTTCGAGGGTGGCGATTTCGAAAATCGTGTATATTTTTCTGAACTTTACTAGCTCGCGGCCTGGGTCGTGACCTAGGCCGGTGGTTGCTGAAAAAACCCCGGAAATCGACTCAATCCTTGATTATGATGGTCAAGACTCATTATTAAGTCAGGTCGGGAACTAGTCGGCTTCATAAAAAATGAACACGATTTTCGAAATCAGCACCCTCGAAAATCCCTAAATCCAGTATTTTTGGAAAAATTCCAAAAAGTTACTTTTTAACACTACTACTTAAGGAACACTAGTAAAGCTCAGAAAAAATGAACACGATTTTCGAAATCAGCGCCCTCGAAAACCCCTAAATCCAGTATTTTTGGAAAAATTTTAAAAAATTACTTTTAACACTACTACTTAAGGAAAACTAGTAAACTTCAAAAAAAATGAACATGATTTTCGAAATTAGCGCCCTCGAAAACCCCTACACCAAGTTTTTCGCGAAAAAAATCAAAAAATTTTCTTTTGCACCGTGCATTCATCTTTCTCTCTTTTTGCACAGTGCAAACTTTTTTTGTTGGTCTGCACTGTACGAAAAAAGAAAACAGAAAACTGCACCGTGCGTTGGCAACAAGCGTGGGAAAAGTTCAAAACGCCTCAAAATGCTCCACCAAATTCTTCCCAACCTACTTTTCCATGTCATTTTTTAATTCCATGGCTTTTTTGAACACATTGCACACAAAACTGTATCTGCTGTGGTCGTCTTCCACGCTGGGCAAGTGAAGTTTGTACAATTCGTAATCAAAGACGCGTTTCACTCCATCCAGCATGTCCATCCACAATTCGGGGTTGTATTTGAGGGTCTCCGGTGTGGATCGGGGGATGTCTTCGTAGAAATTTCGGCGGAAATCTTGCTTTAGGCCGTGCAATTGATGGCTTGAAACCAAGCCGGCATCGATTAAAATGGTTCGAGCGTTCCAAATGAACTGAATTACCGACCGAGACCAGCCGGTTTGAGGGTAGCCCTGGCCGCGGATCGCTTGATCAAAGGTTTTGGAGAGGCTGGAAAGACGAAAATACTAGTAATTTCCGTAATATTACCACTTTTTTGATAAAAAAATCAATATTTCGCAATGCCGGGCAATTTATGACCCTTCTGCCGTGCCGGAAAAGACCAATATTTTGCAGTATTAGAAAATTTTATAACCCTTATGCTATTCTCGATTGATTACAGTCAAGAAAAAGCTCGAAAACGATCAAAAATACGTCGAATTCTTAGAAAGGTCGATGCGAAGCCTTTTGAAGCCAAATTCAAAAAAACTCAAGGATCACTTTTTGACTATTTTGTCGAATGAAAAAGCATTGGCACTGACTGCAAAACTTATTTTTTACTCATAGTGGACTTTAAACCTCCGAGTAAAATGCAGTTTTTTATCGATGAAAAGACCAAAATGACCCCGAATTCGATGCGAAAAATGTAAAAGAGAACCAAAAAGGCGGCTGAATAACAGTGTCGGACCTGATCCAGTGGCAAAAAAACGTACCATTTTGCATCCGGGAAGTATCAAAAATGTGGCGAAATGCTTCCCTCTCCAAGTGAAAAAACTCCGATTTCAAAAACGCGACTTCAAAACGGAGTTTTTTTAGTTGGAGAGGGAAACATTTTACTACATTTTTTGATACTTCCCGGATGCAAAATGGCACACTTCTTGCCACTGGATCATTTCCGTCACTGTAGAAGAGAGCAACAACGGTTTCTTGAGGACCTTTGCGGTTCGAAAAATGTCTCCAAAGGTCTCAGCATCTGCTCTATTCCTATTATTCTGCTTTCTCAACTGAATAGAGCAGATGCTGAGACCTTTTGAGGCATTTTTCGAACCGTAAGAGCCCTCAAAAACCCCGCTATATCTCTTCTAATTCAACCGTCTTTTTGGTTCCCTTTTACATCTTTCGCATCAAATTCGGGGTCATTTCGATTTTTCCATGGATAAAAACCGTATTTTACTCTGAATTAAAGTCCACTACGACCAAAAAATAAGTTTTTCAGTCAGTTTCAATGATTTTTCATTCGACAAAATGGTCAAAAAGTGATCCTTGAGGTCTGAATTTGACTTCAAAAAGCTTCACATCGACCTCTCTAAGATTTCGATGTCTTTTTGATCGTTTTCGAGCTTTTTCTTGGCTGTAATCAATCCAGGATAGCACAAAGATCATAAAATTTCCCAATACTGCAAAATATTGGTCTTTTCCGGCTTCAATCTCCGATTACAACTCAAATTTTTACCTCAAAACCACTTCAGGAGCTCCTTTTGAGCAAAAAAAGTAGTCCGAATGTGCGGCCAGATACGAACACAGAACATAAGCCATTTGGGAAGCGATGAATCCGGGCATGTAATCCGATTCAAATGTGTCGATATAGTTCTCCACATCATGTAGGACGGGAATTAACTAAAAAACGTGGATTTTTACTTGGAAAAAGGCGGAAATCACCCAAAAATTACATTTTTTGGGATTTTTAGACCTAAAAATCAGTTTTTATTTTCAATTTTTTCACTTTTTCATCCACTACAATATAAAATTTTGGCTCTTTTCCTTACAAAAAACATAAAATATCAAATTTTCCCCTACTACAATATAAATTTTCACTTTTTTTACCTACTACAATATGAATTTTTGGCTCCTTTCCCTGCAAAAACGTAAAATATCCCATTTTTCACCTACTACAATATAAATTTCTTCCATTTCCCACCTACTACAATATAAATTTTCACTTTTTTACCTACTATAACATAATTTTTTGCCTCTTTTGCCCATTAAAGCATCAAATATCACTTTTTTGACCTATTACAATACAAATTTCTTCCATTTCCCACCTACTACTATACAGATTTTCACTTGTTTTACCTACTACAATATAAATTTTTGCCTCTTTTCCCTGCAAAAACATAAAGTATCACATTTTCCCTCTATTACGATATAAATTTCCTCCATTTCTCACCTACTACAATATAAATTTCCACTTTTTTTACCTACCACAATAAAAATTTTTGGCCCCTTTCGCTGCCAAAACATAAAATATCACATTTTTCACCTAGTACAATATAAATTTCTTCCATTTCCCACCTACTACAATATAAATTTTCACTTTTTTTACCTACTACAATATAAATTTTTGCCTCTTTTGCCCACTAAAGCATCAAACATCACATTTTTCCCCTACTACAATATAAATTTCTTCCATTTCCCACCTACTACAATATAAAAATTCTCATTTTTCCCCTCCTAAACTATAAATTCCCACCTCCTGAGCCAAATCCACGATGCCCGAGATATATTTACAGTCCTCCATCATCAAACAAATCACATCTAGGCCCTCCGCAGTAGGTATGTGGACCGTTTTTTGGTCCAAAAACTCATAAATCGCGTTCATGAAGGAGTCCACGCATTTCCCGACGACCACCAGTTGGTCGTTGTAGGTCAACTGCCGGAATTCCGAGGTCTCGTCGCCGCCTTTGGCCCTGGTTTTGAGGCCGAATTCCATGGAGCCGGCCTTGAATTGGTAGCAATTTTTCTTTTGCCAGATTTTCGAAATCTCGGCCGAGATTTGGTTCAGCTGATTTTTGGCCGAATCCCACTCCGCGGAGGCGCCGTAGACGAAGCAGAGGCGTTGGTTTCGGCATTCTCGGTTCTCTTCGGTCTAAAAAATTGAAAAAATTTCTAAAAAAATTTAAAAAACCAAAAATTTCGTTAAAAAATAAAAAAAAATAAAAAAAGAATGAAAAAAATAAAAAAAAAAAAATAAAAAAATTGAATTTCTCGTATTTTAAAAATAAAAAAAAATAAAAAAAAACCAAAAATTTCGTTAAAAAAAATTCAAAAAATAAAAAAAATTAAAAAAAATTAAAAAATTAAAAAAAAATAAAAAAAAAATAGAATTTCTCGTATTTTAAAAATAAAAAAAAAAAAAAAAAAAAACCAAAAATTTCGTTAAAAAAATTTCAAAATATAAAAAAAATTAAAAAAAATAAAAAAATTAAAAAAAAATAAAAAAAAAATAGAATTTCTCGTATTTTAAAAATAAAAAAATTCAGAAAAAACCAAAAATTTCGTTAAAAAATTTTAAAAAAATTAAAAAAATGAAAAAAAATAAAAAAAAAATGAAAAAATTGAATTTCTAGTATTTTAAAAATAAAAAAAAATTAAAAAAAAACCAAACACTTCGTTAAAAAAATTTAAAAAAATAATAAAATTGACAAAAATAAAAAAAAAATAGAATTTCTCGTATCATAAAAATAAAAAAAAAATCAAAAATAAATTTTTTTTACCTGTTCAATCGGGAGCTGCAGTAAGAACCGTTCATGGACCGTCAAGCCAGGTGGATTATCCAGGTATAAATGCTCGTCCTGGACGATTGCGGGGTCCGGCAACAGCCAAGCCAGCTCTTCTTTCTTTTCGTCCGAGTCCAACGAGTCTTCCGAGGAGGATCTGCGCTCTTTCCATGGGCTGAAAAGAAAAAGTTCGTTAAAAAAACCAAAAAAATTTTTTAATTTCAAAAAAAAAGTATTACAAAAAAAGCAAAAAAATCGAATAAAATAAATAGAAAATGCCAAAAATCATTTAAAAACTCATCCTTATAATAAAAAAATTTAAAAAAATCCAAAAAATATAAAAAAAATAAAATTAAAGAACTTGAAAAATGCAAAAAATCATTTTAAAAAGTCATCCGATATTATAAAAAAGTTTTTTTAATTAAAAAATCCGAAAAAATTTCAAAAAAACATTTTTTTTTAAATCGCTTCCAAATCCCCTAAAAACCACTTGCCTATCGCATTTCGGTTTCTGAAGAACAGGCATCGGCGAATTATCGACCGGTGGAATAAATGAAATTACTCCGCCAACAGGTTCTGCATGCTTCACTGGAGTGGAAGAGTCCTGCCGTTCCAGATCATCGATTGATTTCGTGGGTGAAAACGAGGACCCGGGGTTCAATTCGACAATTTTTTGGACTATCGGGGAATTCAGAAGGCCGCAACGGAGAAGACCTGAAAAAAATCAAAAAAGTTTAATTTTTCATTTTAAATTGCTACCGATTGCGAGTGAAATGTGAACAGCATCAGCCTAAACTTTCAGTTATTCTATGGTCGATTACACATTTACTTGATTTCGTTCGGAGGTATTTTATACGATCAAAAATGTTTCATCATATAACATGTCACCTGAAGTCGCTGTTTAAAAAATAATGTGTGAAACGCACGTGCTAAACCTTCACAGCTTCTTTTATAGCTCATTACAAATATAAAACTCAATAATTTTAATTATCGACATTTTATACGATCAAACACGTTTCATCGTATAACATGTCACCTGAAGTCGCTGTTTAAAAATTAAAATGTGCCGAAAGCAGTGCTAAAATCTTCACAGTTTCTTTCAGAGCCCATTAAAAGTATACAATTCAATAATTTTATCTGGTGACATTTTATACGACTAAACATGTTTCATCGTATAACATCTCTCCGAAGGTTGCTATTTCAAAATAAATGTGTGGAAAGCAAAGACAAAGTATTTAGGAGTTCCCAGGCCTATTTTTCACCGAAAAATTTTGAAAAAAATCTGAACTCATTTTTTGCCTTGGTCCCCCCTTACCATAATTTATGTACTCCTCGGATAAAAAATTTTTTTTTGCTTTCAAATCCCAAAACGACTTCAAAGCCCTCCTCAAAGCTCCACATCTCACACTGCAAAAAAACCGTTTCCCCAAACTCACTTCTAACATACGAATCATGACAAAAAAGGCCGAATCTTTGGAGCTCCATGAACAAGTGAATCATGTTCCCATACTCCTTGCGGTAGTTCGGCTGGTCGATTTGTGGGGCGTCATGCGTGATGTAGTCGATCAGCAAGTCTTGGAGTTTGAATCCGCAAAACGGTGAGAAATTTTTCGTCTCGCTTAGGGCCACTCGGAGGGCCAGCAATTTGGCGACGACCAGGGCGCGATACGTGCCTTCGCGTTCGCTGATGATGGCCCATTGGAGGCAGCACTTGATGCGGAACACCATTTCCATTTGGTTCTAAATTTCGAAGGGAAAAAATTTTAAAATTTTTCACTTACTTCAGCATCCACCGAGCCGGAAAAACTCTCGTTGAAGACGGTCTTGTACAAATTGGAAAATGAATTCTTGGCCGTCGCTTCGAACATGTCTAATGCCGACACCACGCTGATGCAGAGGTTGACGATTCGGTCTGAAAATTCGGGGGAATTTGAGGTTATATTCACCATGACCACCAAAGCAAAAAATTGGATTTTTTCGTTGAAAAATCTAAAAAATCCGTCATCTCAATAACCCAAAAAATTTTAAAAATAATACAAATCATCCTAAAATATTGTTTCAAGAAAAAATTCACAAAAAATTTTTTGCCAATATTACCTAAAATAATATAAAATTTTCAATTTTTCATCAAAAAATCTAAAAATTCCGTCTAAATTATATCGAAAATTCCATTTTATTGGTCTAAACAAGCTAAAAAATCTTTTGAAAACATCAAATTTCACTTAAAATCTCTCATTTTCACCTAAAGTAATATAAAATTTTCAATTTTTTCTTCTGAAAATCTAAAAATTTGTCTTCTTCAACTCCAAAGTAAGCTTCCAACGTCCCAAATCACCTCAAAATCCCTTCTAAATCATCCAATTCACCTTTCAATTCATCATGACTACCTAAAGTAATATAAAATTTTCAATTTTTCCTCTTAAAATCCAAAAAATCTTGCTTTCTAATACTCCAATCTTCTTGAAAATCCCAAAAATCATATAAAAATTTTAAAAATTCCACCTAAAACCCATCCTCAACCTTAAACCATCAATTTCTACCTAAAACAATATAAAAAGGCAAAATTTCAACAAATTTCCTCAAAACTCCCCCAAAAAATCGCATTTCAAATGCTCAAAAATCCCTTACAAAATCCCTTTTGGCTTCCCGACTCTCTGGCCCACTTATTTTCCACATTCTGGCTCCTGGATCGGATCTCATGAAGGCGTCGTTTCAAGATCTCCTTGGCCCTCGGAATGGACGGGAAATAACAGTCCAGGAGGAACTGTTCCACTCGTGAGAACTTGTCCAACGGCGAGCCGGCCAGTTGGTCCGGTGTGCCGCTCTTCACGTCCGATGGGTTCCAAACGAAAGCGGCCGGGCAGTCGATGATCAGTGCGCGGAGCATGCCGGAAAGCGTCAAAATAATCACGCGATGTGCGGCGCAGTGCTCGTACTCGCTGATCACTTCGGAAATGTCGGAATAGGCGCTGAAACAGGGGTTATAAACGACTTTTATGGGCAAAAATATCAAAAATATTATACTAGGTCAAGTAAAAAAAAATGCGGAAAATTGAGGATATCGCTAAACTCAACTGCCAGAAATGGAGTTTACAGCGTCTATGGGGCATAGTAAATCATCTTATAAAGCGTTGTCCGAAAAATTGACAAAATTTTTTTTTCAAAAAAAAATCGCCTTGGTCCCCCCTGACCAACTTTTTTGACAATTTTTGAAGTACGAGCATTGCGCGGCGCAATGCTCGTACTCGCTGATCACTTTGGAGATGTCGGAATAGGCGCTGAAACAGGGATTTTGAAGTGGCATTATGGGCAAAAATATCAAAAATATTATACTAGGTCAAGTAAAAAAATTTTTGCTCAAAATTTTGGATATCGCCAAAACCAATTGCCGGAAATGAAATTTACAGCGTCTATGAGGCATAGTAAATCATCTTATGAAGCGTTTTCCAAAACAGTGACAAATTTTTTTTAAAAAACATCAAAAAAAAATCGCCTTGGTCCCCCCTGACCAAATTTTTCGGGGATTTTCAAAAAAAAATTTTATGTTTCCAAAGCCGTCCCTTGACATCCAAATAATATACAGCTCAATAATTCACAATTCAAAACCTTCAATTTTCTCCAAAATTTCCGATTTAACCCTTTTTATCGTCATTTTTGATAATTTTCCTCAAAAAATCCGAATTTTTTTTTGATAAATCATCTTTTCCGTGCCCCAAAATACGTTCAACACTCAAATCCACCCATATTCTCTCCGAATTCCCATCGAACAATACCTAAACGCCAAAAAAACATCAAATTCTTACCCAAATCTCCTCTCATAATCCTTCAAATACTTGTCCAATCGATATGCACAGATGTACCCGAATCTCCTGGCGACGATCACATTCTGCACCGCTATGTCCACAAAATTGGCTGTGAAATTTATTAATAATCTGAAGACATGAGGTCGATCCAAGGGGAAGTTCATATATTCCGTGAGGAGATCGCAGAGCTCAAAAAGGAATTCCTGTCGATCCAGAACGCCTTCTTCGAAGCAATTTTTGAACAGAGTGAGATAATAGGGCCATCTTTGGTAGATCTGAGTGATTTCGGAGGCGGAGAGCTAAAATTGAAATTTTTTTTTTACCAAGTACAATATAAAAAATTTGGCAAATTTTGCAGGAAATGTGAAAAACAATCCATTCAAGGCCAAAAAATCCTTTAAAAAGCCATCAGAAAGGAGTAGAAATGCTTTACACATCTTCAAACCACTTTTTTCGACAAAAAATTACCTTATTTTAGATGCCTCCAAAAAAAATTTAGACGTTTTTACGGAAAATTACTCGTTTTCAAACCGTAAAATCTTCAAAAAAGTGATATCGTAGAACGGACCAGCTTGCCATCCCTCAAATCCTCTTTTTTCGGCAAAAATTACCTTATTTTAGGTGTCAAACAGCCTTTCCAATTTTAGAAGCCTAAAAGTCAAGCAAAAATTCAAAATTCTCACTTGTGGATTATCCAGTTTCTTCAACTGTCCTTTGAGGAACGACGCTACAATCTTGATCTGATCCAACTGCTTCTTCACTCGATTTTGTTGAGTTTGCTGCAGCATCATCCCAATTTGATTCATTTTGATGCACCAAATCGCTCGAGGCAGCGGAACTTTTGATTGGAACAGGACCTCCAGTCCATCCTTCTTGATGCTGGGTAGCTTTTTCACCAACGCCGACAGACCTCGGCCCTTGGCGAGCTCATCATACCAGTTGCTCTTGTCTTTTTGCGCCTAAACATGGAGAATTTCGAAAAAACGGGTCGCAACTCACACTTGGATTGTAGAAGCCTTGAAAAGTAAAGTCTTTCTGCTTCTTCTTGTCCAACTGGAACTTGTTGTGCTCGTCCTTCTGCTGAATCACATTCTTGATCAGCTTGGAGGCTCGAGAAAGCGCGTCCTCCAAGCTTTTGGCGTTCTAAAACAATTTTTCGATTTTGCTGCCGGTAAGACCTAAAAAATGAAGAGCAAAAGTAAAAGATTACCTTGGCCACATAGCTGTCGCTCTCGCACGCCGGCACTTGAACGATGAAACCTTTCCGCAAGCGCTCTGTGCTCATCGAATCTTCCTCTTGCTTGGGGTCTTGTGGATAAACGTCGGGAGGCATTTTGTGCTTCCGGAAGGGCCGCTTCTCGGCTCCCACCTGGTGGATCGAAAATACATGAGGTGTGGAGGCTGAAGACATCTTCAGCGACTAGAATCGACCACCTGAAATTTTCGCACAATCAATATAAAGATTTTACACCTAAAACAGCTAAAATAAGGCCGGATAGACGCGAAGAAGGCAAATCTTCTGCTTAAAAAAGGACTAACACCTTATAATAGAGCAAGAACAAGGTTACACTACATGATCTAAACCTGCGACATCAAAAAAAATGTTTTACGACCCAAATTATATTATTTTAGATGTCCATAAATCAAAAGCCAATTCATACACCAACAATTACCCGCAATACGGCCCAAACTACCTGAAACTCTTCAAGATTTTATTCTCCGCAAAAAAAAAGAAACTTACCCATGTCAAGTGTTGCTTTTTTGCGTCAACTGTGACACTCTCGGCCGCAGCTCGCGGATATAAATATTCTTTGTTTTTTTGGTATTTTGTGGAAATTTGATGTGCAAGTTGAAATTCATTGGCTATTCTAGGTGTTGAACCAATCAAAATCACGAAATTAATTGGTGTGAAGTTAAAATCAGTGCTTAATTATATTGTAGTAGGTTCAGATGGTCAGAAATCCATTTTTCGGCGTTGTTTTTCGGGATTCGTTGATGGAACCGGATCTTATTTGAACTCTGATGATCTCCATTTCATTTTTTTTATTAATCCAAACGAATCTCCAGCAATAAATGTAATGTTTATATAACTTATTGACACTCGTCAATTCACGAGAGAAAAAAAAGACAAATAATAGTATTGTTTATGAGGTTGAGAAGCCGCAGCAGCTACAGTAGACATGTCACATGGGGTTCCAATCGTTTTTTTTTTGTTTTTACGCTTTCTCTTGCAAGTACCGGTTTAGGGGCATAACGGGGATTACTGCATATAACGTACTGTAAAAATATGGGTGGGAGAATGGAATTTGCACCGAAGAAGAAAATTTGAAATGTGAATTCGAAGGACAGACGGACGGATATAACACATTTGGGCGGGGTATAACACATTGTTTTAGGTTGGTGGGGTATTAGGTTCGGGACTGGCAAGCCGGGCCGATGGGTACAACTATGAATACAAATACGTGACGAATAGGAGGAGAGGGGTCTAATTGTTGGACTTACAGGCAAAAATTTTTTTGAAGCGAAGTTTTGGGGTGAAAAAATCGAAAAATACAATTTCGCACGGTGCAAAGAATTTTGAGTTGAATTGCACTGTGCGATCGCTGAAAAATCGCTAAAATCCTTTTTTATAGAAGTGTTTTAGCAAGATACAAGTTTTTAGCTTCAAAATTCAGCTTTCTAGCCCGTAAATCGAACAAAAACCCCAAAAATATCTGAGATTATAGCTAAAAAAGACGAAAATGCGAAAAAAGTTGCTAAAAGGCGAAAAAATGCACTTGATGATTGAATTCGTTGGTTTTCTCCGTATAACTGGCAGTATAGGTTGGGGCATTGTATGACGAGTGATTTTACAGAGGCAGTCGGGGGAATATAAGTTAAAGATTCACTAGACCAATGCTTTTAGAAATATTCTAAGTTTTGATAATTACATAGGAGTTGAAGTGGAAGATATGACAATATAGGAAACAGGGGGTCGTTGAGGTAACGGATACGCGATATAACGAACTTTGTTGGGAAAAAATTGACGTAAAGGGTCTAGAACCAGCATTTTGGACCAGAATTACCTTGATCTAATGAGCTGGACCTAGCTCGGACGAAAAAAGGTCAAAAAAGATCAAAATAAGGGCAAATTTGAAATAAAAACGTATTTTAGAGACAGAAAATGACTGTGGCTATGAAATAACAGGTGTTATTCGAAGCCAGTAGTTATTTTCTGTCTCTAAAATACGTTTGTACTTCAAAATTTCCCTTATTTTGGCCTTTTTTGACCTTTTTTCGTCCGGGCTAGGTCCAGCTCTCTAGATCAAGGTAATTTTGGTCCAAAATGCTGGTTCTAGACCCCTCCTTGAGCCTCATCGCTCGATTTAGCTCTCATTCGTTATATCCGACCCCGCTACTCATCGATTTTTTCTGTGTACAGACTATGACATCATAAAATTTCAAAAAATCTCAAAATTCGCAAAATCAATGTTGTGGGGTCCACTGTCGATTCACCATTCCGTGTGATCCGCCCACCAAAATCTCCACCAAAGTCACCGTGTAGTAGGAGGGGTCGGCGGGCGCCGGGTCCACCTCCAGGATGAAGGTGTCCTGATTGCTGTAATGTCGGATCATGTCGTCGTCCACCTTGACGGTGACGCCTTTCAGGCACTTCTTCAGGACTTGCGTGATCTTCGTCTCGTCCAGGTTGTACTTCTGATACAGCGCGTTGTAGAGGCCGTTCAGGGTGGGCGGGGCAAGGTGGAGAGGGGTGTACACCTCTTCTTCGTGCTTCTTCACGTAGATCATCACTGAAAAACAGTCATTCAGTAGGCGGCTGGGGTGCGGTTGTTCTGGAAACAGGGCGGTCAAAGACGAAGGCCTACAGATTCATGGGATTGCCGGGGATTTTTTTTGTTTTGAAAGTTTAACAGGGGGGACCAAGGCGATTTTTTTGTTTTGAAAATTGAACAGGGGGGACCAAGGTGATTTTTTTTGAAAAATTTTGAAATCAAAAAAAAACTTCAGAAATGTTTACAAAATGTACCGAAAGGGTTAAAAAGCCTTTTCTGACATACTACAGTATACTGTCCGAACATGTTCAATCGAAAAATTTCAAAAAATCAAAAATCGAAAAAATGTCAAAAAGTGGGTATCATAAGTTAGCTTATTCTTTCAAATTTTCCATACAGACTCTAAATACACATATGAATCGCTAAAAATTTGAGCTCTCCTTTTGCCCCCGCAGCGGAGATATTCCGCTTTCTTTTTTCTGAGAGAGTACGCAAAATGAGGAGAGACGGTCAGACAAACCCCTTTTTTTGTCTGTTTCTTGACTTTTTTCGCTCGTAAAAAATCGCCAAGCTATTGGCAATCCCATGAGCCTTCATAAAAATTAGTTTTCGTCGAAAAAATTTGAATTTTTAAATTTCAAAAAATTTAAAATTTAAAATTTTGGTATTTTAGTCAAAATTTTGCTTTTTTGTGTGGAATAATCACTAAAAATCATAACGAATTTCGGCTCACCTCTTTCCACGATCCTTGGCCGTTTCACGACCGGCTCCGTGATGTCCAACGTGCCAAAGTCGGTGGGATCGACGAAAAATTGCGCGTCAAAGTCGTCCGTGGGCACGAAAAGCACCGCCTGTCGCTCCAGATCGCTCATATGGTAGAATTCGGAGCGCTCGCAGGGATCGTGATACTCCCCGTCCGACTTCTTTCGGCCGCCTCCTTGAAAATCGGAAAAGGGAAATCGATTATTAGAGGCAGTCGAGTGCAATGTTAGTGAGGTTAGTGGGTTAGGAAAATTGAAGCCGTTAGTGCGGAGGTTAATGGGGCTGGTGCTGGAGGGCGTTAGGAGAAATTTCTGGGATTTTTCGGGGGGCTGGGGGCGAATTGGGAGGTTGGGGATCAATTTATATTATTTTAGGGGACCTGTTAAATTTTTTGAAAAATAGTTGTAAAAACGGTTTCTTAGGGAGCTAGAATTGCAACTGATAGTATAAATGGAGAGTCTATTTTCTATTCCAGAACAAGTTTTAACAAAAAATAGGGTAAGAGGGGACCAAAAATCGAAAACTTTGAGAATTTGCTCTAATTTCTCGTTTTTCGATTAAAAAATCGTTTTTTCTCTATGTAATAGTAACGCGAAGGCTGGGAGATTGTTGCAGACTATAGATAGACCCAATCTAGAGCTATCTAGAAAAAAATTGGAAAATTTAGAGAAGAAATTTATATCGAAAACGGAAAAAATTAAAATTTTTGGGGGGTTTTCGCCATTTTTCTACCTTAAACCTCCCTCGCTTGAAAATTGTCACCTTTTTTGGCCTTATTAATACTCCTAATAGTCCTTAAGAGGGCTAGACGAAAAATTAGAAAGCCATTTTTGGACCACCCCACATAATTTTTGGAAATTAGAGCAAGAGAAGTCGGTGCAAAAGGGGCAACGTTTAATACCTTTTCTTTTTTCGTCCCGTCGAGTTTCATGCAACATTTTTCGATTCGCTCCCTAAAATGTCGAATAACGTTTTAGTCGGGAAATTCATTTCACTTTTCCCCCAAATTTTGACTCCTAATTTCGGGATTTTTCGATGGACGGACAATAAAACAATGAGCAGTATTGTTAACAGCGGCTTGAAGCGATTGGTTGGTTAGGAAGAGAAGGTTCGATTAAAGGGATTTTACAAAATTTTTTTTTTCTTTTGGAAAATTTTTAAATGGGATTTTTTGAATTTTTTAAAATTTTTTGGAGAAAAAAATACAAAAAAAAAAATTTTCTATGAGAAAATTTTTCTATGGCCAAAAATTTTTTTATTTTTTGCGTGCGAGTTTGGTACTTTGTTTCAAAACAATTTGTTCAAAGGGCATGTTATACGATGAAACATGTTTGATCGTATAAAATGTATTTGGGTTCTTTTTTAGTCTTGTACAGTAACTCTATTTTTGTCACTAATTAATTTCAAACAAAGTACCAAACTTTGATCCAAAAAAATTTGTTCAAAGGGCATGTTATACGATGAAACATGTTTGATCGTATAAAATGTCTCCAGATTCGTTAAAAATATTGTACAGTATCTCTATGTAGGTCACTAATTAATTCCTTGCAGAATGCCAACGATTCATTTTGGAATGGCAACTTTATGGACATATTATACGATGAAACATGTTTTCGTATAAAATGTCTCCGAATAAGATCTATGGACAAATTTGTCGCCAAAAATTTCAAAACAGCCATGAAAAATGATTTTTTCTAAATTTTTCTGATAAAAAATCGTTATTAAAAAATGAAAAAAAAAATTAATTTTTATATTTTTCCAATTTTTTTCAAGAAAAAAGTTATTCACAAAAATTTCAAAAAAATTTAAAAGTTTTTCCAAAAAAATTTGCGATTTTTTGCTTTTAAAAATCCCGATTTTTTAAAAAATTTGATTCTCGAACCTTCCCTTATAAGCGTACTTTCTAGCTGTTCTTTGCAAAAGATTTACCTCCAGCTTTTCGGCGCTGTTGCCGCTTTTCTTCGTCTCGAAACTTGCGCTCCGCACCCTACATAAGAGAAAAATTATTTTTAAAATTAATTTAAACTCGGATTTTTACAATAAATCTATTTTTTTGACCAAAAAATGGATATTGTAATAAAAAAAATTTTTTTTTTGTTAAAAAATTACTGTTTAGTCCCCAAAAAATAGGAAAAATGAGCTTACTTTGTCACAGAAAACTTTGATTTGGCAATAACCTCGATGAAAAGGCACTTTAGAATCTTCATCATCATATGTGTCGATTTGAACGTGCAAAGGAAGGCCTTTCACTCCTTTTTGGGCGGAGAAGTCTGTTGATAAGCATTGGAAAGCTATGCTGATCTGAAAATAAAATTTGAAATAAAGTTTTTAGACAATATTTTTTTTAATTTTTTTTTTCACTGTGCAAAAAATAAAATAAAAGAATTTTTTTTTTATTTTACATTTTTTTATTTTAGCACAGTGCAATTTTTTATTTATTTTTTTTTTATAAAAAAAAGCACAGTGCAATTTTTTATTTTTTTTTTATTATTATTTTTGCAGAGTAATTTTTTATTATTTTTTTTTGTGCACAGTGCAAAATTTCATTTTATTTTTTTGCACTGTGCACGTTTGAAAAGATTTTTGCACAGTGCAAAAAATAAAGTAAAACGCTTTTTTAAATTTCTGCACAGTGCAACTTTTTTTTATTTTTTTTTTTGCACGGTGCAAAATTTATTTGTGAAATTTTTGCACAGTGCGAAATTTTATTTCTCATTTTTCTGCACTGTGCAAAATTTTATTTTTAATTTTTGCACAGTGCGAAACTTTACTTCTCATTTTTCTGCACTGTGCAAGCTTAAAAAAATTTGCACAGTGCAAAATTTTATATCTCATTTTTTTGCACTGTGCAAAGACAAAAAAATTTCGCACTGTGCAAAAAATAAAATAAAAGATTTTTTTAAATTTTTGCACAGTACAATTTTTTATTTTATTTTTTTTTTTGCACAGTGCAAAAATTTTTGAATGACCCCAAACTCTCACCTGCGGTGTATTACTGGGATCCCAACAGAACTGAACGGCATTGTGTGCGATTTCCTCGATTTGGCCCAGAATTCCGGAGGAGTTTTTGGAGTCCACCTCCAATATTCGTTGTTTCGGCGAGTGTTGTCGTTTGTGCCATAGTTGCCAGGTCTTGATCTCTTCTTCTCGGGGCTTGTTCTCGCGGAATACGACCATGATTTGACTCTGGAAGAGGAAAATGGGTAAAAAATAAAGATTTTTTGGGATTTTCAATTATTTTTTTTTCCAAAAAAGTCCGAAGATATTCTAAATTTCTCACCCTGACTGTTGCACTCTTCAGTGGTCGATTTGGATCCGGGATATACTCTAGAGTTACTGTGTAGAATTGTCCTTTATTCACGTATGTCATTCGGTCGTCTTCTTTTCGAATCGAGGTCGATATCGCCGTCTCCAGGACATATTGGAAGCCCAATTGGTTGTGTCTGAAAAAATGGGGAATTTATTTAAAAAATTATTTCAAAAGACTTGTTATACGATGAAACATGTTTGATCGTATAAAACGTCTTCGGATTCCTTTCAAGTATTATACAGTAACTCTATTTTTGTAACTAATTAATTTCAAACAAAGTGCCAAACTTTGATTCAAAAAAAATTGTTCAAAGGGCATGTTATACGATGAAACATGTTTGATCGTATAAAACGTCTCCAGATTCGTAAAAAAATGTTGTACAGTATCTCTATGTAGGTCACTAATTAATTCCTTGCAGAATGCCAACGATTCATTTTGGAATGGCAACTTTATGGACATATTATACGATGAAACATGTTTTCGTATAAAATGTCCCTGAATAAGACCTTTGAATAGTTAATCTGTTGTCGGCCGTATATTATGCCCCATAATTTTAGTTCATCCTTTGCAGAGGCTCCTCATTTATCTTTTTTAATCCAAATTTCGCCAAAAAGAAACAAAAACTATAAACTCAAATCTCCGTTTTGAGCGTTGTTTTATTTCCCCGGGGGCTTTGATTGTTAAGGCGCAAAAGGAATCTGATTTCCGAGAAATTCGGGGAGTTCCGGCTCCAGAATAATGGAAAAAACGAGAGAAACGGTGGCGATAAATCGACATAAAAATCGGAGGATTTATCTATAGGTTCTTTGCTATCCATTAAAGCCCTTATATGGCGGAATTTAAAACGAAATTAACGGTTTGAAAATGGTTTCTAAATGGGGGGAAAATGAAAAGGAAATTTTCGAAAAATTGACCAGGGGGGACCAAGGGGGGAAAAATCGGAAATTTCGAAATTTCAAAAAGTTTGAAAATAACTTATGATGGTAAAAAGTAGAGTAATAAAAGACTAAAGACACCAAAAAAATTGAAATTTTGAAAAAAAATCAAAAAAAAAATTTTTTTTGGGTCCAAAAAATGAACAGGGGGGACCAAGGGAAGAAAAAAATCGAAAATTTCGTAATTTCAAAATACCTAAGATTGCTTGTGATGATCAAAAATAGTATAAGAAATGTCAGTAAACACAAAAAAAAAAATGAAATTTTGAAAAAAAAAATAAATAAAAAAAAAATAGAAAAATTAGTCCAAAAAAGTGAACAGGGGGGACCAAGGGAAGAAAAAAAGGTCAAAAGCCAAAAAATCCCAAAAAATTGAAAAAAAATCAACTTACAATTTAGGAATAATAATAGGTGAGTTTTCTCGATGCGAGTTCGCCGTCTCTCGCCGCTCCATCGACAGCGGCCCGGAGCTTAGGTCCACGCTGACCGGGGTGCCCTGCGATTGGACGACGGTGGTGGGTTGGCCGAAAAATTCGCTTTTTATTACGCTCCCGTCCAGGAGTTGGCCAATCTCTCCGTCAATGCCCGAGTCGACGGGTGAGAGGAGCTCCGAGCCGCCCATCTTGTATATCCGCTGGTCGGCGTGGGTTTGGCCATTTTCCTGGAAATTTAATGATCAAGAATAAGGTACAGGGTCTTGTTGAGGGTAAAAATGATTTGTTTTTGACTTGAAATGTTTTTTTTTGAAATTTGAGCTCAGAAAACATGAAAAGTCTTTGTCTCCAAAGAAGAAAAAAACTCACAAAAAAATTCTCTAAAAAATTCAATTTCGGTCCCCTCTTGCCCAAATTTTTTATTTTGCTTTTTAATCAACTCCTTTCCCTAATCTGGCCTGGATTTTGCATTAAAACCTCTTTTCAAACCAACGTTTTGTTTTGGTCCCCCCTTACCCTACTTTTCCAAAAATCAAAAAAAAAAATACTCCTGATGTCCTCGTCTTCCCACACCAAATCATCAGTACTATTTTCCGCATCATTTTCTACTCCATTTTAACTTGGTCCCCCCTTGCCCTACTTTTTAAAAATAAAAAAAAATCCTCCTGAAGGCTTCATCCTCCATCGCCTATCACCTAGATCACTTTACATTACTATAATTCAACTTTGGTCCCCTTAAACCTACCGCTAATTTAACCTTGGTCCCCACTTACCCCACCCCACCCCACCCCACCCCCTCAAAAATCCAAAAACCTCTCCCCAAGCCCTCAACCGCCCTGATCTATCATCCACACCAATTTAACACTCCTTCCCCACCCTCCCACTTACCGTCTGATGCGAATGATGGTACTGTATCGACGATGAGCTGGGCGTCCGCTGCTGATGGCCATGCTGCTGCTGGAACTGCTGATACTGCTCCATGGGTCGCCATTCCGGCTGCAGCACGTTTGCCGTGGAGGCGGTGGCGAAGTTATAATACAAGTGGGAGTTGGGGTTGATCAGACGATGGTTCATGTAGTCGTACATGTTCTGCTGGTAGTACTGGCAGTTCTCCATGGCCGTGGGCTGCATTTTGTTGAGGTCCTGCAAAGGGTGCGGTGAATTCGATGAGTGCGCGGAGTGTAGGAGTTGTTAGAGAGATCAGATTGAAAGACGGTTGAGACGGAGTGATAGAGGGTCTGGGAAGGCGGCATTTGTAGTTTATGACTTGATCTACGCGGATCTAAGGGACGGATTGTACGATTCTTTTTTTAGGACAATGTGGGGCCTTGTTCAAGTCATGCTAAAGTTAGCTTGGCCGTTCCAATGTTACCGTCAAGCAAAATAAAATATTTTTTGGTTACTAGCCAGACACATGTTAGCTACCACGTCTTACGACACCTGTATCAATCCTTTACTGTCTTACTCCAGCCCAAACTTTGCCAAGGACTTTTCAAGGCCTTACAAGGCAATTGAAACTCGAGAAAACTGTTCCATGCCTCCTACAGCGACACAGGTTTAATAAAGGAAGAAACCAAGTACATAACTGTGTCATGTCAGCGCCAAGTCAGCTGGGTCCACATCAACACTGGACCTCAGCTTCTCCGCTTGTCCTAGCCTGGCCCAGACCAAGCCAACTCATCCACAGCGCCCTCCAAGGTCCCTACTACTCAAAAAACCCCTCCTAATGCGTTCTAACATCCGTTCGAGCCGTTAAAAGACAGTTCAAGCAGCGGCGACCCCATGAAGACTCTACCTGTACGCCCGTTCGCACTGGGCCCACGAGGCCACCACGTTTGGTCCGGTCGGCCGTCGACGACGCTTGCGGGGGCAATGTGAACCGGCTCTCGACGAAAGTGAAAGCCCTGCGTTGTGTGGCTGGAGGGCTTCCTTGCCGACGTTGGTGGTGGTGGGGTGGTGGAAAAAACTCGCACCGCGCCGCCCTGCACTTTCACTTTTTGCCGTGTGTGGGGCGCGCGGAATCAATCGGCTTTCACTGCCTGCGGCGGCGGCGGCGGCGCGACGCCACCGCCATCACCGCCCGCCGAACCGCCGAGGAAGGAAGGAAGGGAGGAGGGGGGCGAATCGATTCGATGATTCGTGGCGGCATCCGCCGACGCCGCGAACTCTCGCCCCATTCGTCTGCGCCCCCCTGCCCAGGATCTACGGGCCCTCCGGGTATCCTGGGCGATTTCGGTCCGAGTTGGCGGTGCGACGACGACGGCGACGAGGAGGAGGAGGCGAGCGGCGGTAAAGAAACGGGGTCATGAGACGAAAATCCCGGGTACCCTTGCGGTGGGTTGAGGCTTCCGCCGCTGTTCGTCGGGCTTCTTTCTCTCTCTCTCTCTCTGCCCGCAGGCGGTGTATTGTTCGGCGCGCCAACAATAGATCTCGCCACAGCCGCCCGATGTCTCCCGGATATCGGGGGTTTTGCTCCGGCGGGAGGAAGGTTCATATGCTAATAAGAGGCTTGTAAGTCGGCTTCAACGGGCTTGATGCTGTGTGACTGATATTATGCAGACTTTGATGTATCTTGCTGCTAACCTTCTTGTTCATGATCAAGCCAAATATGGCCAAGATTTGTCGAGTTTCGAATTGATTTTCGGACAATTCAAATTTGCTCCCCTCAATTGTAATATAACCCAAAATTGAAGCGAGTTTTGAGGGTTCAACGGCCTCAAAACCCGAGTCCGTAAAGATCGCATTGTCAAGTCGGCTGTAAACAGAGAGATAAATCTTACGATCTCAGATCGCCCCGTATATGCCTCAAGGAATTCGTTGCGCCGCCGCCGATCCAATGACACTCCTCGTCTGTTTTTTTTACGATGCGCATGTGATGTCGGCAAACAGATCCATCCTCGCTTTATTTCTCATCCCATTAAGAGAGAGAAAGAAGGCAAGAGAATCGAATGAATCCGTATGGGACGAGCCAATAATTAATCCCAAATCAATCGAAACAATAGAAAAGTGTCAAGAATGGGAGAAAAAAATGGGGGGTTTTGGCGGCAGCACATTTTTTCGAAGAGCAATCGATCGAATTTTGCTCAAACTTTGATAGAAATTACATGTAGACAGCGGTAAGGCAGATCAAATTGGTGAATTCATTGGCAATTCGCCAAAAAAAGATGCGAAAAGGCTGTTGGTCGGGGAAGAAATGGGGAGTTTTTGGGGCGAGAGAGTGCGTTTTGCGCGTCTTTTCTCTGTCTTCTCTGGCAGTCAAGACGAATTGTTAAAAGCGGATAGCGAAGGGTCTGTTCCGGTCAACGGACTACTCTAAGGTGATGATGAGAGTTTTAGCTCGCGCTATGCAAAAGTTATTGAAGTTTTTAAGAGGAAAGTTGGGTTAAAGGTCATTGCGAAGCCGTTGATATGTAAGATAAGGGAATTTCTCAAAAGAAAAAGGTAATTTTGATGAAAATTAGGGAAAATTGAGCTCAAGATTAGCAATACAAATAAGAAATTTGTTGTTTGTACTATCGAAAAAACCCTACTATCGAAATTTGGCCCTAGGTTGGGGCAAATTCTAGAAAAAAGATGGCTTCAGTAGAAGGCGAAGTTATCAAAGAAAAGCAGACAAATTTTGATGAAATTTGGCACAAAGATAGATCGAGCATTGCTATTGTATGTGTGAGATTTCCAGCTTGCGCTATGCCGAGACTACCGAGATTTTTGCGTCGGAACTTGATCGAAAATTGGGTGGTTTTCGAACTTTTTTCGGCTTCAAAGCTCACAGTTTTACAGAACACCTTGGTTGCGGCGTATGCAGCCCTAATCCATTGAACTTTGGAACGATTATCCAGCGAATTTCTGCCCATTGGTCATTCGGAAGCCCTTTAAAATCGCCGCGCGCCACCGTTCCCAGAGCGCTCTGTTCGTCTACGCATCGTCGCGCTCTTCGCTCGATTGCACCGTTGATGACAGTGCCTTCGATCATCCGATTCGCTTTGTCGTAGCCTTAGGGCATTCAACGGAATTCCGCTGCATCCGGGGGACGATTGTTTTGGATGTTTTTTTTGGCGAACCAATTTCTTCATGGAGAACATGGGATAAGCGGCAAGATGGAGCCATAATTGAGAGAAGTATGATGAAAAATAGTAAGCAAATAAATCTACAAGACTCTAAAGGGCATCTTAATATAAAATATGCAGAAAGAATAAAATTTTTTGCGATTTTTGGCGCGAAAAAATCCGCTACTTCTATTTGGCCGTTGCCGACAAAGATTGTTGAATATCTCAACGACCGTTGCAACAGGTCAACTGAAATTTTCAGCAATTGGTTTATGGCCCATTGAGATTGTTACTGCCAAGTTTGAAGGAAATCTGAAGTTAGCCCACAGAGAAATCGGATTTTTAAATCAAAACTCAAATTTCATCTTGCGAAGCTTGGAAAAATCGAATTTCATGGCCTTTGAAGGTAACCAGAAGGCCAAAAAATGATTTTTGATAGGCCAATGGGACTGAAAAAGCGTTGAGGATTAGGTAGCGCCAAAAAGAAGTTTTTAAATCCGAGAAATTAGAGATTTTTTGCAATTTTTTGTAATTTTTGGATTTTCATTTTTTCAAATTGCTCTTTCCCTCGTTTCTTCGCTCCAAAATTCGTCTCCTTGCTCATCCAATTCGACCTATTGACAACGAAGCCCTCACGCGTAATTGGGCTCCTCAAATCGCGACTCTACTTTCGTCACACTTTTTTTCCCCAGCGACTTTGACCTTGATTTTTGCGTTTTTTACAAGCGTCGGCTGTTCCCCTGACCCAATTACCGGCGGCGAACAAAGGTGCGCTTTCGAAAATAGACAATGAAACACAAGGCTTCACGTCCAGATCATGAAGAATAAACATTCCCGGAATGGAAAGTCTCGCATTGTTTCGCCCACTTGACCCCGAGGACAAAAGGTCCAAGAATGGTGCGCAAATAGACCCAAAAATAAATGCTGTTATTCGGCGGTGAAAGTGGTGCGTTTTTGCAAGGGAATACGGTAGTCGGAGAGAAAGTGAAAAAATCAAAAATTTTTTGGAAAAAACTTGGAAAAATCACTCAAAAAGTATCCAAAAGGATCCAAAAAGCCTTTTGAAAAGATCGAAGATACCTTGACTCTGATATTGAAGCGATTTTGGCACCGAAAAATTGAGTGTAAAATACCAAAAAAACGAAAAAATCAAAATTTCCAAGCTTGACCCCCTAAAATAATAAAAAAATGAAATTTCTCAAAGGGACACCCTCAGATCTCCCTGAAAATTGGCAAAGACAATTCGTAATGTCCATAAAGTGATCACTGAAAATTTCAGCTGAAACGGTTCAGCGAGCCGAGATACTCGTCGATCTTTGTGGCCGAGAGACTATGGAAAATGAGGAGAGACGGCGATAAAGTTTTTAGTCGATATCTTAGCGACTTTTTCGTGGAAAAAATTAATTTTTAGTAGAAATATTGTACTCAGTAGTTGGTGCAGAATGCCAATTTTTGAGTTTGAAAATCGCAAAATTTTTTTGGATTTTTTGTAAAAAAGTATGCCAAAAATCTCGAATTTTTTAGAAAATTTTAGTTAAAATCAGCAACAAATCTCGTTAAAATGTGAAAAAAAAAATTTTGGGATGCCTTAAAAAACAGTTTTCTATTTTTGAAAAAAAAAATTATATTACACTTGCCTCTGATTTTTATACTATTTTAAGATGTAAAAGACGACCTTTAAGACTTGCTACAGAAATTCCAGACGCTAGATTGACTGACCAAAGACAAAAAAATTCAAAAAATCTCGATTTGCCCTCAAAAAATGGCCAAAACTTTTAGCCTACCTGAATTCCAGCATCGCCGCTCAACGGCGCCAAGTCCAGCGCCTCCTCCTTGGTGATGAAGTGCTGCGCATTGCGGGAGGGGGCGGTTTTGATCACCGAATTCGAATCCAACTGGAACTGCGTGACCGTGTTGGCCGCCGTGATCACCGAATTCGACGTGTCGTACGGGAATTTCATGGTGCAACTGCACCGTGCAGTCGCGCCGCTGTTTTGGTTGCGATTTTCGTCGGGGCCGGGCGCTTTGCTCTCGCGGTGGGGCTGCGGAGAGGTCTGGAAAAATGGAATATAATTTTAAAAAATTCTTTTAATCGAGAAATTCACGAAAAATAAAAAACCGCGCTTTGCAGAAACAATCGAATTTTCTCTCAAACGATTTTTTTGAGCGTTTGAACTTCAAATATTATCAATAACTCCATATTTAAACCTTAAAAATATTAAATCTATGTTGGAGACATTTTATACGATGAAACATGTTTGATCGTATAAAATGTCTCCGCGCCAAATTGTTAATTTTTCAAAAAAAAAATCAAAAGCAATGGGCCATACAACCACTCCCAAAAACATTGTGTTTACTTCAGAGACATTTTATACGATGAAACATGTTTGATCGTATAAAATGTCTCTGCGCCAAATTGTTAATTTTCCAAAAAAATCAAGAGCAATGGGCCATACAACCACTCCCAAAAACATTGTGTTTACTTCAGAGACATTTTATACGATGAAACATGTTTGATCGTATAAAATGTCTCCGCATGAAACCATTGAATAGAAGATATGTAATACCCTCAAAAACAATAATACAAGCCGATAAATGTAAAACACACAAAAAAATATAGGAATATTCCAACTTTCGGAATCGCATGTCACCAAGGGCAAGTACAATATGCAAAAATATCATGGGTAAAAGTGCAAGAAAACGAAATCTTGTGGCTCGTACAAAACTTTGTGGTGTCAATAATCAAAAAATACATCAAAAAATTTTTATTTGTGATATAAAATTTCTAAAAATCCTTTCCCAAAAAATCCCAAAAATAAAACCAGTCTGCGCGAACGTGAAGATTGAAAAGTGAAATTTGCGTGATGTCAACGAGATGACTGAACCCGAACAAAAAGTAATAAACCCCTTCTCCCGACGCTGAGGGAAGTTTCATCAGCCCGCCGCGGGGGTAAATACGTCCAGGAATAACAATCGCAGAGACGTTACAGTAAGCGGGAACAAGATTACTGGAGATAAAAAATGATATTTTTTTTTGATTCTGAGAATATCTCAAGTAAAAATTGGAAAAAAGAAAAATAAAAAAGAAATTGAAAATTGAATTTTTTTTTTTTTACGAAAAACGAAAAATTCGCGGATATTTTTTTTCGAGCTTCTCTCTATCTGATGACGACAGCAAATGAGATCAAAATACGAAAAAAATCGAGAGGCACAACTCGAAAAATCCGTCAACAAATCATCAGAAGCCTAAACGCAGCTCTCGAAAACAGTGAAAAATCCCGTTGAAAACATGAAAATTTACTTGAAGTTGATAAAAATTTTTTTATAAATTCTCTGATATAGCCCAAAAATTCAAAAAATGACAATTTTCCCGCTGGCGCTTTAGGTTGTCCCGATGAAAATTTTTGATTTTTCATCGCAGAACATTGATTTTTTATATGGCAAGTGTTACAAGCGCGACGTTCATATTTTCTCTAAATTTCGCACACACTATAGGCATAGAACACGTATCGATTGCTGAAAGTTTTGGCTCGCGCTTTGCAGGGAGAGCCGAGATATTCAACGATCTTGAAAAAGTACGCAAAAATCGAAGGGCGGCCAGAGAAAAAAAACAATTTTTGGCCATATCTTTGCCAGCTTCACGGGAAAAAAGTTGATTTTTTGTGGAAATATTCTTCTACGGTAGAAAAAGGATACCCTTCAAAAAAAATTCAAAAAAAAAGTCGTTATTTTCCCGACAAACAGATAATTTGCGCCAAGTACCACACTGACGGACGAGTGCCAAAAAAACGATCATTTTGCATCCGGGAAGTATCAAAAAATGTGGCAAAATGCCTCCAAAAACTCCCTCTTTTCTGCCAACGGCACTGTAGTCTTCCCAAAAAGTCGCTGGAGTGATTTCAGCGACATGCACTGTGCGAAAACAAAAGTTCCCTTTGCACTGTGCAATTTCTTGATTTTTGCACCGTGCAATAGGCTTTTTTGGGCTGACTTTTTTCGCACAGTGCAGACACAAAAAATCTTAAAATTTGAGGATAAAAAATTTTTGATTTTCAAAAAAAAAATTTTTTTTGTCACCAAAACCGCAAAAACCCAAAAAAAAAGTGGAAAGTCATCGGATCCGCAAGATTCCGCGACTCCTCGCCGCTTCATGACTCACAAATTTACCATCATCGACGCACAATGTAATCAGTAAAACCCAAAAAAAAAAAGATTAAAACAAAAAGCCCGCCTCGCCTTCGAGCAGAGAGAGAGTAAATGTTTTCTTGAAGAGATTGGCGACCGAACACACACACAAAAAAAACTGCAAGGGGGACGAAGAACAAAGACAAACTGTCGCGCGACAACTCCAATGAGAGGCGCTTTGGAGATGGGGGGAACACAGTGCTTTGCTTCTTCTTCTTCTCCTTCGTCTTCGAGAAGGCGCAGAAGAAGAGGAGGTGGAGGAAGAAGGGACTTTGAACAACAACAGGCCATGTAGAGTCGCGCGCGCGCTCGAGAGGTTTAACGGGAGTGCGAGATTGGATCATTAGAGCCATAATTGGGTCATCAGGGCGTCGCTCATTGTCGTCGCTGCATCCACAAGGAGCCCAGCAACGAACAGCGAACAATTTGCGAACCACAATGGAAGAAAACAAAGTTCAAAGAGGGCGGAGAGTCATTGGGAATTAGGAAAATTGAAGAAAAAAGCAAAGAAAAGTCAAAAAAAAAACTATGGTGATTTGGACAAAACACAAGTTTCTTTTTTTTATAGATAGTTTTTTCATCGACTTTAGCTCAAAAAATTGCAAAAAGAAGAAAAAAAAGATTGTGGAACAGCCACAAATTCTTCATGTTGTGTTGTGAGCAAGTTTTGTCAATCAAGAAGGCCATAGAAACCCAAATTTTGATACTACAGGGTCTTAGAAAACCCCTGGCTTTCGAGGTAAAAGACCCCTTTTTCAAAACGTGGTAGCGACCTCAGTTTGCACTTAAGAATCTTGTTGTTTCGTAGGCAAAAAATAATATCGCTTAAAAATATTACATATTCCAAAAACCAAGTTTCTGCGCCGCCTCCGCCGAAAGTTATAGCCTCCTACTTTCCTGCACATTTCTTAAAGACCCTGTAGTCCGTCCAACAAGTCGCTAGAGTGATTTGTGCAACATGCACTGTGCGAAAACAAAAGTTCACGTTGCACTGTGCAATTTCTCTGCAAATATTCAAAATGCAAAAAAAATTGGGCTGTTTCAAGCCCTTTTTCTGCAAAGTTCAAGTCACAGAAATCCCTTCAGCTGCTTTACGGATAAAGTGGTAATAACTTGGGATATAATAGATGAAAACTCTTAAAAATTCTATTTTTAGACATTTTTAAAAATGTGATTTCTCAGTAATCACATTGTTAAGCCCTCAGAGGATGTAAAATTTCTATTTTGGACCATAGAATCAAGAAAATCGATCGTTTTTGGAAGGAAAATCGAAAACCTGGCGAAATTTGGAAATCTTAAATTTTGAAAACCCCTGAGGGGACGTTGCAGTAAAACATTGAATGGCCAAAAATAGAGACCATGAGGATCCCAGGAATATAATTTTTACACATTTTGGTCATTTATTTCCAAAGTTATGGGCAAAATAAGCCCTCCATACCAGCTATAAAGAATGACTAATAAATCCTCTGTATTTAAGTCTGCATACTGCTGTAAATAAGCAGAAGTTACCAAGAAATAATCTCAAGGGTATTGTTCAAAGTTAGGGGATTTTAATCTCTAACCGCCCTCCTCTTTTCCCGTAGTCTATACGCGGAAACGACCGCTGAATATCTCAGCCGTCCCTGCAAAGCGTGAGCTAAAATCTTCAGACATTGATATGTAGACATTCATAAAAGTGTGCAAATATAGAGAAGATTTAAGCATCGCACTACGTAGCATCTACTCTATAAAAATCAGCAATTTCCCTGCCAAAACCTTCGTATTTTAGTCCCATGCGCTCTCCAGTTGCCTATGCCGCGCTCTCAAAAATCCGCAGGCATTTATAGCGCCCCAGCACAACTTATAGGCAACATCCACAGTGCAAAGAACCGCCTTGTTCAACGGAGCGATCAAGCCACACCGCGCCGGGCACAAGTCGCAACAAAAACTTGGCCAAAATTTGGACGCGATAAGATGCTTGTAGGAACCACTTGTTGAGCAGAAATTCACTCTCCCTTCAAGCTGTTTTCACATGAATTTTCTGCGAAAAAGCCCGTTTTCTCAGCACAAAATTGCATAAGCGGCGAAAACGGTCTTTTCTCTGTCCGCTCTCCGCATTCCGCGCACTCTCTCGGCCGCAAAGACCGTTGAATATCTCGGCTCTCCCTGCAAAGAGCTAGCTGAAATTTTCAGCAATTGATAGGCGTTCTATACATGACGTGTGCTCAAAATTTTAGGGCAATCTGTGCATTGCGCTTTGAATACTGGCCAAGTCAATTATTAGGCATAGGAGTATGATCGCGCCGCTATTTCGTTGTGCATTCTTACTGGTATAGTAAAGTTCTGGAACTTCTGTTAATATCGCCTGAAAGAATGTTGAAAACACTATCTATTGATATATGTTATATGTGGTCAGGCCTATCATAACGGTTTTTATAAAGCTTCAAAGATGACCAACTTCGTCCCAGGTCATACTTCTCGCCTATTAACCCAAAAAATTTCAAAAAAATCTCAAAGAATTTGATAGCAAAATTGGTTTAAAAACCTATAGATCCCTCAGGAAATGCACCTGAATTTCCCACCAACCGTTCTTCGATCAAAAAAACGGTTTCGGGCTGGCCCCCATCTTTTCTTGAGAACTCTTCCAAATGGATGCCCACCCTTTTTTCGATTGTTTTTGTAAAAGAAAACAGTTTTTGAACTGTAAGAAAAAGTCGGTCGGTGCAAAAATAAGGAAGTTCTGAGAACAATAAAACGAAATTACACTTTTTTCGAACGTAAGAAAGGTACCTTCAAAAAAATTTTGTTTTGTCGGATTGTCATGAAATTTGGCAAATATTATGTGCATTGGATACATATCAATCCCTGAAAATTTCAGCTCGCAATTGGCAGAGAGAGCCGAGATATTCAACGGTCTTTGCGGCCGAGAGAGTGCGCGGAATGTGGAGAGCGGTCAGAGAGGGGGAAGTTTTTTGGCCGTATCTTTGTTAATTTTGCCGGGAAAAAATTGGTTTTTTGTGGAAAAATTGTACTAAATATTGGGAAAAGACTGACTTTTGAACTTTTGAAATTGAAAATCGAAAATTTTTTTTTTTTTTTTTTTTTTTTTTATCGAAAAAATCTCGATTATTTCGGCAAAATGGTCGCTAAAAATCTCAAAAATCACCTTTAAATAGCTTTTTCTAAATTTTCATCAAATTTCATCAAAATCTAAGCCCTCCAATTGTCCCAAAAAATCAGCAAAAATGGTACCCCAAAAAATTTTTTTCAAAAAAATCAAAAAAATGAAATTTAGACTCCTCAAAATTGGCTGAAGAAAAAAAATTTATGCGTAAAGGTCAACTCATTAACCTTAAAAAAAGCTGGAAAAAGTGCGTTGGGAAGTGAAGGAAAGTGTTAGAAGACAAATTAACGGACAGATCATCGCCGATAAAGAAGAGTTTTTCGGTCGTCATGAACTAAATCACGATGTATATCAAGGTTATGGGCGGCAATTTCGCAGGGGATTTGAATTGAAATTTTGGGGAATTTCGCAAAAAATTGAAGATATTTGAAAAATAGTAGGGCTGGTAGGGAGAAGAGTGAGTTCAAGGCCAAGAAGTGATCAGCGGAGTGTTGCCAAGTATGTAAACAACAAAAATTTTGTTTTTGAAGACTTGTGGAATGCAAGGGAGATTCTATCGGACCTTTCTTTAAAAAAAGAAACTTTTTAAGTTGTTTTTTTCATAACAAGATATCAATATATAGCAAGGTAAGTACCATAACTGTAGCTCTTACATTGCCTTCTAAATTTTGCATATATTTCCAGCACAGCCCACATATCAATCCCTGAAAATTTCAGCTCACAATTTGCACCCAAAGCCGAGATATTCAACAATCTTTGTGGCCGAGAGAGCACGCGAAATGCGGAGAGCGGTCACAGAAAAATCACTTTTTTGGCTATATCTTTGCCAGTTTTGAGCGGAAAAAATTGATTTTTTGTGGAAACATTACTCTCTACGGTAGAAATGGCCATGAAATTTTTCATGATAAAATTCGAAATTTTTTTTTATATTTTTGCCAAGTTTCGAAGTAAAAATCTCGGTTGTTTCTGCGAGTCACAGAGAAAAAACACTTTTTGGCCATGCTGATTTACCGCTGAAAAATTGAGTTTTTTTGATAGGAACTTGCGCAAAATATGAGAAAAATGACTCCCGCCCACTTTTGAGATTGTGACACTTCGTCCAAGCGAAGTGTCACAACCGAAAAATAATTCCGAGAAAGATATTTTTTGGTCGCAAAACCCCACGAAAAATTGAAAAGTTGTGTTGAGGGCATTTTTGTTGGTACTCAGTCGATATTTAATGGATGAAGCGCCGAAGTGGGGAATCTCTAGCCTCCGATAGAGGCTAGAGATTCCTTGGTCTGGCCTGTGTTGCCCTACAAAGTCATGAAACGTTTTTTTCCGACATTATCACTACCCTATGACAGAAAAACTTTGACAATTTCAAAATTTACGTCAAACTTGACGAGAAAACCCTAAAAAAACTCTGTTTCAGAGCCCTACAAAGCTAATGACTACATAATTCGCCCCAAAAAACACCCCAAATCACTCGGAACCCTGCTCGCGAATACAAAGAATAGTACAGCCGTAACGTGGGAGGCGGAAGCAAAGTCGTCGAGTTCTCGCTGAACTGCGACCCGCTGCCCTCCATTCGGCGGCTTGCGTGAACACAAAAATCCTCCAACGAAACCCGACTACCAGAACACTGAAGACAATGGAAACGAAGACGATTCTCTCTCTCCCCCCGATCCCATTCCTCCCCATTCTTGTGCGCGACAACACACAAGAGAGCCCTCGAGACCGGCGGCTGCAAGACTTTTCTTGACAAAAGCCATCACGATGTACGCGTCGATCGCGCGCCCCACCGTCCGTCGACGGGCGTCAAGAAGGGGGGCGAGCCGAGCCGCAACGAAGCCGAGCGGCTTCGGATCAGGAGCCGGGACGCAAGTGGGAGCCGGGAGTTAAGACTGAGCTACGAGCTGTGAGAAATGGATAAAAAATGGTGGGAAGTAAAGCAGAGATCTCTGTAGTTACAATCAAAGATTTTCACGGCTCCGGAGCCGGCTCTTGGCTCCTGAGCGGCTCCGGCACCGAGCCCAAAGTCGGAGCCAGGCTTCTTAGCGTTCAGAAAAGTAAAAATTTCAGGATCTTGTTAAATCAAATTTCTTGAAAAATACTTGGAAGAATGTGTTGTGTACGACTTGGCTGCGGGCGCCGGGATTCGGAGCCAGACTTCCCAGCGGTCAGAAAAGTAAAAATTTCGTGATCTTTGTTAAACCAATGCTTGAAAAACACTGCGGATGATGTGACTTGACTGCAAAAACGTTGGCTGTATGATCTATGGCACTAATAACTTTTATTTTTGGAAAAATATTTTTAAAAAACATTTTGCATAGGAGCCGGGATTCGGAGCCGGAGACCTTTTTAAATTTTTCATAGGAGCCGGGAGCCGGAGCTGCAAATTTGGCATCGGCTCCGGCTTTGGGAGCTAAGAGCCGGAGCCGGGAGCCGAAATTTTGACCGTGGCAACCTCTAGTTACAATGGAAAGTAAATAGATCAAATTAATTTAGTCGACCAACCGTTTGGTCGATTACATTCGGCTAGATGGATCTCTCCACCCGACATATGGAAATTTCGGAAAGAAATGTTCCTGCTAGTCCAAAAAATGGCTGACAAATAAAGATAAGACGGGACAAAAGTCTGATTATGTATCCTAAAATCACTCCATGAGAAAAAAGATATAACCTCTGTAAACCAAAAATTTAGAGGACTTATAAATTTAGAGGACTTATACCCCATACTACTCAGGCAAAAACTCCTCAGAGCTTATGACTAATGAACTTATGATGATTTCCGTCGCACTCTGAAAAATTGGCTTGTCGCTGCGAAAAATGGAGCGCGACGTAAGGCAAAAAATTCAAAATGCACTGTGCAAATAGCATTTTTGGGTCAAATGCACTGTGCAAACCACTTTTTTTGCGGTTTTTACATGACGCGCATAAACCGCACAGTGCAACCGCTCGTCAAGTCGCTGCATTGATTTTTGGCGTTTGCACTGTGCAGAGAGGGTCAGAGTGGGAGCGACAGACGAAAAAACGCCTATTGCAAGAAATCGCACAGTGCGAAGAGAGGGTTTGTTTTCGCACAGCACATGTCGCGGAAATCACAATACTGACATAGAGACTACTAGACATAAGGTAAAAAATTGTGTAAAATGAAAATTTTTTATTAAAAAATGACGTCATTAAAAAATATTTTTTTTTGAAGCAAAACGCCAAATATTAGGAAAAAAAATTAAAGTTTGCATAGTAAAAAAAGTTTTTTTTTGATTAAAAAATTCCCCCGCCAACTCAGCCCAACCTTCGCCCCTCCAAAAAAAGTGGGGTGGTGGTGATCCGCCAGATCAAGCGCCTCGAAATTTCGACAGCCCATTTCGATCCTCTTCCCTGAGCCGTCGACGTCGCTAGCCCCAAAAAAGGAGAAGGAGAAGAAGGAGGAGATGGCGAAGAGGAGCGTCAGTCGTTTTTACGGCATCTGACGGAACAAAAATGGGAATGGGGAAGCGAGCGGGGAATCTCTCCTTTCTTGGTGGTGTGGAGAAAAAAGGAAGACGAAGAAGAAGAGGAGGAAGATGCGCGACGGCGCTTCGTCGAGACGACGAAGAAGACGCTGGATTCCGACGAACCCGGCGATTCCTTCCATTCCCCCCACGGAATCGCGCCGGCAATGCGGTTTCCCGAGCACACACAATGAATTGGGAGGGGGAAGGGAAGGGAGAGGCGGTAAAGTCGCGCTAAAACCTTGAAAATTTCGTTCCGCCGGCGATGGAAATGCAGTGACCAAAAAAAAAAAAGAGTTGGGATTGCGGAAAGGAGCGGACTTACCGCGCAAAGGGCACGAATTCGCAAAATTGCCCTCGGGGAACATCCCAAAAATGGGTTTATTTTGGAGCGGTTCACTGTAAAGAGACTTATTTGCGAGGGTAAAATACGTTACTCGATGGGAAAATAGGAAAAGATCAAATTTTTGCCCAAAAGTTGAGAAAATGACAAAAAATTTTAAAATTGATTTTTCTCAAAATTCAATTTTCAGATTTCCCTAAAATTTTGCGTATGTAGCACTTATATATCACACGTCAATCACTAAAAATTTTAACTCTCCGGTTGCAGTAGGTGCCGAGATATTCAACGGCCTTTGGAGACGAGAGACTATGGGAAATGAGTAGAGACGGTCAGAGAAAAAACTTTTTTCAGCAACTCCTTTGTAAATTCCACAATGAAAAATGATTTTTTATATGCAAATAGTACATTTACATGGAGTTGAAAGTGAATTTTAAATACCAAAAAAATCCCAAAAATTTTATTTTTCGTATATTTCAATGTAAAATTCATATCGCTCGCTAAAAATTTGTGGCTAAAAATCTGACAAGTGGTACACAGAGCTTTGATCTTTACCTTGGCCAAGTTTCATCGAATTCTGATATATGTAATTTACGAAATTTTATGTCAAAAAAAAGTCATCTAAATGCCATTTCAATGTCCTAAAATTACTTTTTACATAAAAATAATATGACCTAAAAAATCAAAATATAATTTTTCCACCAAATCAAAGTCTATTCTCTAATCTGAGAAAGTTTCAAAAAATTAAGTCCGTCATAATGACGGATTTTTCGGATTTTTTCCAAAAAATCCATTTTTTCGATAACTTTTTTTTCCTCCAAAAAATCGCCAAAAAATCTCGTTTTCAGCCACCTCAACCCTCAAAAAATCAGTCAGCTTCAGCGACCCCTACAACGATCCAAACACCGGCCCAACGCGGAGCGATTATCATAACCCCCGAGCACAACAAGAACTTTCCATTTTCGGAACATCCCGCCCGCCGAATGTCGCCGACACTCGCTGCAATTTCGCCTCTGGCTACTCCCCAACAACCCTGCCCGCTAATCCCCCGTGCCATCCCGCCACCGCTTCACAGGTCGTCGCACACCGCGCTCCGGAACGATCGAGGATAAAAAAAAAGGGAGGCCGGGTAAGGTTGAGGTAAAGTGAAATTACGAGCGATCGGATCAAAAAAAAGTTTTTCGGTGGAAAATTCTGAGATAGAAGGGGTCTTGAGGGGGCAAAAGTTGCAGCGAACAGGCGATTTGCATTTTTGATGGAAATAAAAATAAAAAAAAATATGAAATTTGGGATTTTTAAGCATGAAAGGCGTTGAAATGCAGCTTCAAAATTTTTGATGACACAAAAAAAATTTGGTCTTGATTTTCCAAGGTATACCCCGCATTTTTTCACAAATTTTGCAAAAAAAATCATTGAGATTTCTTGATCGAAAATTGGGAAAAATTCAAAAATTTTTTGCGTATTTTACTACAAAAAGTTTCATGCTTATTTCTACTGTAGAGTATAATGTTTCCACAAAAAATCAAAAATTTCCGTACGAAACTGGCAAAGATATGGCCAAAAAAGTGTTTTTTCTCTGACCGCTCTCCACGTTTAGCGTGCCCTCTCGGCGGCAAAAATCGTTCGATATCTCGGCGGCGCTTGCAAAGCGCGAGCTAAAACTTTCAGGAATTGATATTTAGTCTATGCCCAAAGTGTGTGCCAAATTTAAGGAAAAAATGTGAGCGTCGCACTCGGAGCTCCACCACATTCAGCCTTTTCTTGCGCAAACCGGCGGCCCTAAACGCCAGTGCCGTCGAAATTCCCGCTTGCTCTTGCACAGTGCCCAAGATTATGACGACAATTCCGCCGTAAAAGTCAAAATGTGCCCGCGCCCATGTTGACAAAACAGCATGAGTCAGTGTCGGGCCGACGAACCTCGGCTCGCGGAGGATACGATAAGCGGATGAGGGGATTGGGCCGCGGAGAGAATAGGGAAAGCGGATTTGCAAAGTTTGCGTTGAATGTAAGCGGAATTACTGGTGGATAGGGGGAATGTTGGCATTCTTGAAAGCACGGTATGACAAAGTAAATCAGGAAAGTTCGAGAAAGCTGAGATGGAGAGGGTTTGATGAAATTTGCGGAAAAAATAATCACCAGGATTGTTTCTACAATATGTGAAAAAGTCCTAGCTCTCACTCTGCAGAAACAACAGAGATTTTAGCTTTTTTGAGTTGAAATTTGGCAACAAATCGACAATTTTCTGTGAGTTTTGTAGCATGAAAAGTTTGAGGCCAATTTTTACTACAGAGAGTAACTTTTCCACAAAAAATCAAAGCCTTTCCCATAAAACGGGCAAAGAAACGGCCAAAAAGCGGTTTTTCTCTGACCGCTCTCCGCATTTTGCCTACTCTCTTGTCGGCAAAGGTCGTTGAATATCTCGGCTCTCTCTGCAAAATGCGAGCTGAAATTTTCAGCGATTGATGTGTATCCAATTCTCATCATGCTTGCCAAATTTCAAAAAAATCCTCTCGGCAACAAAGGTCGTTGAAGACCTCGGCTATCACTGTAAACTGCGAGCTGAAATTTCGGAGTTTTTTCAGAAGCTGATATGTGGCCTACTAACCTCCGGAAAGTCGCCGGACTGATTTTTGGCGCTTGCGCTGTGCGAAAAAAGTCAGGGTGCGAGCAAAGGCCGAAAAAAGCCTATTGCATGGTGCAAAAGGTAAGAAATTGCAAGTGCAAAGTTAACTTTTGTTCTCCAACAGGGCATGTCACCGATTTCAGAGCGGCGACTTTCCGGAAACACTATCACTCTGTCGGGAAAATAACGGCGGATCATCGCATCAAAACGTCTCGCCTCACCGCTATCGCGCACCAAATCTCCAGCTGCAGTCGCTGTCGCTCATCATCGCTCTGCGGCTGCAAGCCGCGGCTTGGGATTTGGTGTGCGATAGCGGCGAGGCGAGACATTTTGCTGCGACGACCCGCCGTTATTTTCCCGACAGACTGACAGTCTCATATGTATTGAACTAACAGGGGAATTATTATACCACAAGTGCGACGCTCAGATTTTGATGAAAATTGGCACAGGTTTAGAATATGTCTTTCAAAAATATATGCGGGAATCCTAGTTCGTGCTTTGCAAAAAAACCAAGATTTTAGCTCGAAAGTTGGCGAAAGTTTAAGACTTTTTGCCGAATTTCGGCACGAAAAGTTTCATGCCTATTTCTATCATAGAACGTAATGTCTTGGCATAAAATCAATTTTTTCCGCTCAAAACTAGCCAAGTTATGGCCAAAAAGTGTTTTTCTCTCTGACCGCTATCCACGTTTAGTGTACTGTCCCGGCGGCAAAGATTGTTGATATCTCGGGGGCGCTTGCAAAGCGCGAGCTAAAACTTTCAGGAATTGATATTTAGCCTATGCCCAAAGTGTGTGCCAAATTTAAGGAAAATCTGAGCGTCGCACTTGGGGTACTAGTCCTTCCGTAAAGTCGCTGGAATGATTTCGGCGACGCGCACTGTGCAAGAAAACTCAGGGTGCGAGCGACAGCTCGAAAAAGCTTATTGCACAGTGCAAAAAAGCCAAAAATTGCACAGTGCAAAGTGAACTTTCGTTTTCGCGGAGTGCATGTCGCCGAAAACATTCCAGCGACTTTACGGAAGGACTAGTACTCCTTCCGTAAATTTGCGCCAAATTTTGATCAAAATTCCAAGCCCCACGACTTCGCCTTCTCAATTCTAAGACTACAACAACACAAGACGCTGCCTGCAGCCGCCCTTTCTCGGATTTTTATGGGGAAATTACCTTCTCCCGACCCTCCAAGAAGTTATAATTCCGAGCGAACGAACTGTGGAGACGAAGAGTTGAATTGGAATCGAATATTCGGGAGTTGGGGAGTGGAAAAACAAAAAAAACACGAAACTGTAGCCACTGATTGTTTTACCCTAATTCGGCGGCCCCCATTATGCCCACGGTGTGGCAAAACAGCGGATGAAATTCGAAAGCAGATTACGGGGCGTGCACAACGACACATCCTTTCGTTAATTCGCGGCGGGCCAAAATCAGGGGATTTTAACGTGACAAAGATGATAATTCAAGGGAGGAAGCGGCTGCAGATTTTGAGGAAACTGAAAAAAAAACTGTTTGCTACTAATCGGTTCGTACAGTCGCTACAGACAATTTGTCAGTCTGTCGGGAAAATAATGTGGATTTGTCGAATCCCTTGCAAATCGATACTAGGCGATTTCAAAGCGCAAAAAACCACATTATTTTCCCGACAGACTGATATTGGTCTGTCGGGAAAATATTGTGGATTTGTCAAATTCGAATCCCTAGCTAGCTGTCGCAAATCGATACTGGGCGATTTCAAAGCCCAAGAAACCACATTATTTTCCCGACAGACTGATGACAAGTTGTCGGGAAAGTAATGTGGATTTGCCGCAAAAATGACTTGCTCCGTCTCAGTCGCTCACCACTGGCCGTCGCAAAGCGATGATGGGCGACAAGGTGCAAGGAAACCACATTATTTTCCCAACAGACCGACCCTAATCCGTTCGTACAGCCGCTGGAGTGATTTTTCGCGCTTGCACTGTGCGAGAAAAAGCAGTGTACGAGCGACGGCCCAAAAAAAGCCTATTGCACGAAAAAAAGCCTAATTTTTGTCAACTTCCGACTAAAAAATCTCGGTAGTTTTCGAAGAACCAGAGCCATTTCTAGTATAGTATATGTTCGAGAAGATTAGTCTAAAATTGTGCTAAAATAGTTTCTTTAAAATCTGTGCGTCGCGCATGCGGCACTCTGTTGGGAAAATATGTATGTAATGTGCGCAATTTCGCTGCGCCAATCGCGTCGCTGAAATAAAAAGCAAATTGATCTTTTCATTTTCTTGGCGCCGATTTTTGATGCTGCAAATTGCTCATTATTTTCCCGACGGACTGTAATTCGTTCCAAATTCCCTCAAAAATTAAAACCCCTCATTCTGCACCTCCAATCTTAATATTTTTTAAAGCAATTTCCTCGCTACACCATCAACAACAACCCTTCCAAAATTCCCCCCAACAAAAGGCCCCACCCTTACAATTTACAAAAGTAGTCGGCGCACAAAAACAAACAACCGCTTCCGGCAATTAATTACGAATAAATAAAAACGCATTACAATAGATTGCGCTGCGTTTTCGCGGTAATGTTCTCATCTGGCGAGAGTCTCGACCCACCTCCTCCTCCCCGCCGATCGGTCGCCCTGAGGGGACCAGAGAAAGGAAGAGAGAATCGGGGGGAAGAAAGGTCGCGCACTCTCTGCTTCTCACGCCCTCTCTTCATGGATCCATGGTGATTTCCGGCCCGGGATAGCGCGCGAAATCAGAGAACCTAAGGGTAGAAAGGCCTCTCTAAAGGGTAGGCATGGATTTGGGGCCGGACCGAGCCAATTTGAAAGGATCCGAGGCCGGGAAAAGCCCACAATTTTTGTGCCGGCTCCACAGCTACAATTTTTATATTACTTTAGATGAGTATAGGTGTTTTTTCGACGAAAAAAATTTATTTTTTTGTATTGAAAACAGAATTTTTTTAGTTGAATAAAAAAGAATTTTCAATTTTTGGTATAGTGACAGATCTGATCCGGTTGCAAAAACGTACCATTTTGCATCCGGGAAGTATCAAAAAATGTGGCAAAATGCTTCCTTCTCTAAGTGAAAAAACATCGTTTTGAAGGGTCATCACAAAAAGAGCGGGCGCGCTTTTAAAATCGGAGTTTTTTCACTTGGAGATGGAGGTATTTTGCCACATTTTTTAATACATCCCGGATGCAAAATGGTACGTTTTTGCCACTGGATCAGGTCCCCTTTTTATATCTGGACGGTTTTTTTGGCAATAGTATAAGATAAAATGGGAAAAAAAAAAAAAAAATTTTTTACTTTGATCCACAGAGCCGTCATTTTCTTGCGTTAATAATTTGTTTGCAACATCGGGGGGTTTTTTTTTAAATTTTCTTTCAAGTTATGCCGAGCCAAGGTTCGACGTACAAAGTTTCTATGGCCTTGAAACTTGTGTTTTGTCCAAGTCATCATATATAGGTTTTTTAATCATTTTCATGATTTCCAATGACGTTTTCGTCCTCGTTGAACTTTGTTTTTCGGCAATCTTTTTTGGGTAAATGATTTTTCAAGGCTCTCCAGGATACTAAAAAATTAGTCAGAACTTGACTATGGTTGGCATTACTTTAGAGTGAACTTTGTGAATGAAGGTTCTATAGCTTGTGTTTTGCACGAAGACCAGCAATTATATGACCAGCAAAATAGAATCGCCGTATCTTCAGCCTCGAAATAAGACTACAAAATAAGATTTTACACAGTGAATTTTATCCACAACGACTTCCATTTAAGCCAACATGTCTATAACGGAAGATTAGGAAGATTTCAGACCTCCCAGCAATCAATGTCAGGCCGTACAACGATATCCTTTCTTAAAATATAATTAAGATCAAGTTCTGTCAACTAAAATTGTAAATGACCCTGTGAACTGTTGAGCAACATGCAACGCCTTCAAGAGCATTCTGCACTTTGTTTTGTCTCCGATGAGATCATGCCTCCTCCCCAAGTGAGCGTTCAGCGCGAAGAGCTCTTGAGTGACCCTCGAGCCCCATTCGTCCTTGGAGGTCAGTTATTTACATAGGATTGGGGGAGAAGAGAAAGTGATAACAAGGAAGTCGCGGCGAGGGGGATCGAATGGTCGGGGGCGTGTGGTCCATTAGCGACATGACAATGGAATGTCATGGAGTTGGAAAAGCTGATGAAATCTGCAAAGACAATGGCACCTTAAAGAAGAAAGGCTTCTTATCAAAATCTCGTTTTTTCACATTTTTTGTCTGTCGGAAAAATAATGAGCACAATCTCGATTCGTTAGTAGAAGTATTAGGTGGATGGATAATTATCCGGCGTTTTTGGCGTGTTTTTTGTTAGTTAAAATTCACGTTTTGTTAACTTTTTTTCATAAAAATAATCTCCCCTATTTAGTTAATAAAATGCGTGCCGAAAATCATACTCATATCCGCCATATGACGCTCTACCACTTCGAGAAAGGTTGGAAGTCAGCACAGTCATTTCGCGATCTCAACGAACTTTTCGGCGAAGAAAAAAAAATCGCCAGGTGTTTCGCCCAAAGGAATACCAAAATACGCCCACTGTAAGAAGCCTATATAGTGTGTGTGGTGGGACAGAAGCGGAATCATCCACTGGGAAATCGTGTCTTTTTTGGTCCTTCGCCGTAAAGTTTGTTGAGATCGCGAAATGACTGTGCTGACTGCCAACCTTTCTCGAAGTGGTAGAGCATAATATGGCGAATATCAGCATGGTTTTCGATACGGATTTTATTAACTAAATAGAGAAGATTATTTTAATAAAAAAAAATTAACAAAACGCAAATTTTAACTAACAAAAAACGCGCCAATAAAACCGCCGGATAATTATCCATCCAACTAATAAAATAAGATTTATCGGGCGCTAGGATTGCTTAGGAGAAGTGAACATTTTGCAAGTTTTCGCCAAGTCTCGGCCGAGCCTTCGCCGTCGACCATCCAACGGCTTTGCCAGGCCTCGTATGCACTTCCGACTGTAAGTTAATGGAAGGTTTTTAACATGCATAATAAAAAATTTTCACATTGAATCAGAACCTTCAATCTTTCCTTTTGAAATCGAAGACTCATAAACTTTGCAGGTTCTATGATCTAATATAATACATTCATAATTGCCTTCTCAGGCGGTTCCGTTTTATATTTATATATTCTTTTGATTTTATAAGGCAAATGGGGAGTTTATTCATGTTCTTGGCCCTATAAAGGCTTAAAAAATATGGGCTACTGTGAATTCGAGAGATTTTTTCTTTGGAAGCTGTTGCGTTCAAGTTACAAGCGCTGTAGAATGTAATTCAGAGAATAAGGAAAGTCACGGCGCTACGACTTCTTGGGTCAGCGACAGGTTGGTTGAAAAGTGTCTTGGGATGCCTTGTTATGTCGTTGTGCGCATAAAGCAGGCAATGAGAAGGCTTAATTTATAGAATAAATAAGTTTTCCCAGGTTCTTCTGGGAGTTTATCACCTATTTGGAGGCATTTTTCACATAGTACTCTAATAAAACCTACACAAATCCTCTTCGTTTTTGGAGCAAGCTTTGGCCTTTTCGATGTTACAGTTGCTTAGGATCAAAGAAAATACGATGAGTAATAGATCAAATTAGGAAAAGAGTTTGTAATATTAAAGTACCATAAGCTTTCTACAAGTCCCCGCTGAGACATCGCCAAGCGTCCGCCAACGGTTCTGTCAAGCTTCTTAGGCACTACCTACAATCCTTTTTTGGGTATCCACCTGCCCTGCGCGTTGTCTCGATCGGTTTTGCAATTGACTCGAACTGTCATCGGCCCGAAAAGTCGGGACGCGGAATATCTGGGCTCTGCAAAGTAGGACGTCAAATTTTTAGAAGCTAAAATATGTGAACTTCGCTGGTCATGACCCAAATAGAAGAAAATTTGTGTGTGGCTCTTGCTACTTCAGCAGTAAATTTATTCCACTTTCTGTCGGTTATCTCACCGGCAATGGAAAATTTTGTATCATCCTGCGACAGAGTGCTTATTATTTTCCCGACAGACGGATACTCACCTTGCAAGTCTTTTCTCCCACGTTTGATCAAACTTATAATTTGCGTTTGTTGACATGACTTTGCCCCCACTTGATTATTTATTAGTTTCGGAAGCCATCGTCCGTCTTCTTTTTTTATACGAACACAATCGCTTGTCACGAATTCTCGGGGCTTATGCGATAATTACTTTTATAATTCGCGTTCTTACTTTCTGAGTCAGCGTATTTAAACGAAACTTTGAACCGTTTCATTTGATTCCATCGCCCGTATATTAATTGTGGTTTCTAGGTTGAAGCGATTGTCAACGTCGGTCGGAAGGCGTTTGTTTATATTCGATCAGGGAAGGAAGGTCGAATCGATCGAGGAGAATGCGTGTTGGTAAGTCGAGAGTTTTGAGGATTTTTGACGATATAAGATTGAATCAAAGCTTTGTGCAACCAAGGCATTGAAGACATGGATCCCGAAGCGAAAATTCGGCTTGCCAATGAAAATAGAACACAAAGCCAAGACACAATTGGTTTTCTTGAGACATTTTTGTTCCTAGCTAGCTTCGAAACATAGCATTTATATATCTACATGATAGTAGGGTTCGGAAAATTTGGGTATATTCACCACGCGGGTATATTCGGGTATTTATAAAGTTAGCCTGAATTAGTCCAATATAGTACCAATATGAAGTCGTTAATGAATAAGTGGCATGTTATTCATTAACCCGAATCATGTTTGGAGTGATATTCTTTATTTTTCCAACTATAATACAACAAATAAAACTATCAGTCTGGCCGAAAAAGAACCGGCCTCCCCGAACCCTTCCGTCGCACTCACTCCAAACCCCAATTTGCATCGCGGAGAAATTTGGAGGGCGTCGCCGAAAAAAAGAGCAAAAACAACGCATCGCCAGCGATAAACGTGCGTTTGCACAGTGCAAATGCCCTTTTTCTGCTGTTTCGCACTGTGCAATCCGAAAAATTCAGCGATTCTTCGAAGTCGCGCGCACTTTTGCGATGCATCGCGAAAACATTCAATTTCGAGGTTGCGATTTCGATGCGCGAGGGGGGCCGGTTCTTTTTCGGCCAGACTGATAGTACTTTAACTAGTCAAAAAATTTAGCAATCCAATATTTGGCAGTCAGATTTTGCTTTTTTTCCGTTTATTTTCCTATTCCAGCCAAGTAAGTTTTGAAAGGCAAAAAACAAATTATGACAAAATGTCTACATTTATTGATTTTTTATGACAAAACTCGACTTTTTTTACATTTTTTGAATGCAAAAGTACTTTAATACCCATAAATATATACCCGAAAATTCCCGGCCTCTCGGGTATTTGGGAATATACTCCGTGTATATACCCAATATACCCCGTCCGAACCCTACTCAGCAGTACAATTAGGCATGAAACTTTTCGTGCCAAAACTCGGCGAAAAGAAAAATTTCTGGCTGATTTTCGATTTAAAAATCTCGGCTGTTTCTGCAAAGCGCGAGCTAGGATTCTCTCTTATATCCTAGAAAAAAACCTTCAAAATTTGCGCCAAGTTTCATCAAAATCTGAACGTCGCACTTGGGGTGTACTTCCCTTGTTAGCTAGCTTCGGAAGACAGCATTTGTCTACATATTTATATGATAGTAAATAAAAATATGGCCATGAAATCAGAATCAGATTTTGGGGTGATTTTTGCTTCGACGAGTTGACCTATTGCACCACATGCGGAGAAAGTCTACGCACTTTTGAAAAGTCGCAGTATTAGGCCCTATTAAACGAGAGTGAAAAGAACATGTTTTTGTGCGGTTTCGCAAACCACAAATCTTATTTTAGGACAACAAAAAGACTGCCTTACGAATGGGGGCATTTTTTCATTTTTTCCCCTCCCAAAAGTTGTTTACTGTGGAGCGTGTTTATCAAAACTCATGTTTTTCTTGCAATTCTTTGGTAAAGTGTGATCGTAAAGTTTAAAATAGTTTTTTTGTTCTTTTTTGGCTCCAAATTTTTCAAAAAATCGTTTTTTTCCAACCGCTCTCCGCTTTTCGCGTACCCTCTCGGCCGAAAAGATCGTTGAATGTCTAGGTTACACCTGCAAAGCGGAAGGAAACTTTTTGAGGTTATATTTTTTTGGTACAGTAGATAGGTTATGTACAGTCTAACTTCTGCATAAAAACTCGAAAGAGTTCAAAAAATAAAAAAAAATCGTTGTAGTAGGCTTTTGTGTTTACGGAGGTTCATTTGGCTTAAAAACGACTCTTCAAACCTCTAAAGCTATTTGCTATAGACAGTTTTTGCTGCATGGTGATTGTTAATAGTCTTTACGTCAAATTTTAAACCCCTTTGAAGCTTGGGGACGTTTTATTTGCCCTTTAATTTGACACAAACCCCAATCTTTTTGGTGCGTAAAAATTTTATTTTTCCTTGAAAATTCCCGCGAAGACAACGTTTTTCGAGCTTTGAGGGCGTCGTTATTCGTTGGTCCGTCAATTTCTAACAGAAGAAGGCATATATTTTTGAAGAACCTTGGGAAAAATCGTTCTCAAAAATCATCGCTGGGATTCCCGGGCGATCCCAAGGTGCGACGACCGCTATTTTCCCGACAGACTAAAAATTTGGAGTCGCTATGCCTTCTTATGACTTTTTCTGTAGAAACAAAGGCTTTTTCAAAAAAAAAAATTTTTTTCCCTAAAAAGTTTGGTTGAGCCTGAACTCTACCCCTTTTCTGAACTTTCCCCCAATCTGAACTCTATCCCTTTTTGAACTTTCCCCCTACAGAACTCTCCCCCTTTTTGAACACTCCCCCTCATTTTGAAAATTGAAAAAATGAGGTGTGACATCTTATACGATGAAATTTTTTTTTCAAATTGAAAAGGATAAGGTGTGACATCTTTTCATCGTATATCTTTTCATCGTATAAGATGTCACACTTCATTTTTTTTCAATTTGAAAAAATTTTCATCGTGTAAGATGTCACACCTTATCCTTTTCAATTTGAAAAAATTTTCATCGTATAACATGTCACACCTCGTTTTTTCAATTTTCAAAATGGGGAAGTGTTCAAAAAGGGGTAGAGTTCTGCCGCAACGAAAAAGTTTTGAAAGCCAAACGAAAATAAATTGTGAAATAAAGAAAAAACAAAAAAAGAACTCTTTTTTTCTATTTCTGGCTGTTTGTTTATGACTCACACTCTCTCAAAAAGCTAAAAAAAATTTCGTTTTCCCATTTTTTGTTATTACGCGTATAAAACCGACTCTTTTTCTTGTTGATTCAGTTGGGAAATTACTGGATACAAGTTTTCCCACAGAAATTATGTGTTTCCGAGTGGAAGATCCCCAAACAAACGTGTTCCGTTTCGGTTTTCCTTTTGCGCTGATAAGAAAGGAGGACAAAAAGGGCGAAAACATTGTAATCTGTTGGACTTTGCGGGGCTAGACGTTGTTGTTTGAGGAGGAAATTTTTGGCGATTTCTTCGGTTTTGTTCGATTTTTTTGGATACTTTTCGAATTTTTTATAAATTAAAAAACAGTTTTTTTTAAATAAATTTTTGAAATAATCGAAAAAATGCTTTCAGAAACGTCTCTGCTAATTTTTGCCCTGGCGATTGGCTGTTTTTCCCAAGAAACTAAAAGTAAGTTTTTTCGGATTTTTGAGATAAAATATTTTTTGGTATCAGGTTGTTCAATATGAAATGTCGGATTTTAACCTTTAACTTTAAAACATCATAACTTTATATGACCACCTCATATAAAGGTGGTCATCTAAGAATTCAGAAGTTTTTTTCCCAAATTGCGATTTTCGGTGCACAAAAAAGTGGACGCCCAAATCTTACAAGGGAAGTACCCCAAGTGCGACGCTCAGATTTTCTTTAAATTTTGCACACACGTCGGGCATGGACTAAATATCAATTCCTGAAAGTTTTAGCTCGCGCTTTGCGGGCGCCGCCGAGATATCGAACGAAAATGTGCACAGTGCAGTCGGCTTTTTCGAGGTTTGCACGGTGCGCGAAAACAAAAATCCACAGTGCGTTGGCGACAAAAGTTCAAGATGCACTGTGCGAAAGCGAAAACATGTCCAGGCACTTTGTGAAAATGCTAATATGTCCATACACTTTATGAAAATAAAAATAAAAAAAAAAATAATTTTTTCAAAATTTTTTTGAAGCCATAATTTTCAGAGCCAGATCCCTCTGAAATGCCTTTAAACACATCCCTTTTCATGGGTCCTGGCCCGCAAACTGGCTCGGGAACTTCGGCCGCCGGCTATTATTTCTTTGAGAACTTCATGAAAGGCACTTACTACATTCGAAAAGGATCCGTGTTCACAGAAGACGACGAAAAGGAGAAGCCGAAAAGTTTGGACCCCAAAAACTACGAAGGACCCGCTGTATTCTACGCGTATTATGACAGTAATGATAAGAAGGTAAGGAGAGGAAAATTTTGGAAAAAAAATTGGTTTTTAAAAAATTTTGGTAAAAGTTCCTTATTTTGGCCACAACTTATAACTTTGCGGAAACTGGTCGGAATTAGCCCAAATTTAGCGTGCACGCTCAGTTCATCGGTGTGAATGCCCGGACAGTGGATTTAGTTAGTGAGGTACCTTCTTTTTTACGTACCATCTTACCCTTCAAAAACGTCTGCAGCCTGTGATTTTACACTTTATACGATGAAACATGTCCGGAACTAAACTTATTGCCTCCGTATGGGACTAAATGAGTCGTCACAGCCTTCGTAGGTACCCTTAAAACTATAGAGCTATATATTATATAATAGGAATTCAGTGCCAGCAAGGTCGAAGCGTTTTTTCGTAACTTTAGTGCACAAGCTTGGGCGCAGTTCGCGGACTACTTTTGTTGTGGCCAAAATAAGGAACTTTTTCCAATTCTTTTTTATTTTTTTTCGATTTTAAGTCCATTTTTTCCAAAAAAATTTTTTTTTTTGATTTTTTTCAATTTTTTTTTTCAGATTCACATGGTTGACTATTTGAAAAAGACCGTCAAAGTGATCGATCCGCTCCAAGAAAACGGCGGAGGCTTCATTTTCGCCGCCGTCGAGCCCTACGTTCCCTTCAAAGTCGGCGAACTTCGAGCCAAGGAGAACGCCGAAAAGGAGGCCAAAAGCCGTTCAAGTCCTTGAAAATTTCGAAAAAATACGCTTTATTTTGTATTGAAAACTGTATTATAATGAAAAGAAAATAAATTTAATACCGATAAATATTTATTAATCATATGAAAAACGGAATTATCACAGAGTAAAAAAGTTATATTGCTATTGCGTTGATATGATATACCATAGATTCGGTGGAAATGAGGTTATTAACGGCGTAAAAATTTGGAAAATCTCTAAATTGTGACTGAAAATTTTTTAGCCAAAAAACGTGTCATGATGACAAAAAAAGTTTTGTTTCCAAAAAATGCGTCATGATGACATCATCAAAAAAAATTTTTTAATTTTTTTTGCTATTTTTTGGATTTTTCGAAAATTTTCAAAAAAATCTGTCGTGATGACAGATTTTTCTTTTCTAAAAAATGTGTCATCATGACGCATTTTTTGGAATTAAAAAGTTATATTTCGATTTCCAAGACTCGAAAAAAAATAAAACAAAATTTTAATTTTTTTTTTTGCAAAAAAATGCGTCATGATGACAGATTTTTTACCTTTCTAAAATATCTGTCATGACTACACAATTTTTAGATTTAAAAAAAATGTATTTCGACTCCAATATTCAAAAAAATCTAAAAATTTTTAATTTTTCATTCCAAAAAATGCGTCATGATGACATATTTTTCCGATTTTTTGGGAATTCGATGACTCAATTTTCCTCACAAATAAAAGTTTAGAATTTCAAAGAATTTCATGGTATTTTACATGGGATACTCGCTCTTCTGGTTCCCGCAGTCGATGACCCTCTCAAACCGTCGATAAATCAGCGCGAAGAAGGCGCACGCCGAGAGCGTAATCAGCGTGCCCAGGCCCACAATCAACACCAGGGTGCCGCTCCAGGTGAGCGGGCGGCCGAACGTCATCTTCTCCATGACCTCGTCGTCCACCACGCTGTTCGCGTGGGTCGTAAAATCGACCGGCTTTGTCGTTTCGTTCTGCGACGCGTTGACGCTCGCCTTCCGCACGTGCAGCCGGCCGGACACGATGAGGGCGGGCTGATAAGTGCCGTTCAATTCGCGCATGATCTGGTCGAGTTCCGCGTCCAGGTCGGCGGTCGGTGCGGGCTGCGGCAGGGGCTTTGAGGGGATCAGGAGATGCTGCTCTTTGGAGGGGTCAATGTACTTGAAGCAAGACGGCATTGGCTGAAATTTGAGATGGTTTTGGAAGGAAAGGAGGGGACAATATGAAAGCATCGCCACGTCATCAGTTTTCGGGTCCACGACCGTTCGGGTGAACAGAAAATCGACCGATTCGAGGCATATGGCGGGGAGTAGGGCACGTGGATACTCAAAAAAAGGTTATAGAAAGTGCCTACGAGGCCTAGCAAGGCAGTTGGATGCTTGCCGGACGCTCGGCGAAGGCTCGGCGGAGACTTGGCAAAGACTTTCAATACGCCCATTTTTTCTAATTATAGCTACTACTAACGTTAGTTTTCTTTCCTCCTGAGTCACCGTAACATAAAAAAAAAAACTTTGCGGCAAAAAACGAAGATCTGTAACTTTTACCTAGAAATTATTGATGTGAGCACATGTAAAAAACCTCAAAATAAGTGATAAGCTGTCCTAAGACCCGATCATCTTATTATTTTGACTAACCAGGTAGATACTCAAAAAAAGATTGTAGGAATTGCCTGCGAAGCCTGACAAGGCCGTTGGATTTTCGGCTGACGGTCGGCGAAGGCTCGGCGGACTAAATTTTGAGGCCTACCCGAGCTGTTGCTGATCCGAAAAGCCGTAGCGCAAACGTCGCCATAAAGTCTTGACTCTCGGCAATCGGCCCAGGAATGTTTATGGAATTTTTACGCCAACGGCATGGAAAATAGTCTGTCGGGAAAATAATAAGTCCAATATCGCTTTGCAAATCGTGTCGCTGAAGTAAAAAAATCTCCGCGAGACAATTCATTTTCTCGGCGCCGATGCGATTTTCAATGCGACTGAGTGCTCATTATTTTCCCGACAGACTGATATACTCTCAGTCTGCCGTCCAGTTGAATGTCTTACCATAATATTATCGCAACGTCCTTGAGTGCAGGTCTGCGCTTCGCAGAAATACCAGAGTTCGGATTGGTTGGCGTATTTGAAGACCGCCGTCTCCATGAACGTCGTCTTCTGGTCTGCGGAGCGCCGAATATTCGACACCAACAAAGAGTCCATGGAGCAACCGTGTTGGTCGATTACGTCGGCCAGATGGGTCTCTCCATCCGACACATAGCAGTTGCGGAAGGACACACCGGCTAGTTCTGAAACAAATGGCTGACAAATGAAGTGTGATGGGTCAAAAGGCTGGTGATTTATCGTCAAATCACCGCAGGAACCGTAGGAAAAAGCGATATAACCTCTGTAAAATGAATCCTAGGGGGACTGACAGAGGAGGTGTTACAAGTGCGACCCTCAAATTTTGATAGAGCGTGGCACAAATTTAAAATAATTTTTTAGATAGATATGCGAGACTCCTAGCTTGCTATTTTTGCAGAAACGACCGAAATTTTTTAGTCGAAAGTTTGAAAAAAGTGGGGCAATTTTTGCGAATTTCTTCCAACCGCAGCCAGTCGTCGAAAAGTGATGTTGGGCGATCCCAAGGCGCGACGAATCCACGTTATTTTCCCGACATATTGATAAAGAAAAAAGAAAATCTGGGGGCCGCTCTTGGGGTACTTATCAATGGCTCGCTAAAAGCCATTGATAAGATTTTTTGTCCAAAAAAATCATTTGATAGCAGACGATATAATATATTATACATACCACAGAAAAAACTCTTTTTAAAATCACCTTTTCATCAAAAAAACTAGCACTTTTTCACTCACCATCCCCATCACAGCTCCACCGATGGACCACGCTGATGCCCACGGTGGCCTCATGAATCGGCTCGCCCAGCGGTTTCCCGGCGTCCAGGTCCGCGACCGTCCCAACGTACGCGTTGTGTGTGCATTTCGGGGTCTTCATTGCGGCCGAAGACCCAATTGTCAGTAGCAGTAGGGGAATTAGCAACATTTCTCTGCAAGGAGAAAGCATAAAACACGCGTTGGCTCTGGATTCTTTAGAATGTTACCGAATATACAGGGTCTTTCAAGAGACGTGAAGGAAAGTAGGAGGCTATAACTTTCGGCGGAGGCGGCGCAGAGAGTTCGTTTTTGGAACATGTATTTTTGAGCAACATTATTTTTTGCCTACGAAATAACAAGATATTTAAGCGCAAACTGTGGTCGCTACAACCCTTTGAAAAAAGGGTCTTTTACCCGGAAATTTACGACTTTTGGCATGAAAAATTGCATGCAGATTTCAACCATAGAGGGTAATATTTCCACAAAAAATCAAATTTTTCCGCGCGAAACTGGCAAAGATACGACCAAAAGGTGTTTTTTCTCTGACCGCTCTCCGCATTTCGCGTACTCTCTCGGCCGCAAAGATTGTTGAATATCTCAGCTCTCCCTGCAAAGCGCGAACTAAAACTTTCAGGAATTTATACGTGCCCTGTGCCCGAGGTTTGTGCAAAATTTAAAGAAAATCTGAGCTGACGAAAAATTATTTGTCCAAGCACTTTATGAAAATATTAATATGTGGTATATGACCCAAATATACAAACAAATGCAAAATTTTACGGAAATCGACGCATTCATCGCGCTTCCCTTGGAAATAAATCTCAATTTACTGTCCGCAAAAGTTTAATTACAATTTCGGAAGTCTATTCGATCTCCCTTGGGAATGTTTCTTTCCTGAAGTTACCTTGCGCTGAGAAATCAAAAAAAAAAGTTTTGATCTCCAGCTGAGTTTTTGGATAAAGAGAGGGGCTTTGTTACTTCGTTCACCTAGTTTTCTTGGAGAAGATGATCGAAGAAGGCTTACCGAAGTTTCATATTCTCACAAAATTTTTTTTGGAACTTTTATCCAGCTGTTTTTTTTTTTGAGGAAAAAAGAGAAAAAATGCCGCGACTAACAAGGGAAATACGCCATGTGCGATGCTCAAATTTTCATTAAATTTTGTGCACATGTCAAGCATACGCCACATATCAATTCTTGAAAATTTTAGCGCGGGCTTTGCAGGGAGAGCCGAGATATTCAACAATCTTTGCGGCCGAGAGAGTACACAAAATGCTGAGAGCGGTCAGAGAAGAAAACACTTTTTGGTCGTATCTTTGCCAGTTTTGCGCGGAAAAAATGATTTTTTCGTGAAAACAATACCCTCTATGGTAGAAATAGGCACTAAACTGTTATGGAAAAATTCGCAAAAAAAGTGTCACATTTTTGCCGACTTTCGGTCTAAAAATCCCGGTTGGTTTTGTAATGCGTGAGCTAAAAATCGCTTATCCAAGTGGTCCCAAAGTTTCGCCAAAAACCTCCCCACCAGAGATTGCCACGGTCAAAATTTTGGCTCCGGCTCCGGCTCTTAGCTCCCAGAGCCGGAGCCGAGGCCAAATTTGCAGCTCCGGCTCCGGCTCTTGGCTCCGTGCAAAATTTAAATAGGCTTCCGGCTCCGAATCCCGGCTCCTATGCAATATGTTTTTTTAAAAATATTTTTCCGAAAGTAAAAGTTATTAGTGCCAGATATCATACAGCCAACTTTTTTGCAGTCAAGTCACATCCTCCGCAGTGTTTTTCAAGCAATTTGGTTTAACAAGATCACGAAATTTTTACTTTTCTGACCGCTGGGAAGCCTGGCTCCGACTTTGGGCTCGGGAGCCGGAGCCGACCCCAAAACTCGGAGCCAGAGCCGCTCAGAGCCGGAGCCAAGAGCCGGCTCCGGAGCCGTGGCAATCTCTGCTCCCCACCACCTTTCGAGAACCCACTCCTGATCAACCCACAATCCAACAACTCCTCAAAAGCCCACCGACCTTTGACGTTTATGCTTTCGCTGGAAGCGCGCGATCTCGCCGCCTGCGTAGCGGCTTCAGAATCCGCCACTCCCGGCGGAATTAGGTACGTTTTGTCGGAGGGAAATCGGGGCAAAACGAAATTAAATTCAGAAGCGAACGGAGCGAAAGACAAATCGCTGCCGATTTCAAATATTCATCAAAAACCCTGGGGCAATTTAAAGCCCATCGGCTGGAAATTGCTCAAAACGGAGGCTGATGGGGAGGCTTCCGGTTTGGAGGTGATCTTAAGGCTTATTAGAGGCGGTGTTTGAGCTTCGAAAAGTGCGGTAAGGGATGACCAAGGGGAAAATTTTCAAGGGAAGAGCTAGGGATTCGACGTTCATTTTGCGATAAAACTTGGGACAAATTTTGAATACAGACTTTTAGGGCATATGCAAGATTCCGAGATGGCGCTTTGCAGAAACAACTGAGATTTTTAGTCCCAAAATTAACTAAATTTTGACATTTTTTGCGATTTTTGGCCAAAAAATTTTTTATTTTTATTTTTAATACATACAGAGATAACGGTTTCACCAAAAATTAGTCTTTTTCGGAAAGAAATTGGCAATAACCTGGCGAAAAAAGCTTTTCTCTTTGAGCGCTCTCCGTATTTTTTGCGCTCTCTTGGTTACAAAGATCGCTGAATAGCCTGCCGACGAGGCCGTACGGAAAATGCAGAGAACGGCCAGGGAGAAATATTTTTTTGGACGTACAGTTGATTTTATGTCCAACAAACTATCATAAAGTCCCTTCGCAATAGGCTTTTTTTTGGCTGTCGCTCGCAACCTGACTTTTTTTTGCACAGTGCCTAAAAATCACTTTTTCGACTTTAACAAGCTACAGTAAACCTTTCTAAAACAACCAATTTCCTGAAATCCCAAAGTCAATTTCAAGCCAAAATGAATCCCCGTATAACAAATCCCTTGTACAGAGACTGTACTTTGAAAACCAAAAATTTTGATTACCTCAAACTGTCAAGTGCCGACGTCAATTTTTTTGTCTTGCGAAACAAGTTTTTCTTTTCTGTGCCGTAGCTTCAAAGGTCGTTTACGAAATAATTCGTTAACACACGTAAAAAAAAGAAAAAACGCGATCAATTGACACATGATCTTATCTGGGTCAGCGGATTAACGAGAGCTGTGACCGAATTGTTTTGGGCCGAAAAATTGGGCCGCTCTGCTCTATTTTGAATCGCAAAAACAGTTATAAGAATTGGCCAAGCCTGATATATGTATGTATTTGTAAAAATTAACAGTCTGTCGGGAAAATAATGAGCATAATTTTCAGCTCGCTAAAACGAAGAGCAATTTGATTTTGTCGCCAAACAACTTATTTTCTCAGCGGCGATTTTCCATGCGACAGAGTGCTCATTATTTTCCCGACAGACTTTTATGGGCTGTAATCCAGACAGTACGAAAAAATGCGAATCACTTAGAGCACTTTTATAATACTGTGTCGGGGAAAATTTCTTTTAACTTCAGCGACGCGATTGTCGCAGCGACATTGTGCTCATTATTTTCCCGACAGACCGATATATTTTCCAAACATCGCAGGCTTGGCCAACGCTCACAGCTTTATCGGTCTGTCGGGAAAAAAACGGCGGATCGTCGCGCCTCGGAGTCGCTCATCATCGCTCTGCGACTGCAAGCCGCGGCTTGGGATTTGGTGCGCGATAGCGGCGAGGCGAGACATTTTGCTGCGACGATCCGCCGTTTTTTTCCCGACAGACTGATATTTGCGGGCAAAACGGTCCAATTCTTCGGCCCAAAACAAAATATTTTCCCGACAGACTGACAATTAGGCCTCTTACAATTAGTCCGTCCGGAAAATCGCCGGACCAAGATCGGCGACATGCACAGTGCAAAAATAAAAATTTTCTTTGCACTGTGCAATTCTTGCTTTTTGCACCGTGCAATAGGCTTTTTTTGGCTGTCGATCGCACCCCGAATTTTTTCGCACAGTGCAAACGCCAAGAACCACTCCTTGGACTCTTCGAAAAGCCGAAGGACTGAAATCAGCGACACGCACTGTGCAAAAACACAAGTTTCTTTTGCACTGTGCAATAGGCATTTTTTGGCTGTCGCTCGCACCCTTAGTTTTTTCGCACCGTGCAATCGCTAAAAATCAGTCCGGCGACTTTCCAGTAGCGCTATTAGCATTTTCATAAAGTGCATAGACATTTTTATATCTATATTTTCATATAGGGCTCGCACATTTTCATAAAGTGCATGGACATTTGCACTGTGCAATTGATCCTTTTTTCTTGCACAGTGCCGAAAAGTCCATGCACTCTGTGAATATAAAGTCGCCGGACTGATTTTTGGTGCTTGCACTGTGCGAAAAAAACTCTAGGCGGCGGCCAAAAAAAGCCTATTGCACGATGCAAAAAGCAACAAATTGCACAGTAAAAAAATGAAATTTTGTTTTCGCACAGTGCATGTCGCCGATTTTGGTCCTTTTTCCCAACTTTATATTACATATTACCCAACAATTTCACCCCCCTCCCCCCCCCCCAAAAAAAACGATCAACTCCAAACCCGAAATACAAGCCCGCCGGCGAAGGCTTTAACCGAATTCCGATCGCCCCATTCTCTCTCTTTCAGCCGCTGCCACTTGAAACACCGAAATGCCAAAGTCGTCAAATATCGGGGCGACGGAAAAAAAACGAAAAGCCGCAGGCGATTTTTTCGCTTCTTCACGCGATCGTTTAAGATGGATCCCTCAAAGGTATCTTCTCTCTGCCCATTCCTTTCATTCCCTTTTCCAGAAGAAGAAACTTTTGTGGATTCAACCCGAACTCGGCTCATTTCCTCAGAAAAGAGACTGAGAGCGCAGCGGATGAGTAATGTCATATCCGATTTCCTCACGACATACGCATGTATTTGGTCGTTGTGATTAGTCAGTTTGCAGTTGAAAGAATCAACGGTCCTGTGAGGCGGAGAGATCAAGATTCATCGGTCTGTCGGGAGAATAATGTGGGTTTTTCGCAGCGAAATCTCTCATGAATCAAATCCAGCCGCGGCGAGCTGTTGCAAAGCGATGACTTGCGATTCCAAGAATCCACATTATTTTTCCGACAGATTCGCTTAGTATTTTTTCATTGATCTGTCGGGAAAATAATGTGGGTTTGTCGCAGAAAAATGCCGTCGCAAAGCGATGATGGGCGATTCCAAGAATCCACATTATTTTCCCGACAGATTCACTTATTACTTTTCCATTGATCTGTCGGGAAAATAATGTGGATTTGTCGCAAAAAAATTCTTGTCTCATCGCAGGCACGCACGAAATCCTCAGCCGTCGCAAAACGATGATGGGCGATTTCAAGAAGCGAAGAATCCACATTACTTTCCCGACAGACTGATATATATTTGGCTGTCGGGAAAATAATGTGGGTTTGTCGCAAAAAAACGCTTTGCTTTCGCAAAGCAATGACGGGCGATTCATAGAATCCTCATTATTTTCCCGACAGATTGAAATAGTCCTTTTCCATCAGTTTGTCGAGAAAATAATGTGGATTTGTCGCAGAAAAATGACAAGGGTTGTCGCGACCAAATCTCCAGCTAGCTGTCGCAAAGCAATGATGTAGCGAAGAATCCACATTATTTTCCCGACAAACTGATATCAGGCTGTCGGGAAAATAATGTGGGTTTGTCGAGAGCCTTGTCGCAGTCGCACACAAAATCTACAGCTATCCGTCACAAAACGCTGGTTTATTCATTCTCCTCAAATCCACTAATTTTTTATATTGCTACCCAAATTACAACACATTATAGATCCATGACTCTTCCCGAGCGAACCGGTTACCTCTTGGCTCTGCAAATTTCTCAGTTGTCGAATCGACATGGTAAACGGGGATATGGCGGGCCTGCAAATACGAATTTCATGCTATCAGTTTGTCGGGAAAATAATGTGGATTTGTCGCAGAGAAATTTCTGGCCCTTCGCGCACCAAATCTGCAGCCGCTGCTAGCCGTCGCATGCAAGGAAGTTCCAAGACGCGACAAATCTACGTTATTTTTCCGACAGAATGATATAGTGCTTTTCTACATGTCTGTCGGGAAAATAATGCGGATTTGTCACAGCAAAATCTCTGGCCTTGTCGTTCACCAAATCCCCAGCCGCGGCCAGCCGTCGCAAAGCAATGATATGCAATTCCAAGAAGCGACAAATCCACATTATTTTCTCGACAGACTCATATGCAAAAATATTTTTTTTTCTCGCTTACCCCATGGCTTCTCTTCCGCCGCGACTTCAGGCCGACGGTCTGGTCCGGCCCCATTTGATAGACCGAGTCCGCGCCGGGGTCCACTTTATTCGGTGACTCCGTTTTGTCTCCTTTATCCTTTTCGTCATCGTCGTCGCTGCTACTACTGCTGTCGTCGTCGGATGGGTCCATGTCCACGTTTACTGGAAAGAATAAGAGGTAAATTTTGATCAAATGTGACCGCGTCCCGACCCTCGGATCGACGACAGCCCGAGTCAAGACAAAATCCCTCGACACGCGGCGCAGGGCACGCGGAAGTCCCAAAAAATGATGTAGGGGGTATATGCGAGGCCTGGAAAAGCTTCTGGACGCTGGGCGAAGGCTCGGCGGAGACTTGGCGAAGACTTTCAACATGTCCATTTTTTCTAATGTTAGCTATTACTAACGTCAGTTTTCTTTACCCTGAGTTTTTGTGACATATGAATGGCCAAAATCTGCGGCAAAAAATGAAGTTCCGTAACTTTTGTCTAGAATTATTGATGTGAAAATACCCAAAATAGGTGGTAATCTATCCTAGGACCCGATCAATATTATTATTTCTGCTAACTAAACCTTCTCCTATGCATACAACGACGAAGCCCAACGTTATGCCAAATTACATCAAAATTTAAACGCCGCGCTTGTAGTAGTTGCTTCTCTGCTAATCTAGAAACTTCGATTCACGCGGGACATAAAGTTCCTACAATTTTATCGCGGATTTCGGGCTGTTAATGTCGCAGAAAGTGTATTTCCGGGGTAGAAACAAGAATTGCCGCTCCAGAGGTTTCCAAAAGTTTATTGAAGGTCATACTGAACCTCTATGAAACGAGACAGTTCTAGAGCAAAAAATTTCATTGCTCCTTTACAATTTGTCGCACTTTGCTTCACTGTATTACCAAAATCTTCCTCTATCTTCGTAAAAAGAAAGTGGAGAGTGTTCAATCAATACTCACCTGATAAATGCGCTCGTTTGGCCTCTGAAAATATAATAAATTCGTTATTTTCGTCCAATAACTTCACCTACCCTCATCCTCCTTCTCCTCCGGCAACTGTCGACTCTTGTTTTTATCCTTCTTCTTTTTCCGAATCCCTTCCACGGAATCCAGCAACAATGTGGAGCATAGAAGAGCGAGCAGCAAATAGGCGAGTTTCGGGCTCATTTCCCCCATCAACAAACTGAGCAATCGATTGTTTTCCGGGGGGTTCTCAAGCTCAGACATCGCAAACTGATAAGGCGTTGTATCGAAAAAACAAAATAAACGACCAAAATCAAGAATAAATCGCAAATCGGAACGAAATGACGAAATAATAAGAAAGAGGAGAAGCAGGTCCAGGCCTACCATTTCCGCTTCAAACTTCATGTCGTCGCCTAAATTAACGCTAGCTTTGTCTATAACTACAGCCCTACCTAATTTCCAAATTATCTTTACTAACCCCTGCCCTTGAATGTTGATGTGGGTAACCGCGGTCTCAGAAAAGAAATCAGCTGCGGCGGCTTCCAAATAATCCCGGGTATCCGGTCCAAAATAACAGCAAAACGGGAACAAACAGCGATATGAGTTTTTGGATCCTTTACGGTCAAGAAGTCGAATTGTCAGTTTTGTGATAAGGTCGTCCTTATCCCCTTTCAAAATTACAGTAATCGCCCCATCAGCACGAAAGATCTCGAATTGCCCGCTATCCTAAAAAGTAAATGACGTTTATAGACTACCTAAAGTTTGGTTTGGGTATCAGTGTACATAAAAAAACTATTGTATTACCCTCAAATCGTCTATTTGCTGTAATAGTACATCCAGAGGTGCCGTTTTGGACCTGATAACCGGGAATGGGACTAATTTACCCTCGATTTTTGCATGTCTTTCTACTAATTCAACCGGATACTTTGCAGAGATCTGACTTGTTAGACGCTTTAACTCAGAAACGGAGGAGAACATTCCATGGAAGAAAGGGGCGCGGAAAGCGAGGTGATACTTTTCATAGGAAACTGATAACAAGTGCCGGATTGCAAGACATAAATCAAGACTAATAAGGTCTTCACTCTCTTTGAGTCTAGAGATAACGTATCGTCTAGCTTCCGCTTTTCCCGCGGTATCCACCCCTAGATCATCGATCTTTGATAGATTTCCTGAAGTCTGATATAGAATGTGTGATGGTTTATTATTTTTATGCGTTACCTTTTTCTTTTATTAGAGGGGGAGATCTCACAAAAAGCCTTTAAGGCTCTCGGATTGCTTTTGGCATACTCTACAAGTGTCTTCCCCTTAATCACACAACTGCATCGACGCAAATCTGCTTTCAACGGCTCAATTTCGGATTTCAAATGCCCATTCTCTGCCAAAACAAGCTCAAATTTCCGTTCAAGCTCTAATTTTCCATCCAAAAGCTGAAAAAAGAATAATACTATGCCACTACCTATAATTAAACTACCTTGTTGACCGCTTGGTCAAGTTTCCTACTTTCGAAACTAATTTGGCATGTTCTAATTTGTCGGATTTAGGCTTTCGTCCAAGAAAGGCGGGAGAGCTGTTTGTGAGATCAAGTAAAGAGTCTGGAGGATCGAGCTTTTATATAAAGCGGGAGATAAAAGATTTTCTGAAAATTTTTTTAAATTTTTCTGTTTTTACTTTTTTTTTAAAAAAAAAGTAAATTTTGAAAAATTTCCGGAAATTTTCGATTTCGGAGAGTCAAAAAACATTCTTACTCCGAACGACAAATTTTTGGAAAGTTGGATCAAAAATGGCTCGCCAAAAGGTCGATCCGCAAAGTTGAAACAAAAATGGCTCGCCCATTTTGGCTGGTGAGTAGGATGCCGTTTTTACTCACCTGCACGCCAATTTATTTTCTTCAAAACTATTTTTGCGAGCTGCGCCCGGGAATTCCAGATGTGTCAAATTTCTCTCTCCCGGAAGAAACGTTTTGATTTTTTTGAAGTTGTGAACCTATTTTCTCCACGAAGATGGGCTGAAAAGTGATCAAGTAAGTTAGCATTAGCAAGAGGAGATGTACTTTTTTCATTTGACACCAAAAATTTTCCTTTTATTTCAGAGAAAGGTACAAATTTTTTCCAATTCGTAAAGCTTCATGACCATGGATAATGTAAGTGCGCTTATCGCGTTTTTTGTTCCGTTATTGGAGTTAACAGTTCTAGGCTGGCGAGTTCTAGAGGACACCTCACTTTAGTTTTGTTATATACTCTATCTATCAAACGCCACCAATTTCGATTTCTAGGTGTCATGTACAATATCGAAATCCGCTCAGATCTGCCGGATTTTTGCCACGAATGCGTTCTAAACTGAGGTAATAACGTAATAAGGCTCAAATAACGTTGTTCCAATAACTTGAAGATAGTTTGCATAGGTTTTACTTTAGTATAACATACTTTTGGAAAGTTAGTATAGTATTTGAAACTTTTACGTCGTTATTCCTCAAAATTTATGGGGTTTCATACATGGAGAATATACATGAGAGTGGGGTCTCCTCTAAACGTTTCCCGACTTAGAATCTTGACGTCGTAGCAAAAAAGGAGATAATCTCACTTACATTATCCATGGTCATGAAGCTTTACGAATTGGAAAAATTTTGTACCTTTCTCTGAAATAAAATGGAAACTTTTGATGTCAAATGAAAAACGTACATCTCCTCTTGCCAATGCTAACTTACTTGACCACTTTCCAGCCCATCTTCGTGGAGAACATAGCTTCACAACGTCGCACAAACGTAAAAATAATTTTTTCGGAAGAGAAAAACTTGACACATCAGGGAAAGACTTGGCATCAACCTTGCAACCTGCAGTGCGGGGCCAAAAAGAGGAATAAAGTAAAAACAAGCTCTGACTTTCGGCGACTCCGAGAGGGGAGTAAGATCCGGTCCTACTCCCGACCTTGAAGTCGGAAAGCCAGAAACAAAATTGACTTTTTTTTGCATTTTCCTTGAAGTAAACTGAAAATTTACTTTTTTTTTAAAAAAAAAGTAAAAACAGAAAAATTTCAAAAATTTTTCAGAAAATCTTTTATCTCCCGCTTTATATGAAGATAAACAAGCTAATTTACAAACAAAAATGCAAAAAAACTCGAAAAAGGACGCTGGAAACAGAATGCCAAGCCTGTCGCATGCTTGCGAAATTTGCGAGAACCAAATTTCTCAAGGAATCAGAAGAACTGAGTGTAGCTACAAACTCGCTCATTTGATTCTTTTCATTTTAGGCTCAAAAAATCCGCCTTGCTCCAAACTATGTTTCCACGAAACTTAAAATAGGGGCGAGGGAAAATCTTAGAGAGATCCTCGAAATCGCAACATTTTTTAGGCGTTGTTAGTTTAGGCTTCAAACAGATAGAAGACGACCGACTTTTTATATCAAATATATATGTTCAGGTTAAGCAGGAATCCAGCTTCAAATTTATGTATGCAATAGTATCATTTTGCACCCGGGAAGTATCAAAAAAATGTAGCAAAATACCTCCCTCTCCAAGTGAAAACACTCCGTTTGCAAAAGCGCGCTCTTTTTGTAAGGGAAAGTGCCCGCTCTTGAAAAATAAGTTTTTTATATTATAGTTGGAGAGGGAGGCATTTTGCTACATTTTTTTACTTCCCGGATGCAAAATGGTAGGCTTTTTGCCACTGGATCAGGCCCGTAACTGTATATGCCATTGGAGACAGCCAGCGTCAAATTCCAAAATTTCTAAGTTCTAAGCTAAAATACACTCCTGGGGCCAATGCGCTAACTGAAAATTGGCTGAAAGCTGGCTGAAAATGGTAGGGCGCAGCTCGCATCTCGGGCGCAGCTTGAAGACAAATTGAAACTTTGCTCCGGCGAGCTGCGAAAGCTTTTTTTCCGAGCCGCCCCAAGAGCTGCGCCCTATCATTTTCAGCCACCTTTCAGCCGATTTTCAGTTAGCGCTTTGGCCCCTGACCTTCAAGATTCCCCTCGGGTCTTGCCCATAATTGACGGTTTATTTTTCATTTTATTTTCTAAAAAATTTTTGGCGAAATCGACCAAAAATTATATTGATTTAGATGGCCTTCGAGATTATTCAATTTCCTTCGACCGGTCGGTTTCCGGCCGTTCTACTGACGACTACTGACTTCCCGAAGGTGAGTTTCGAGCCATAGAAGTAATAGAGTACACATTACAAAACTTTTTTGACTGTATTTTCAACATCTACTCTGAATTTAACCCACAGTAAAGTCTAAGACAATGTTTGACACAAGTCTGTTTAGGAATGCGTTTTTTGGAGCAATGGTTCCGCCAGAACAAGCGTGTGCTCACGTTCCTCGGCTGCGCGAACGGGCTGGGTGGGCGGGCGTTGGGTGCGGAGATGGCGGCGGCCACAATTCGAGACTCATCCATCTTGAAGCGATCCCGCTTCCCGCATCACTGGGAGAACATCATTTGCGAGTCGGCGGAAGCGGATAAACGCCAGTTGGCCGCGTTACCACGTAAGATATTTTATTGAAAGAAGATTTATCGGTAAAAAATTTGGAGTTTGTCATTAAAAAACGGGAAATTTGATGATTTATGGATTTAATACTTTCTCGAAAATGACTACTTAAAATGGCCTGAAATGTTCTAAATATCATTTTATACTATAATCTTTGTGTACGTCTTGTTTTTAGCCGAAAACGGAAAGTTTGAAAGTCATCATTATATTACACTTGATATCAAACTTCAGGTCCTATATCTCAGAGATTTTCATGCAAGAAGATCTAATATTTTTATAGTAGACACACTATAGGCTTGTTCTGTTCTATTCTGAAATTTGCTAAAATCGAACATGTTTAGACAGGCAATTATATTACACTTGACATCAAACTTTATGTCCCTATATCTCGAAGAATTATTTTAATAGAGATCTGAAATTTCTATCATTACTATTCTATGTCTAATTATTGCTATATTTTTGGTTTCAGCCAATTCGGACTTATTTGGATATTAGAATTATATTACACTTGACATCAGACTTTAGGTCCCTATATCTCGAAGAGTTCTTTTCACAGTGGTCTAAGATTTCTAACATGAGCACTTTATGCTTATTTATTGCTATATTTTCAGTTTCAGCCACTTTGGACTTATTTTGATATCATAATTATATTACACTTGACATTAACAAAAAAAATCTCATTTCTCCTTTCAGACATCCGAGTCTACATCAAAGAGCTGGCCAAATGCGCGAAACGCGTCATCATGGACAAGAAGGACTTGTGCGTGATTGGTGGCGATCATTCCGTCGCGATGGGAACCTGGAGCGGCGTTTCGGCGGCGTTGGCCGCGATGGGCCGCGGTCGTCTCGGACTGGTCTGGATCGACGCCCATCTCGACGCACACACTCCGCAGAGCAGCGAGACGGGAAATGTGCATGGAATGCCGGTGGCGCATCTGCTTGGCTATGGGGACTTGCAATTGGCGGGGCTGTTCGATAAGATCCCGAAAATTCAGCCCGAAAATTTGGCCATGGTCGGAATTCGGTCGTTCGAACGTCCCGAGGAGAAGCTGTTGAAGGATCTGAATGTGAGTTGGAAGGGAATTTGGAGCTTTTTTTTTATTTTAAAAAAAAAAAAAAAGGAAAATTCAACAAAATTTTGAAATGTTTTCGCATCGGAAGTAGAAAAAAGGGTGTCTGACTGAATATTAACTGTGGTGCCGGCAGCACTAAAATTTTGTCTAAAACCAATGGTACCACCTGGTACTATATAGTACCACGTGTTTTTGGGCTCTACTAAGCACCAAACCATCACCATTACTGCCTCATGACCAAATTTTCACTTCTTACAAAACAGTACCAGTTGGTACTATATAGTACCAAGTGTTAAAACGTGTTTTTGGGTTCTACTAAGCACCAAACCAACGCCATTACCGCCTTACGGCCAAATTTGCACCTCGTACTAAATAGTACCAGGTAGTACTATTTAGTACCAAGTGTTAAAAATGTGTTTTTTAAGCAGTACTAGGCACCAAAACAACACCATTAACGTCTAAAAGTGCCATAAGTCGAAAAATTTTCAAAAAGAATCCCTAAAGGCAGTAAGGTAACAGAAACCCAGTTTTCATATTCAGTCAGTTCATACTCAGTCAGCTCGAAAACCTTTCAAATTTTTTTCAATTTTCACAAAAAATCCTTTTGTTAAAAGTCCCGAAGCGAAAACATTTCAGATTTTATTCAAATTTCACAAAAAATCCTTTTTTTCCAAGTCCCGAAGCGAAAACATTTGAAAATTTTTTTAAATTCACCAAAAAATTCTTTTTTCCAAGTCCCGAAGCGAAAACATTTGAAAAATTTTTTAAATTCACCAAAAAATTCTTTTTTCCAAGTCCCGAAGCGAAAATATTAAACGGTATCGTTGACCCGAAATGTCGTTGACCCGAGGTGTCGTTGACCCGAAGTGTCGTTGACCCGAGTGGTCGTTGACCCGAGTTGTCGCGACCCGAGTTGTCCCTGACCCGAAATGTCGTAGCGCCATTTTTTTCAAAAAAAAGAAAAAAAAAATTTTCGACCAAAAAATCGGTACGATTTCTGAAAAAATGGAGCTAAAAAGTTTTAAAAGACCTTGGAAAACCGCCGTTTTTATTTTCATCAAGTTTTGTCAAATTTTCAAAAAATTTTTTAGGTCAGAATATTCTACATGGACGAGGTGAAAGAACGAGGAATTTCGGCCGTTCTGAAGGAAGCAGTGGCCATTGCTCGCAACGGAACGGCCGGATTTGGGATGTCGATCGATTTGGATGGGTTTGATCCGGTCGCAGCGCCCGCTGTTGGGACTCCGGAGCCGGATGGGCTGGATCCGGACGAGTTTTTGAATGCACTTCATGTAAGTGTGATTTTTGACTGGAAATTGTTGATTTGAGGATTGGATTTTGATGAGACTTGGCCGAATTTTGGCTGAGAATTTTTTGAGAGCTCTGTCGGATTTTTAAGTTGAGGATTTTTCGAAATTTTTGATATTTTTTGGTCGAAAATGGCGAAAATTAAAATTTTTTTTTTTTTTATTTTGGACTTTTAAAAATCGAAGTTTATTGCTCAATGAGTATAATATTTGCATTAAAAATCAATTTTTTCCATGCGAAATAAAGAAAAATAGAAACAAAAATGTTTCTCTGACCATCTCTCCTCATTTTCCATGCTCTCTCTCACTCTTTCAAAGTTTCGTTCAAAATCTCGGTTCAATTTGCAAATTACGACCTAAGATTGTGAGAAATTGATTTACAGCCCAGATGGGCCAAATAAGCAAAATTTGAAGAAAATCTGAGAATCGTGTCAAGAGCAGTTTGACTTCATTTGTTGATGCCTAAAGTAATATAATTTTTTCAGGAACTCGATTTTTCTCGACTTGTGGCCACGGAATTGGCCGAATTCTCTCCGGAAAGAGACACTCCCGACCGCCGGACGGAACGTTTGTGCATCGATTTGTTGCGCAACATCTACACCAGCAAGTGGCATGATCTGCGGAATAAATTGAACAGTTGAACTAGAAATCTTGGAGAATTTGTTGGAATTTCATGGCCATGACAGAATAAACTGACTTGAAAATGATTTGGAACAGAGAAAAATTGAATTTTGAAGCAAAAATTAAACAAAGCTTTTTTCGATTTTTTATGCAAATTTCAAAAATTTCGCCAATTTATGCAAATTTCAAAAAATTTTTTTTTTCGTTTTTCGCCCCAAAAACACTCATTGTTTCTCTGGCTCATTAGTTGTTGGCTGTCATCGAAAAAATGAGCGATGCCCGACCCAGTAGCAGGATTACGAATGCACCGGCGAAGGATGTAAGTATAAGGTCCGAAAAGCTAGAATAATCAACTCCAATTTCAGTACATTGTTTTGCGCAGGGCAAAGGAAGAGATTTTCCGCATCATGCTGCGCCGAATCCCATGTCTGACCATTCTGTTCATCAATGCAAGTTTGATCATCATGTGTAATATAACAATAATAATATTGAAATTTTTGGGAAAAAAATTTGCGTATATACTCCATATAGGGCGTATATCAATCGCTGAAAATTTGGGCTCTCCATTTGTAGTGACCGCCGAGAAATAAGGCAATCTTTTTCCGAGAGAGCACACAAAATGAGGAGACGGTCAGAGAAAAGTTTCTTTTTTTCGCAATATCTCTTTGAATTTCGGACGGAAAAAATGGATTTTTTGTGGAAATCTTGTGCTCCTCATTTCGGACAGACTCTGACTTTTTCAAGTCGAAAAAAATTTTTTTTGGAAAAAACTTTTTTTTATCTTTTATTCATGTACAATATAAAAAGATCTCCTTCAGTTCACGATCCTGACCTTTATGCTGATGGCGATTCTGTGCATCACCATCCTGGGAATGCACTACCGACTGCGGATCGCCTTATTCAATGTGGAGGAGGACATCATTAAAAGCAAAGATACGTTCCAGACCTTCGATCATTGCCACTATAATCAGACCCCCTGGAGTTATAGTCGAAATGTCTCCGCGTCCTTTCATATGGTAAGGAAAAGAGTTTTCCATGGTATTTTGAAATATTTTGGTGGAAGAGTAAATGGAAGGTTTCAAACAAAAATCGCCAAAAAAGTATTATAGTAAGGGGGGACCAAGGGGAAAACGAAAAAATCAAGACTCTCGGATCTCCCTCAAACTTTGCACACTTACTCTGTATAATGCACGTGTTGACTACAGAAAATTTCAATTCTCAATTTCCAGCAGCGCCGGAGATATTGTGAATTCTTTTTCCGAGACAGCATACAAAATGAGGAGACGGCCAGACGAAAAACAGGTTTCTCGCCCATATCTTTGCGGATTTACCTTCAAAAAATTTATTTTTCCTAGAAAAGGGGTATCCCGCGCGATCTCATGTCCTTGGAAATTTTCTAGACGAAATTCGAAAAAATGTTTTTCTTCGAATTTTTGATCAAAGACTCAAGCATTTCTGCAAAACGCGAGCTGGAAATGTGACTCTTCCCTAGAAGAGCCTAGGCTAACTTTGCGCCAGATTTGATTAAAACGTTATGTTATGTTTACTGTTTTCAGGATTATTGCACGCGAGGCTGTGGACCCATGGCCTACGCCTATCGAGTTCACGAGGTAAACACCAGTAGTCTGTTTGTGGCAGGACCGCATTCTCCTATTGCTGCGACTGTGTGCCACCCAAAACACGAGATGGTAGGTTCGGTTTCAAAGATTCTATTTTTTCGAAATTAAAAGCTCGAATTTTTATGGCCGAAAAAATGCAATGCAGTTTCAGAAGTAGAGTGAAACTTTCCTACAGAAAAATCGAGTTTTTCCCAACGAAACCCACAAAGAATTCACCAAAAAACGTTTTTTCTGTGACCACTCTCCTCACTCTGCGCACTCTCGCAAAAGAGATCAGCCAATATCTCAGCGGCAGGTGGAAAACACGAACTAAAATTTTCAGGGATTGATGTGTGGCCTATACAAAATATCTGTGCAAGATTTGATGCAAATCTGAGGGTACCACTTTGAGCGCATCTCGTGTTGCGAGAAATGGGTAGAGAAATAAAGATTTTCTTAAAATCTTGCACAGGTACCCTGAATAGGTCGCAAATCAATCCTTGAAAATTTTAGTTCGTGTTTTTCACCTGCCGCTGAGGTATCGGCTGATCTTTTTTGCGAGAGAGCATGCAAAATGAGGAGGGTGGTCAGAGAAAAAAGCGTTTTTTGACTAAATCTTTGCGGATTCCGCTCGGAAAAAATTGATTTTTTGTGGAAAGTCGATACTGATTGTAATAACAATCCTATCAATTTTTCTCCCCAACAATCCAAAAAAAATTATTTTAGGTGAACTGTTCCTCGCTAGACACTCCAAACGTTGTCCAGGGATGTTTGCACCGAAACATCACGGAATGCCCCGGATTTAATGGAAGCCACTTTGGCAGCGAGCAATCCAGCGGTGATTACTCCCGCCATTTGGCAAAACTGGTCTCAAATGAAGACTTGGAGACTCTTTATAAGGGCAAACTAATGCATGTCAACAATTTGATCCTCCGATGCCCAGTTTGCGTCGCCAGGACGGCATGGTTTCGGTGAGTTAGACAAATCGTGAAGCCATGTTTTCTTTTGGGGCAAATATTAATACCGAATAACGCTTGCCAAGGCACATTGGAAATTTTTAGCTTGTCCTTTATAATCGGAAGGATAACATAAGTGGAACCCTCGGATTTTGCGGAAACTCGGAGCAAATTTCGAACAACACTTTCCAAGACACATTGGACATTTTTTGCTTGCGCTTTGCACAAATCGCGGAGATTTTTAGGTGGGAAACTGGCCAAAATCGAAAATTTGTTTGCAATTTTAGGCAAGAAATGTTGAGCGTCTGTTAAAGACGAGGAGTATAATATTTCTACAACGAATCATGTTTTCCGAGCGAATGGCCGAGATTTCTTTCATCTGGTCGGCTCCTCAATTTGTATACGCTCTCGGGAAACATTGATTCTTTGTAGAAATATTATACTCGTCGAATGTAACAGACACTCAACATTTCTTGCCCAAAACTGCAAAAATTTTTTCGATTTTCGCCAATTTCCCACCTAAAAATCTTCACGATTTGTGCAAAGTGCAAGCTAAAAATTTCCAATTTGTCTTGGCAAGTGTTTTTCGAAATCTGCACCAAGTTTCAACAAGATCGGAGAGTTCCACGTATGTTATCCTTCCCGATTATAAAGGACAAGCTAAAAATGTCTAATGTGGATAAATTTTCGTGTTTTAGATTTAAAGATATCAACGACGCCTGTTTTAAACCTCTAATCACTTTGACCCTCGGCTCCACTTATCGTTACGCCCTTTGCAGCGAATTCCTCGTAAGTATCTATTTTTTCCAATTTTTTTGACTAAAAATTTTATTTTAGGTTTCAAAGACGGTACAGTGCACAACCACCTTGGAAATTACACCACCATACCGTTACACCGAAGCCGCATCGAAAGGATTGTCATGAAGAGAATTCTTTGATCAGACCATAAATTTATATTATTTTAGGCTATTCCAAGTAAATTGGGCATAAAATTTATGCGAGATTGGTAAATAAATGAAATAGTATCTCATAAACACGAGGAAAAAGTCGAATACGGTTTAAAATCAGTTTCCCCCCAAGAACTGATCACTTTAGGCAGAGAAAAAAAGAAAACTTTCTAGAAAGATCCGGAAAGCGATAAAAATTTCTAACATTGGGCATTGCATTGTCCCCTGGGGCGAAAACTTTCGATGCCGAAGAATCTTGGCATTCCGTTTTATGTTATTGTATGCAGGCGAAATTCGGGCAGAGTTTTTTTGCACATTGAGGATTGTCGCTTAGACGATGGAAGAATGAATTCGCAACCGGTGACGATAAAGTTGGACAGGGAAATCCACTTCTCCGGATTCAAACTATCGCCGAAGCAGAAACGGGAAAATGCCATCAAAATGCGGCAGTACCAGGAGGTAAGTGTGAGGCAAAGGCTTTGTAGCTCCGTTTACAAGGTCCTTGGATTTAAATTTTATCGAATTTCCTTCAATTTCAGACCATTCTCTATATTGTACTTGACTTCAGAGCGAGTCCCGTTCTGGGTTTGTTGTGTTCCCGCAAAATGGGTACTCTCCATCCCACAGCCCCATTATCAACTGGGTAATGGAAGTTGGGACCTTCAAGGCCTATCCGCTTTACCGCAAGGTCTGCCCGGACGTGAAGGATTACCTGGACTTGCGCTCCGCCGAACGCAAGGAAGAACATACCGCCTTCCCGTACGGGGCGTTCGTCCAGTTCCGCAAAAGCGTTGTTGACGACAAAGTAGTCATATCGGAGGTGCTGAGCGTTAATAGGACGTATATTGTGAGTGTTTTTGTATTGTTCTTGGTTTTTAGGTATACCTGACGGAAAATGTCAAAAATTCGGAAAAATTCCCAATTTTTTGCTGTAAGATTTTTTAAATACGATGTATGCAGTTGACTTATGATGTTTCGAGCACTAAATCTGTAACTCGTCTGGGAATGCTCGTCTTTAAACCTTAGCCATGGTGATCACATAAAGTATTCAAAAACTTGTCCAATTTTGGGTGTAAAAAAGCAAAAGTTGTTCTGTGTCATCTTCGGAGCTCATCTATGCATTTTCAACGGTCAGATCAGTCGTCTCTAAGATAATATTCTTCTCGGTATATTATCCATGATGATCAAAAAAAAATCCTTTTATTCTTGAAACTTTTTAAGTTCGCCGACACTCGAGTGACCCGTGGCATAGGTGAAGAGCTGAACATGTTGTTTTTGCACAGTCTAGGCGTCAAAATTCCAATGGAGCCGCGGCATAATGACGAGTTTGCGCCGGGCGTCTCACATGTTTGCGCAACCCAGGCGGATGTCGACTTTTCCGTCAAAGACTTGCCTCATCAGCCGGTGACGATCTCCATTGTCAGTATTAACAGTCACACAGCCGAAGAGTTGGAATGGTCGTTTTCGGTAAGGCGCGAGCTGCGCCCGATGATAGTTCGAAATCGTACCGTTTTTTTTTTGTTTTCTTGTAGGGCTGGGCCGTCCAGAAGCTGGATCACCAATGGAAAGACAGTATCGCTTCGATATTCCAGAAGCCAGGGTTCATCAAACGAGTGAGTTTTTTTTTATATTGTAGTAGGTTCGATATTTAGGCCATGCGATGCGGATACCCGGCGGTAATGATGGTGGTAAACGACATGTTCCTCTTCGACGCAACCCGCCCCTTCCTTCCAATCGTCGTCTGGGATCAGCGCAAGAAGCGGCCGGTCCATCGAGTCAAAGGCGACATGGTCAAAGTCTTCGCCTACGACAGCCATTTGACGGAGATTGTGTTCGTTCGCACGGGTTGGAACACCCGCAAAAAGCTGGAGAGCACCCTACCCGTCTACGAGAAATGCGAAGCCATTTTCCGACAGAATTGCATGTTGTGGTTGGACGAGATGGCGAAAAGGTCAAAGCCGAAAAATGAATCCGCCACTGGCGTCTGCATGCTCATGAGTAGGTCAAATTATTGTTGTGCTTGGTATTTAGACTCTACAGATTGTGAACAGAGGAAAATTATTCAACTTGCCCTCAGGGTAGAAGGGAAAATTCTCACGTTGTAAGCTCAGAATTTGATGTCCTTTGCGTCGACGGAGTTGCAAGGAAATCCCGGAAAACTTTTGAGTTTTTCATTATCAAAATTTATGCAAATTTCAATCAATAAATCTTGATGGTTTTTAGAAGTCCATTTGTAAAGTCGCTGGAGTGATTTCAGCGATGTGCAAGAAAAGTCACCGGTTTTTCCCAAAAAAACCTGTTGCACTGTGCAATAAGTGGGAAAATTGCACAGTGCAATGTGACCTTTTGTTTTTGCACAGTGCATGTCGCCGAAATCACTCCAGCGACTTTGCAAACGGACTTGTAAAAACCATCAAGATTTATTGATCGAAATTTGCATAAGTTTTGGTAATGAAAACATCAAAATTTTTTTGGGATTTACTTGCAAACCCGTCGACGCAAGGGATATAAGATTCTGAGCTTACAACTTGAGAATTTTCCTTTTACCCTGAGGGCAAATTGAATAATTTTTAATTCTAGATGTCCCCGAATGCTTTGAGTCGGGAAGGAGACGAGAAGAAAACGGAATTGTTCATTATTTGGCGGAAGAAATTATGCCCGAACTGAATCTCGTCCTTCAAGGAGAAGATCTTGTAGAAGTAAGTGATTTGTTATGTTTTTTTTTCAATTTTTAGACCCATCTTGACGGATTTGCCAGCCAATTCACTCGCATCGAGCAACGCGCCACCATGACCAACGGCAAAACCAAGGAGCAGTATGACGTCATGTGCAAGGAGATCAGCAACCGATGGGGAAGATTGGACTTTGTTGTGATGTTGTCGGACCGCGGCAAAGGCGCCAAAGAGCAACGTATGAGCGTCAAGCCCTACTTGAAGAAATATGAAATTGATCCGTAAGATTTTGCGGGAATTTAGGGAGGAAAGGCGTAAATTATGGAGAGGGACGTGATGTTCGGAAAAATCTTTGGATTTTTGGATAAAAAAGGTTGAATTGATGGAAAAAAGATATTTTATGAGATGTTTAGGCATCACACAAAAATTTTGTGCATTTTGATTTTTTTTTTTGAAAAAAAAAATTTTTTTGATTTTTGATAAAATTTTTTTTTTAGTGTTACAAACCTCGTGGAGGGAATCAGAGAGTTTATCACTGATTTTGGCATCCAAATTCGATTCCTCCACATTGATTTGAATGAATTTTCGGATGAAAAAATTTTACGGCCAGTGCGAAGAGCCATCAAAGCCTTGGTCACGGAGGTGGGCATCTACTTGCACATACCGTAAGTTGGATTTTTATTGAAATTAAAATATCAAAAAATAAAAAAATGGGGATAAAGAGGAAGAGATTATTGGGTAATAGCAAAAAAAAAAATTTTTTTTTTTATTATTTTGTCATGGATAATATAATTTTTTTCGAATTTTTTATGATCTTGTAAAGTCAAAAGAAATCTTTTTTTTCAGCCTTTCCGTGGTCAGAAAATTTTATTAGCATGATTTTTTCTTCTTTTTTGAAGATTTTTTTTCATGGATAATATAATTTTTTTTTCAATTTTTTAAAAATTTTGTAAAGTTAAAGAAAATCTTTTTTCCAGCTTTTCTATGGTCAGAAAATTTTATTATCATGATTTTTTTTCTTTTTTTGAATTTTTTTTGTCATGGATAATATATTTTTTTTCAATTTTTTAAATTTTGTATTTTGTAAAGTTAAAGAAAATCCTTTTTTTCAGCTTTCCCGTGGTCAGAAAATTTTATTAGCAAGGTTTTTTTTCTTTTTTTGAAATTTTTTTTGTCATGGATAATATAATTTTTTTTTTCAATTTTTTAAAAATTTTGTAAAGTTGAGGAAAATACGTTTTTTCAGCTTTTCCGTGGTCAAAAAATACCATGTAAACGTCCCTCCCGCCGAATGCCCCGAAATGGAAATCGCCCAATCCATTGATCGCCTGATCAAAGAACACTACGCGGAAATCTGCTACCTCACCGAGTTGAACCAACAAATTGATTTCTTTAATGACTCTTAACTCAATTTTTATTTCATGAAATACTTTTTATACAACACTAATAAATTTTTTTTTCCTTTGAGTTTTGATCAAAAATCGAAGAAAAGAAGAAGTAAATAATAATGGGGACAGTATAAAAAGTGGTGAAAAAGGTTGCAAACGTCGAGAAGGTAATTTAGAGGGAGTCAAGGTCTGATTTTTGGGGTTTTTTATATTGTTCTTGACAAGAGTTGGGAAAAATTTTGATTTTAGAAAAAAGTAACCGTTGGATTTTGATGAAACTTGTCATAAATTGAGATAAAAATTTTTTATGACATACAGAAAAAATTTTATCTAGCAATTTGCTCAGAAAATTGAGATTTTTAAACCGAAAATTGGAAAATTCAAAAAAAAATTTTTTTTTTAATTTTTGAAATTTTTAGTTGAAAAAATTGGGATTTTGTTTGGAGTGTAGAGAAAAATATTTCTTCAAAATCCCAACTTTTTCCATGCAATATTCGCAGAGAAATGGACAAAAATCAAATTTTCTCTGACGTCTCTTACATTTCCACAGTCTCTCGTCGGGAAAGATTGTTGAATTGCTTGGCTGCAGGTGTAAATTTTGGGCTGAAATTTTTAGAAATGGATTTGTGGCCAAGCCAGATTATTTGTGCCAAAATTGAAGTGGATCTGAGCTTTAGCCCTCGAGCGATAAAATTTTGAAATTTTTTGAAATTTTTTTGATTTTTCTTCGTCTCCTCCCCAAATTTATGACTGGTTTACGTTTTATTGAGTGTCAAAACAACTTCTGCGCTCTTTAAAAGTCGCGTTGATGAGATCTATGGCTTAATTTTTATCTTGTGCTATATAGTACCACTTAGTGCTATACAGTACCAAGTGCTAAAAACGCATTTTTTGAGAAGTACTGGGCTTCAAACCAACAGCATTAACGCGTTATGGCTTAATTTTAATCTCGTGCTATATAGTACCACTTAGTACTATACAGTACCAAGTGCTAAAAACATATTGTTTGAACAGTACTGGGCACCAAACTAACTTCAGTCAGGGGGGGGGGTTCTGTCAGGGGGTTCAGTCTCCCAACGCTATCATCTCCCATCTACTACAACATGATCAAATTCGCTGTGGAATTTCGCCAAAAACGGGCGACAAAATAACTTGTTCGCACTTTAAACACCCTCAGTGTTAACTGGTTGTTAAATTTTCGAACTTTGCGTTCAATTTTTTCCGCCACAATTACAATCAAAAACTGTCTGGAGACGGAACGAAATTGAAGGCAATTTTGTTTCACTTTTTCTCACTATAAATATTGTAGACAAAGGGCAAATCACGTAGTAATTTGTTTGCGACATGTTCGGCGATTATTTTTCAAGAAAAATTTTTTCGAAATCAAAAAAAAATTTTTTTTTTGTAAACTTGATCTTGTTATTGTACTTGAAGGATAAAAAATAATAAAAAAAATATATCGAAGCTCTCTCTAGAAGCTTTACACTCCCATGTTCCGGGTAATTTAACTTTTTACCACTTTACTGGCAAGAATTTTTAACATTTTGTAATTTTTTGGGATACTGTAATTTACCGTAATACGAAACCTCTCAGATTGTTTTGAAATTTGGACCATAAGCTCTGTATAGGCCACAAATCAAGTAGTAACAATTTTAGCTTTTTCTTTGCATTCTCCGCCAAGATATTCAACAATCTTTGCGGACGAGACACTTTGGAAATTGAGGAGACGGTCAGAGAAAAAATTGTTTCAGGCTGAGGCACTCAGAGTTTGATGAAACTTAGCAGAAATTTAGAATAATTTTTTTCGAAGACATACGCGAGATTCCCAGCTCGCGTTTTGCAGAAACGATCGAGATTTTTAGGAAAAAAGTTGGAAAAAATTAGAAATTTTTTTGCGAATTTTGATATAAAAAGTTTTCGTGGTTATTTCTACCGTAGAGAGTAATATTTCCATAAAAAATCAATTTTCTCCGCATGAAATTGGCTGAGATATGGCCAAAAAGAGGTTTTTTCACTGACCGCCCTCCACATTTCGCATACTCTCTCGCTGAAACAAAACCAAAAAATATTCATGCTTATTTCTTCCGTAGAGGGTAATGTTTTCACAAAAAATCTTTTTTTCCGTCTCAAAAGGGCTGAGATATGGCCAAAAAGCGCTCTTTTCTCTGACCGCTCTCCGCCTTTCGCGTACTCTCTCGTTTCCAAAGACCGCTGAATATCTCGGCTGCCCTTTCAAGTTGTGAGCTAAAATTTTCAGGGATTGATATGTGACCAATACCCCACATACGTGCATATTTTTAGATCTTTACCTAAACCCGCGACATCGATAGAGCAATTACAAAAAAATCAACTTTTCAGCGCTAAAATCTGCTGACAATGGCGCTGGCTGATTGTGAATTGGCAGCGAAGCTCGGTACGGACCTGGTAATCAATCAGACTGTGGATGAGGACTATTATTTGAAGCTGAAATTCGATGGAAGCGAGTATACAGTCAAATGGCTGGTCGATATTCTCAAGGAAACACATGGGGAATTCGGCGAGACCCTCAAATCGGATCGAATTCTGCATTTAAGGGTTTTATATTATTAATTATAGCATGAAATTTATTTTAGTGGCAATTATTGACTGAAATTTTGGGATTATCGATTGAAATTTTGAAGTTATCGAGCAAGGTTTTGAAATTATCGACTAAAAATTTTGAAATTGTCGACCAAATTTTTCAAAAAATATTGACTGAAATTTCTCGAAAAATCGACTAAAATTTGAAATTATCGACCAAAATTTTGAAATTATCGACCAAAATTTCACAAATCATCGACCAAAATTTTTGAAAAAATTGACTAAAATTTTGAAATTATCGACCAAAATTTTGAAATTATCGACCAAAATTTTGAAATTATCGACCAAAATTTTTGAAAAAATTGACTAAAATTTTGAAATTATCGACCAAAATTTTGAAATTATCGACCAAAATTTTGAAATTATCGACCAAAATTTCACAAATTATCGAGCAAAATTTTTGAAAAAATTGACTGAAGTTTTGAAATTATCGACCAAAATTTCACAAATTATCAACTTAAATTTTTCAAAAAATCGACCATAATTTTCAAATTATCGACCAAGATTTTAAAATTATTCACTGGAATTTTATAAAAAATGATGATAACAGCTCGTATTTTACCCTTAAAAAATTGTTTTTTAGTCAAATTTTACGGCAAATTTTCAGCTTCTTTCCGTTTTCAGGTGGATATAAACGACATTGGCGATGGAAAAGGCCATTTGTCGAAAGTCTATCGTGCAATTTTTCAATTTGAAAACCGCAGAAGTCCTTTGGATGTGATTGTCAAATTCCCGGTCCTCTCGGTGATCAACAAGATCCGGAAAGATGCGGGAATGGATGTAAGTCACCTACTATGGGTTGTCTGAGGATTCAGGGAAAAAAAGAGTTTTAAGATTTGGCCAAAAACTAAAGAAGTTTAGCCAATTCAAATCGGGCCACAAAGATTCCCCACCCTGTATATAAAAGACGTCATGATGACTTTTCGACCAAAATTTTTTGTTAAAAATTGTTTTTAAACCAGTATAGAAAAAGTTGAGCCATAATTTTCCAGCCTCTGAACAGCCTCTCCGAGGATGCGCAGTTCGTTTTTGAGGCCCACAACCATGAATGCCTCTTCTACGAAATGATGGCCAATGCCGACCGGGACGCTCCATTCGTCCCGAAAGTCTTCTTTATCGCTGAAACCGACCCTAAACAAGATATTCAAGGGGCGTTGGTGATGGAGAGTTTCTTCGGGCGAACGGGCGGCCTTCATTTCTTCGACTACGTCTCTCCCAACCAGACCATGAGTATTGCGGTCGGGTTGGCCAAACTGCACGCATTCGCGTATCAGCTGCCGGGTCAGCCGTGGAGACAGCGAGAGGGCGAAGCCTTCTACACGGATCGAATGGTCGAGGCGGCCGAGCGAATCGAGAAAGCGGCCGTTGAGTACGGTAAGGGGATTTTGATGACTTATGGGAAAAGCCATGGAGAAAATAAACAAAAATGGTATTTACCCTTAGGCAATGAACTCAAATTTTGTCTAAAATTGTCTTAGATGCTTTTTCATGTCATTGTAAACAATTATTGGCATGGTAAAAACTTCTACAGCCAGAAACTTTTTTTCTGAAACGCATTTGCTCATGGATAATATAAAGTCATCAAAAAGCAAAAAAATCCAAAAAAAACATCAGAAATAACCTCAAAAATTTTGCAGAACTAAAAGATTTCGACAAGATCCAGTCCATTCGCACTCGCACTTTCTTCAGATACACGGCATATTATCGATCCAAAGAGCTGAATGCGGTCGGACTGGTCCACGGCGACTGTTGGGGCCAGAACGTCCTCTTCAATTTGAACGAAAACGGAACTGTCAGCGACGATTTGGTTGCGTTCATTGACTTCCAAATGTGCAATGCAGGTAAATGCGTCGGATTTTGGTTTCAAAATGCGAAGGGGAAGAGTTGACCCAGCCAGGGGGGAGACTTGACTCACGCTCAGATTTTAATGAAATTTGAGACAAGCCAAGGCGATTCGTATCCCCGAAAATCATAGCTCTCGGTTTGCAGGGCCAGCCGAGATATTCCGCAGTCTTCCGAGAGAGTACGCGAAAGGCGGAGGGCGGTCAGAGAAAAAAAATGTTTTTTGGCCATATCTCTGCCAGTTTCGCGCGGAAAAAATTGATTTTTTGTGGAAATGTTACACTCTCTAGTTGAAATAACGCGGAAACTTTTCAAATTTGCGAAAAATTGTCAAAATTTGCCCAACTTTCGGACAAAAAATCTCGAATCTTTTTGCAAATAGTGAGCTGGAAATTTCGTATATGGCTTGGCAAGAAATAATCTAAATTTGTGCCAAGTTTCATAAAATTCCATGAACTTTTTCCTTATCTCAAAATTTAGCATATTTTGGGGACTTTTGTCAATTACAATATCAAAAAATCAAGAGTTAATGACAAACTAAGCAATCCCGATTCCCCCAACCTTCAGGGAATTCGCTCAGCGACCTGGCCCGCTGGATGACGGCGTGCGTGGACGCGGACGTTCGGCGCGAGATCACGGGCGCCGTTCTCGACACCTACTACAACACTTTGGTCGCCGAATTCTCAAAATCCAACGCTCCGGCGCCCTTCTCCCGTCACGTTGTCCAGGAGTTGTACGATTTGGCGGTGATTCAGCAAGTTTTCGTTTGTGTTCTGCTGACCCCGGTGTATTGCAAAAAATCGCATAGTACGGTGGAAGGAGTGGATGAAGCGCGGATCGCGAAATGGGTGTTGCGAGTGAAGCTGTTGCTGCAAGATGTGGACAAATTGGTGGAGAAATACCAGCTGAAAGAAAAATTCGACTTGTCCAAAGGCGTGTAATATATGTAATGTCCGTTTGTCGGGAAAATAATGAGCACTCTGTCGTAGTGAAAATCGCAGCCGAGAAAATGAATTGAAAAAAAAAAACCAGATTGCTTTCCAGTTTAGCGAAATTGTGCTCATTATTTTCCCGACAGACTGATAAGGTCAATTGTCATCACTGTGATGTCATGTACAATATAATGAATTTTTTGGCAATAAAAAAGCATAGTAGTCTTCCATAGATGACCGTGATGGACGTTTTTGTCCGTTGCGGCAGAACTCTCCCCCTTTTTGAACACTCCCCCTCATTTTGAAAATTGAAAAAATAAGGTGTGACATGTTATACGATGAAATTTTTTTTCAACTTGAAAAAATGAGGTGTAACATGTTCAATTTGAAAAAAATTTCATCGTATGACATGTCACACCTAATTCCTTCAATTTTAAAAAAAATTTCATCGTATAACATGTCACACCTCCTTTTATCAATTTTCAAAATGGGGGAGTGTTCAAAAAAAGGGAGAATTCAGGCTCAACCGTTTTTGTCCCCATCCCGGTTTTGTCCCCACTTTTGTTGGGCCCTTTTGTCCCCAGGTCGTTTTTGTCCCCACTTTTTTTTGTCCCCCGACCGTTTTTGTTCCCATGACGGTATTGTTCGAATGGAGGTCAAAATATAGGAATGACGCCCGATTTTTTGAAATGGCTAGCCAAAGTGTCAGAATAGCTGTGAAGCCCCGAAAAAGCTAGCCAAAGGATCTTTTACTAGCCATTTTTATAACCAAAAGGACCCATTTTTTTACTAGCTATTTTTAATAATTTGGCTCTCATTTGCAACTTTTTGACACCCATTCCAACTTTTTAGCTATTTCTTTTTTTTTGAGGCTATAGCATCATTCTGACGGTTTGGCAAGTTGATCTAGCCATTCAAAAAAATGGCTGTGATTTTAAATCATTGGCTAGCTGGTCAAAGACCTTTCAAAAATAATTGTTGGGGACAAAACGGTCATTGGAATAAAACCGGGGTGTCTACAAAAACGGGTCCAAACAGGTGACATAAATTTTTTCAACGTCGAATTTTCAAAACAATGCTGACAGAGAGTATCTATTTCATTTTTCGAGGGAAAGAATTTTTTGGGAAACAGGTGAACAGAAGCCTTTTTTGAAATAAAAAATGATTTATCAAGCCATTACCGTTGAGCACTTTGTCTTCGTGTTTTATGCAGGGTGTGGCCCGCAAAACGAATGGTATGCCTTGGGGCAATGCCCAATGATTGCAGAGGAATATTGCTTTATTATCAGCGTTAATGGAATTTTTGTTTTTGTAGCTTGAAAGGCTACAAAATTTAAAGGAGGAAGAGAACAAAAAAAGTTTGTTTTCTTGCGTCGCTGAATATGTATGATTTGGTGCTTGACTACGGGGAAGCAAGACATTTTTCTGCAACATGACAAAAATCCACATTGTTTTTCCGACAGACTTGAGTTGCAGACAGAGATTGCCACGGCTCCGGAGCCGGCTCTTGGCTCCGGCTCTGAGCGGCTCCGAGCCGGGAGCCAGAGCCGGAGCCGGAAATTTTGGGTGCGGCTCCGGCTCCCGAGCCCAAAGTCGAGCCAGGCTTCTCAGCGTTCAAAAAAGTAAAAATTTCATGATCTTGTTAAACCAAATTGCTTGAAAAATACTGGGAAGGGTGTGTTGCATACGACTTTGGCTGCAAAAACGTTGGGTGTATGATCTCTGGCACTAATAACGTTTATCTTTGGAGAAATATTTTAAAAAATTTTTTTGCACGGGAGCCGGGATTCGGAACCGGCATGTTTTTTTAAATTTTGCACGGAGCCAATAGCCGGAGCTGCAAATTTGGCCTCGGCTCCGGCTCTGGGAGCTAAGAGCCGGAGCCGAAATTTTGACAGTGGCAAGCCCTCAAAATAAAACATCTTTTATCCGGATCACAAAGTCGATGGATACGAAACGTAGGGCAGGTGGATACGCAAAAAAAGGTTGTAAAAAGTGCCTACGAGGCTTGTCAAAGCCGTTTTATGGTCAGCGGACTCTCGGCGGACACTCGGTGAAGGCTCGGCGGAGACTTGCAATGTGTCCATTTTTTCTAATTTTAGCTATTACTAACATAAGTTTTCTTTATCCTTAGTTACTGTAACATATAAAAGACCAAAATTTGCGGCAAACATCGAAGATCCGTAACTTTTATCTTGATATGATTGATTTGAGTATATGTAAAATACCTCAAAAAAATGTGATAGCCTATCCTTGACCCGACCAGGCTTACAGTGACGGACCTGATTCAGTGGCAAAAAACGTACCATTTTGCATCCGGGTAGTAATAAAAAATGTGGCAAAATGCCTCCCTCTCCAAGGGAAAAAACTTCGTTTTGAAGGGCCCTCACAAAAAGAGCGGGCACGCTTTGGAAATCACAGATTTTTCACTTGGATATGGAGGTATTTTGCCACATTTTTTCGTACTTCCCGGATGCAAAATGAGACCTTTTTTATTGCCTCTGGATCAGGTCCGTCACTGTGAATTACAAAGCGCCTTCACAATCAAACATTTTGATCACGACCTGCCCATGTCGTAGCCAACATTGTTTATCGGAATTTTAATTGCAATTGCATCAGGTCTTGAACAATTGTTCCACCAATTCCATTATCAACACATATTTTTGGCCTCGAAGAATTTGAAAGCTAATTCTTATCATAAGAGCATTGTTTGGTCATCCAGACAATGACTTTGCTATCATTCCATTGACGTCACACGTTTCGCGAGTATAAAACAAAGACTGTTTGGAGCAATGTTGTTATCAAACCAGGCTCTCGTCCGCTGAAATGGCAAGTTAAATTTTTGGGGGTTACTGCAGTTTTAGAGCAAGAAATTTGAAGAGGGTTACTGTAGTTTTCAAGCAAAAATTTTGTTGGGGGTTACTGTAGTTTTAGAGCAAGAAAAAGTTGGCGAGGGTTACTGTATTTCTCAAGGAAAAATTTTTCAAGGTAATTTTAAAGAAAAAATTGGCAATGGTTTTCGGGCAAAAAAATTTTAGATTTTCTGTATTTTTCAAGTAACAAATTTTTCAGAATTACAGTAACTTTCAAGCAAAATTTTTTTGAAGGTTACTGTAATTTTCGATCAAAAAATTGGCGAGGCTTACTGTAGCTTTCAAGAAAAAAAATTTTCTGGGTTACTGTAGTTTTTAAGCAAAAAAAATTTGGTGAGGCTTACTGTAGTTTTCAAGCAAAAATTTTTTGGGTTACTGTAATTTTCAATCAAAATCTTTGGCGAGGGTTATTGTAGTCTTCAATTCAAAAATTGTATCATACTTTGATTAGGTCTTGCCAGCTGATGGTAAAAATTTTCAGAGTAGCCTATTCTCCCTTGTGGCCATTTTCGGCTGCGTTTCGGCCAATGTTTTCACGCCCTACCTCAAGGACCACCTTGAACTCCCTTCGGGGGCCGAGAAATTGTCCGGCGATGCTCTCGTCGACTACATCAACTCATTGAAGACCACTTGGACTGTAAGGAATCGTAATTTCTTAGGATACTCTCAGTCTGTCGGGAAAATAATAAGCAAAATGTGGCTACGTCAATCGTGTCGCTGAAGTGAAAAAAATTTGATTTCGCCACAACACAACTCATTTTCTTGACGAAAAAAATCCCAGTTTCGCTGCGACAGAGAGCTCATTATTTTCCCGACAGATAGCACACTTATAGCAAAAAATATTTACATTTCTAGGCCACCAAGAACAACCGATTCATTGGGCTTTCGCACGAACAGCAACAAACCTTTCTCGGGGTCTTGGACGCCCCCAAAGAGTTCGAAAACTTGACTTCAACTCATTTAACCGTCAATTCCGCTCTCCCCGCCGAATTCGACGTGCGCCAAAAGTGGCCACAATGCGCGAAAATCCTGAACGACATCCGCGACCAGTCCAACTGCGGGAGTTGTTGGGCCGTGGCCACTGTGTCCGCCATCTCCGATCGTATTTGCATCAAGAGCAACGGGAAACTGCAGGTCCCAATCTCGGCCCAAGACTTGATGAGTTGCTGCCGCAACTGCGGCTACGGCTGTAATGGAGGCTATCCGGAGGCGGCGTGGAACTACTACCACTCGAATGGGATCGTCTCGGGAGGCGCGTACAACACCAAGGACACTTGTCGCCCCTATCCCTTCAAACCATGCGCTCATCATGTCAAGGTAGGGAGGGGAGAGCACGTCAAACTGACAAGGGAAGTACCCCAAGTGCGACGCTCAGATTTTCTTTAAATTTTGCACACACGTCGGGTAAGGACTAAATATCAAGTCCTGAAAGTTTTAGCTCGCGCTTTGCGGCGCCGCCGAGATATCGAACGATTTTTGCCGCCGAGAGAGCACGCTAAACGTGGAGAGCGGTCAGAGAGAAAAACGCTTTTTGGCCAAAACTTTGTCCAAAAACTCGAGCTAGGCCACATATCAATTCCTTAAAATTTTAGCTCTGAATTTACATAGGGAGCCGAGATATTCAACGGTCTTTTGCGGATGAGAGGGTACACGAAATGTGGAGAGCGGTCAGAGAAAAGACACTTTTTGGCCATAACTTTGGCAGTTTCGTGCGGAAAAATTTGATTTTTTGTAGAAACATTACCCTTTACGGTAGAAATAGGCATGAAACTTTTCGTGCCGAAATTCGGCAAAAAGTCCTAAAATTTTCGCCGACTTTCGATCAAAAAATCTCGGTTGTTTCTGCAAAGCGCGAGCTAGGATTTTCACATATATCTTAGAAAAACTTATTCTAAATTTGTGCCAAGTTTCATCAAAATCTGAGCGTTGCACTTGGGGTACTTCCCCTGTAACAGCTTGCTAAAAATCGCCTTTGCTTCAGGGTACCGCGTACAAGGACTGCCCCAGCAACATTGAGCGAACTCCAGCCTGCACTCCCACTTGTGTCACCAACTACTTGACCTACAACAGTGACAAGCATCGGGCCGAGACTTCGGTGTTTGTGTTCAGAAGCGAGCAGTCGATTCAGCAAGAGATCCTGGAGAATGGGCCGGTTGAGGCCGCGTTCACCGTCTTCGAAGATTTCTTGCACTATGAGGGAGGTGTTTATGAGGTAAGCAAAGAATATATATATATATATATGTATGTATGTATAAATATGTATGTTATTATCAGTCTGTCGGGAAAATAATGTGGATTTTTTGCTCCTTGAAATTGCTCATCGTCTGTTTGCGATGGCTAGCAACGGTTGATTTGTCTGCGACGCGACGAAAAATTTTGCTGCGACAAATCCACATTATTTTCCCGACAAGTGTGAACATACCAGAAATTCTGGAAAAAGTTCCTTATTTTGGCCACAACAAAGGTACTCCGCGAACTGCGCCCAAGCTTGGGGCACTAAAGTTAGGAAAAAAAACGCTTCGACCTAGCTCGGCACTGACTTACTGTATATAGTAGCTCAATAGTTTTAAGGGTACGAAGACAATGACGACTCATTTAGTTCCATACGGAGGCAATAAGTTTAGTTCCGGACATGTTTCATCGTATAAAGTGTAAAATCACAGGCTGCAGCCGTTTTTGAAGGGTAAGGTGGTACGTAAAAAAGAAGGTACCTCACTAACTAAATCCACTGTCCGGGCATTGACAACGGTGAATTGAGCGTGCACGCAAAATTTGGGCTAATTCCGACCAGTTGCCGCAAAGTTATAAGTTGTGGCCAAAATAAGGAACTTTTACCGAAATTCTCACCATCTACGGAGGCATAGCTGATCTAGTCGCAAAAAGCATATCGTTTTGCATCTGGGAAGTATCAAAAAATGTGGCAAAATACCTCCTTCTCCAAGTGGAAAAACTCCATTTTGAAGAGTTTCCCTCACAAAACTCCCTTTTGAAATCAGACTTTTTTTCACTTGAAGAGGGAGGTATTTTGCCACATTTTCTGATACTTCCCGGTTGCAAAATGGTACGTTTTTTGCCACAGGTCCACCACTGTAATACCAAGAAGTTTCTAACCACCCAAAATTCCAGCACAAGGCCGGCCGAAGCAAGGGCGGTCATGCCGTGAAGATCATCGGATGGGGAGTTGAGAACGACGTCAAGTACTGGTTGGTGGCCAACTCCTGGAACGAGGGATGGGGAGAGAAGGGCACCTTCCGCATTCTCCGAGGCCGCAACCATTGCGGATTCGAGAGCAGAGTCACCTCCGCCGAACCGCGATTGTAATCCGAGGGATTTAATTTAAAAATGTACAGCGAATAAAAGAATGCAATGATTTTAGACGGAAAATTTGATGATTAGACGGTTTCAAAAAAAAAATTCAGAGAGTTCGGAAAAGTTTTTTTTTACAAGGAAAGTACTTCAATGGGGTATGGAGTTACAGGTCGAGTCATATAAAGCGGGAGATAAAAGATTTTCTGAAAAATTTTTGAAATTTTTCTGTTTTTACTTTTTTTTTAAAAAAAAAGTAAATTTTGAAAAATTTCCGGAAATTTTCGATTTCGGAGAGTCAAAAAACATTCTTACTCCGAACGACAAATTTTTGGAAAGTTGGATCAAAAATGGCTCGCCAAAAGGTCGATCCGCAAAGTTGAAACAAAAATGGCTCGCCCATTTTGGCTGGTGAGTAGGATGCCGTTTTTACTCACCTGCACGCCAATTTATTTTCTTCAAAACTATTTTTGCGAGCTGCGCCCGGGAATTCCAGATGTGTCAAATTTCTCTCTCCCGGAAGAAACGTTTTGATTTTTTTTGAAGTTGTGAACCTATTTTCTCCACGAAGATGGGCTGAAAAGTGATCAAGTAAGTTAGCATTAGCAAGAGGAGATGTACTTTTTTCATTTGACACCAAAAATTTTCCTTTTATTTCAGAGAAAGGTACAAATTTTTCCAATTCGTAAAGCTTCATGACCATGGATAATGTAAGTGCGCTTATCGCGTTTTTTGTTCCGTTATTGGAGTTAACAGTTCTAGGCTGGCGAGTTCTAGAGGACACCTCACTTTAGTTTTGTTATATACTCTATCTATCAAACGCCACCAATTTCGATTTCTAGGTGTCATGTACAATATCGAAATCCGCTCAGATCTGCCGGATTTTTGCCACGAATGCGTTCTAAACTGAGGTAATAACGTAATAAGGCTCAAATAACGTTGTTACAATAACTTGAAGATAGTTTGCATAGGTTTTACTTTAGTATAACATACTTTTGGAAAGTTAGTATAGTATTTGAAACTTTTACGTCGTTATTCCTCAAAATTTATGGGGTTTCATACATGGAGAATATACATGAGAGTGGGGTCTCCTCTAAACGTTTCCCGACTTAGAATCTTGACGTCGTAGCAAAAAAGGAGATAATCTCACTTACATTATCCATGGTCATGAAGCTTTACGAATTGGAAAAATTTTGTACCTTTCTCTGAAATAAAATGGAAATTTTTGATGTCAAATGAAAAACGTACATCTCTTGCCAATGCTAACTTACTTGATCACTTTCCATCCCATCTTCGTGGAGAACATAGCTTCACAACATCGCACAAACGTAAAAATAATTTTTTCGGAAGAGAAAAACTTGACACATCAGGGAAAGACTTTTCATCAACCTTGCAACCTGCAGTGCGGGGCCAAAAAGAGGAATAAAGTAAAAACAAGCTCTGACTTTCGGCGACTCCGAGCGGGGAGTAAGATCCGGTCCTACTCCCGACCTTGAAGTCGGAAAGCCAGAAACAAAATTGACTTTTTTTTGCATTTTCCTTGAAGTAAACTGAAAATTTACTTTTTTTTTAAAAAAAAAAGTAAAAACAGAAAAATTTCAAAAATTTTTCAGAAAATCTTTTATCTCCCGCTTTATATATCAAAAAAATCGTAAAATTTTTCTGATTCAGAAAATGCAAAATTTAGCTGCCTAATTTCGGTTTGTAAGGGTGAAAAAATCCTCTGAACTTTTCTCGCAACACCACACAAATGCCTTTTTGACCAAGTTTTTAGCAAATCAAAAGCTTTGTTTTGAACTAAAGTAAACTCTGGTATCTTTACAAGCCTCAAAATATCAAACTTAATTTATACTACACCTTAATTAGTAGTTCCAATCAGAGATTGCCACGGCTCCGGAGCCGGCTCTTGGCTCCGGCTCCGAGCCGGCAGCCAGAGCCGGAGCCGGAAATTTTGAGGTCGGCTCCGGCTCCCGAGCCCAAAGTCGGAGCCAGGCTTCCCAGCGGTCAGAAACGTAAAAATTTCGTGACCTTGTTAAACCAAATTGCTTGAAAAACACTGCGGAGGATGTGATTTGACTGCAAAAACGTTGGCTGTATGATCTCTGGCACTAATAATTTTTATTTTTGGAAAAATATAATATTTTTTAAAAAAACAGTTTGCGTAGGAGCCGGGATTCGGAGCCGGAGGCCTTTTTAAATTTTGCACGGAGCCAAGAGCCGGAGCTGCAAATTTGGCCTCTTAGCTCCCAGAGCCGGAGCCAAAATTTTGACCGTGGCAATCTCTGGTTCCAATCTAAAAAAGGCGCATTTTCATGGTGTTTCGAGAAAATTTCCGAGGGTTTTTTCACCCTTACCAGCCAAAATTAGGCAGCTAATTTTGCACGGCACTTGTCAAAGCCCGACTCCTCCCAAAACAAGGTGATGACTAGTTCTTGACGGTGCAGCATGGGAATAGTACAATACAGTTCTTGAAAGCCGGCCAAAATGTAGATATCATCCCCTACTGTATCCAGAGAGACAGTTTGTGGCATCGTCTGTCTTCAACGATGCGCCGCACAAGTCCAAAAATTCTTAGCGGCTACACGGAACCTCCCCTTTGAAAGATCACCCTCCAGAATGGCATGGCTGCAAACCGGGCCAGCCCGGCCCAGCCCGGGCCTAAATCTCCGGGCTTGTAAAATTTGGAAAGCCTGGCCCGGTTCGGCCCGGAAAATTTTTGTACTAGGCTGGAAAGAAACAAAGCAGGAAATGAAGGGAAAATTATGGCACATTTTCGCAAAATGTAAAGAATAATTTAGAAAACCCTATACATAGTGCAATTGCCGCTTGACTATTTTTATAAATTACTAAGTCGCCATAAATTTTCTTACTATATGGTTGCAAAAAATTATAAAATTTTGTGTATAGTCACCCAAATTTTAGCAAAAATATTTTATCACAGATCTATTACCGGATTTGAAAAAACCTACAAGCGTATTGCGTAGTTTTGAACAATTTTCCTATTTCTCTTTTTGCCAGCGTATTAACTATGAGGCCGCACTTTAGAATTTCTGAAAATTTTTTCAAATTTTGACTGCCGTAAATTTTGGAAAGCCCGGCCCGGAGCCATGCCTACTCCAGAAGCCGATTTAATCGAGATACGAGACTGTCCCTCGTCCAGCCTATTTGTCAAAGCTGGCCTATACGCATTATCATCAGTTCAAGAATCTAGCCCGTTTCATCAGTGGTAGGGAATTCGACAATGAAGACGTCCTTGAAAAGGCCTTCAAAAGTTTCATCGGCTCCGGAAGCCGGGGTTCCGGAACTACAGACATAAAAAACTTTTTGGCACGTTTTAACAAGCGTGATAAAGCACAGGATAATTATTTTGATTAAATAGATCGCAGTTATTACGGTAAATTTTGACGAAAAAATAAATTTTTCGAAGAGGGTCATTATTTGTTGGACAAAATAATATTTTAAAAAAAAAATTTTTTTGATATGTACTATTATTATAATTTTAGATGTTTTTGTGTACTATGCACGTGAATAATTTCGTCTTGAAATTTGGTTCCTACAAGTTCAAAACCTCGCACCATGAGCCCAGACAGCACTATACGGCTGTTCAAACGATGCAGTCGGAACAATTGGCTTCAGTTGGACATGAACTTGATTTTTTTAACGTTCTGTTCAAGGTGTGGGCAGTTGAATAAACATCGTGTTTTTGAACTACTGACCGTACAAGCGTCTTTATCCGGGTATAAAAGCTCTGGCTGCGACAGCGGTAATGTCAACGTTCAAAGGAAGCGATGAAATCGGTAATCTTTTTCGGGCTCCTTGTTGCTCTGGTGTGTGTTGTTGTAGGCCAAAAAGCTGGCACAACCACTGGCTATTGGTAAGGAAATATGATTATGTAAATTTTTTGAATCATTTGACAAAAAATCTAGACTCTCGCAAAAAACTGGTGGAAATTTTCGAAAATTTTTGGTCCCACAACGAAAACCTGAATTTCTTCGAAATTAAAGGAAACTGTGAAAAGTGATGTGGAGTGACCCTAATAGGTTAGAAAAACTGTTTATACATTATTTCCAGTCACAAGTCCTCTTGTTTCGCATCAAAAACCCTCAAATTGTAAAAAATTTTGGTCCCACAGCGAAACCCTGAATCTCTTCAAAATTCAAGGAGACTAGTCAAAAATGATGCGGGGTGCTGTTTATAAATTATTTTCAATTACTATTCCTCTCTTTTTGCATCAAAACCATTAAATTTTAGAAATTTTTGGTCCCACAACGAAAACTTGAACTTTTTCAAAATTAACGGAAACTGGTGAAAATTACTCGGAATAGCCCTAATAGTCCAGAAAAACTGTTTATAAACTATTTTCAATCGCTATTCCTTTCTAATTGCACCAAAAAACCTTATTTTAGGGACTGCTGTAAGCCGTCTTGTGCGTGGCCCGGGAAAACCAACCTGAAGACGCGCCCATCGCTGGCTTGTGACAAGTTCGACCGCCCCCTCAACGACAGCAACGCATGGTCGGCGTGCGGGAAGCATGGGGTCGCGTACATGTGCTCGCACGAGCAGCCTTGGGCCGTCAACGATCAGCTCTCCTACGGATTTGCGGCCGTGAAATTGGCCGGAATGAGCGAGGACGGATGGTGTTGTTCTTGTTATGAGCTCACCTTCACTGAGGGACCAGTCAAGGTGGGATTTTTAAAGATTTTGAGGTGATTTTTGAAAGTGAAATCTTTCGTGTTGGGACCCAATTTTTTGAATATTGTAGAAAAATTAATGTTAAAAAGTCGCGGAAATTTGTGTGACGGTCCTCTGACTACCATATAAAGTCGAGCAGATGAGATTTTGCGATTTTACAGACTTTTTCAAACAATCAATCTTTCGTGGTGGGACCCAACTTTTGAGATTTTTTTTTGATTTTTTATTTAAATTCATTACGTAAAGCTAAGATAAGGCATATAAAAAATTTTAGGGCAAAAAATTCGTGGTCCAAGCCACGAATACGGGCGGAGATTTGGGCGAAAACCACTTCGACATGGCGATTCCCGGCTGCGGTGTGGGCTACCTGAACGGCTGCACCGCCCAGCACCACGCGCCAAAGGACGGTTGGGGAAAGCGTTACGGTGGAATCAGCGCGGTGAGCGAATGCAGTCAGCTCCCGCAGGAATTGCAGCCCGGCTGCCATTGGCGTTGGAGCTGGTATTTGGGAGCACAGATCCCGAAGGTCACCTTTAAGCGCGTCAAGTGCCCCAAGGAGATTACGGAGAAGAGTCAGTGCATTCGCGCCGACGAGGACAGTTTCGTCGAATAAAATGGATGAAAATATTGGTTACTGTAACCCATAACAATTTTCTCGTTTTTTCGAAAAATAAAGCATGCTAATCTAATTTGATCACTCCTAAAACTAAATAACTCTTTTTCCTTTCAATCCAGAGCTCCTTAAATCCTCTCCGGCCATCATTTCCCCCATATTCGTCCAAGAGAAACACTTGACCCAACATTTGACGCAGTTGAGTCAAGTCTTCCCCTCATCTCAAATCCCTTCTCTACTTTTTACAATTGACTGCATATCATCAAAATTTATTTACAAACACGTATAAAATGAGTTAAAGTTGAGAAATATATAAATATCACGGTCCGAGGACATAGGGTTAGACAAGTGTAAGATACTGGTTAAATTTCAGAGCCCTAATGTTTCACAAGTGGTATATCTGCACGCAAAATATGTTTAGCAATTAGAAAATGACCTATAAATTCACCGAATTTTAGCGCCCAAACGTTTACGCAACTTTTGAGGGGGTTCGAGCTGCGCCCTAGCTACTGCAGGCTGCAGAGTGCAAATCCTCAAAATCCGGCGCAATTCAATACGGAATGGCGCTTAAATCCCTATAGCGTTGTTATAACTCTTCCCGGCCTAGCCCAGGTGCAAACAAAGCCCTCCTGACACGCCGTTACCAAGCAGTCCGGCCTAAAACAAAGTACAGTAAGCCGTTCGTTGGAGATTTTCTTGCACACCAGCGGTTCGATTATCGGGACGGCGTCCATTCGGGGGCATTGCGAGGTTCCGAAGAGCTGAAGGGCAGGGTCGATGACCGGCGCCTCCACCGGACTTAGGGCGGGTCCATTCAATTGAGGTGGTAAGGTTGAGCTGTTTCGGGGGTTTCTAGCACTTCTAAATTTTCAAAATTTACAAAACATAGTCAAAAAACCCTCCAGGGACCATTTCCGATCTATTCCACTATAAAAATCAAAATGCCAAGATTTCGTTGCGGGACCCAAAATTTTTCAATTTTTATAATTCCTACCTTTCCGCCGTGTTGTTGTGTCGATTGCCAAAGCTGAGTACTCTCTTATGGAGGAATCTTCTCGGTTTGCTTGGCTTCGGCTCTTTTGTTACGACTTCTTTTACACTGGCTGATCCGGACGGTGCTTCAGGTACCTAAAACAATATAAAAACTGGTTCAAACTCGCTTACATCATTATAAAATCCCATCACCGGGCTTTCGTAGGTGCTTCGAGCCTCTGAGGCGGTCCGAGAAGCGGGGTCTGTCAAGTTGTTGATCATGGCACCACTTGTTGTAGATGATACCATATCCTTGCTGGTGCTCGGTTCCTTGTTCTGATATTTCAGAATTTCGGTCCCAACGTCCCATAGGCAAAGCTGAGTGTCATGAGAGACAGTGCCGATCCGATAGAAGACACTATCTTCATCATGATGATAATGTCCATTTTGGGCCAAGCTCTCCTCGGATTTACAAATGGAGTCCAATTTTGGTGGTCGCATGCCTAGCGATCCTAGTCTGGTTCTAACCTTGTCTTCTTGCGTCGAATTCGACATTCTATGTCCATTTTCATGGACTTCTCCATTCTGCGGTCGAGAGTCTAAAAACCGAAAAAATAATTTTTCAAAACCAACATACGTCGTGTAATTTCCGGCGTAACCAACGTCTTCAGGTCCTCTGTGCTCGACGCTGAGCCCACATTGAGTTGATCATTGAAGGCAGCACCAAATAAGCCGTTATTTTGGCCGTTGTATTTGTTGACATAGGGGTCGAAGGCGACTTGGGAAATCCAACTTTTATGGCCCTGTCCTCTGCACAGGACTCTGTTTTCTGTGACCGAGAACACAGTTAGAAGGTCGTCTTCTCCGCCGGTGGCAATCAGCTTCTGATCCGGCGACCAGGACAGGCACAGGAGGCCGCCAAAGTAGGAGCGCATCTGGCAGAGCAATTCCATTTGGGAGAAGCGGAAAATCCGCATGAACCCGTCCTGAAATAAAAAAAATACCAAATTCGTTTGTGTAGTTTCTTATTTCACACTTCAAAATACCCAAAAAAAACCGAATATCAGCCAAAATCAACGAATTTTTCAAGTTTTTTACCTGTCCAACAACAGCTAACAGGTCGGTGGAATGTGGAGCAAATTCGAACTGGTTAATGGCGCCTTTTCCCACTTGTATCCGTCTTATTGGATTCTTATTTGGTCGACTTTTCATTGAGTAGACGGAGAAGTGATCAGTCTAAAATTGGAAGGAGTTTTATTCATCTGATTATATTACTTTAGACCAGCTAAAATCATATCAAAAAATGATATTTTTTCGAGTTAAATAAATATTCAAGAAATCTCAAGGGCAATTCATATCTTTTCCCGTCATATTATACAACAAAAAAGTCTTATTTGACCAAAAATTTTGAAACTTTTATCAAGTGTAATATAAAAAATCTAAAATTTTGGCCAAAAATCTATCTGAATATCCTTCCTAGCTCCTCAAAAAAATTTTCAGCCCATTTGAGCCCCAACTCACTTGTTTGACCATGTTATAGACGGGTGCCACCGCACAAGTTGGGTATTCTTCGTTATAAACATACATGAACCCGCTTTGATGCGACGCCAGAAACTGTTGAGGGCTCCCGGGGATCCATTTGATACACGTCACAGACGATTTCTCAATCAGTCTTTCTTCGTTGAACAATTTACTCGTTGGGTATTCCTTTTGGAAGGGGTCGACCAGTTGAATTTGGCCCGCTGAGAAGCCAACAACAAGATGGCAACGAGTGGCGGACAACGTTTCGTGGTTGAAATCATGACAAGTGGGGAATGTTCCTTTGTATATCCGCTTGTCCAGCGGCTTCGACCAGTCTAATGTTCCACTCAGATTTCTGAAGAGGTTTTTGGTCAAGTACAATATAAGAGGTACCTAAAATTCGAAAAAAATACGAAAAACACTTACTCAAAATCATAGACAAACAGCTCTCGTCCAATGTTGAAGGCTATTCTCTCTACAACATGCGATTCCTCATCCGGTATACTCGCACATTCATCATGATGGCTACTTTCAGCTTGATCGAAAGGAATCGACTGTGGAACTCGAATAAAGGACACTCGCACTGGCGCATTACAACCCGAGCTTCCATTCTGAACCTAAACTTAGCCTTTACTATCCAAAATTCACCTAAAAATCGAAGAAAAAATAGCTAAAACAACAGCCCACCTGAGCCATGTTAACCCTGTTCTTGGCCGGCTGGTCAGCCACTGTCATCTGGCGATAAGTACCCTCGCGGGTCGTGAAGTGTGTCTTGATCAGGTCCTTTTGCCCGCTAACAATCGTCGTCTCCAAGACGGGCGTCCCGTGGTTCAGCAGGTGCTGCTGCGACGGCGAGCCCGACAACGGCGACGCTGCGCTCAACGGCGACACGGATGAGCCCACGAACAGTGCGTTGGACTGGGGGCTCAGCGAAGACGTGGCCGCACCGTACACGCCGACACCAGCGCGCATTATCCGGTCAACGCCGCCACTGAAAGCATGGATAATATAGGGTCAAAACACCATCATTCTTGTTGTTTTTTGTGGCCGGAAACGGAACTACCAGCAAGATTATAACCTTATCTTGCCCAAAATAGCAAAAGCCCAATAGTTCTCTTTCTTTTTTGGGTAAAAAATTTCAAAACTTGAGAATAGGTGGTCTAAGATTATAAAATGGCCATAAATCCTCGCAAAATCGACGAATACTCGCATGAATCTTTCGCCACACCTTCAACAACCTAAAATACGAACAAAAATAGAAAAGGTACTCACCAGAATTCGGTTTCCGTCGGCGCTTCGACGAAAACTCGGAACCTGCGGCCAGTTTAATCCCCAGACTTAGGCGAAGGCCGAGCAAAGCTTGTCCGCAACGAAACGAGATGGGTTAATTACGAATGTTGACCGAATTAAAATGGCGCCCGGAGGCCCGATGCTAGCCGGCGAGAGTGCGGTTTTATCGAGATTTTCGCGAGTGAAAAATTTTGAGGAAATTCCAGAAAATCCGTCATCCGGATGGGAGTAATCGGACAAATAGGCGTGAAAAATTGATTAAACCGGGTGTGATATCAAGTATACGATGTCACAGTACAGATATTACCTTGCACTTCATAGAATAAAACCGTCGGGATGACGGATTTTTTATTCGCGCTAATTTCTCGACCAAATCGATGGCCAGCGAACTGCGCCCGAGAGATATTCAAAATAACTTTCCCAAAGACTGCGACATTGAATATTCTGTATTTTGCAGTTATTACGCCAAGAATGTAATTTTAGAAGTTTTCACAGAGCCGTTTATGGCTTGCTTGATTTTTCGTGGAGTTATTCATGTTATACTTTAGTTGGTATATTAACATTAATTGAAAAAAATGTTATTCTCGCTGTATCTAACTTTACAAAGATTTTATTAATTGGACAAAAACGAATAGTAGGATCTAAATTTTACCAGAAATCTCCTTATAACAAACCAAAACCTATCCATTTTTTATCCATTTTGTGTTGCGGGCGCAGTTCGCCGACTGCAGATATGATCTTCAACAATTTCGTCAGAGAAATTTCTAAGCTTTCGTTGTTTTCGCCTTGATGCAAACCAAATTAATGTCCTTTAGTCGTAAACAACTTTCAGCTTGAAACCAACTGCACGCCCTGTTCTCTACACCATTCACTTTTTACACACTTTGTTCATTGGAAGGGTGGTTTTATAATGTTGAAATTCGATGTTTGCTTTGCTTTTAGTGTAATATAATTTATTTCGAATGTCTTCTTTCTATTTACCACGCTTTTTTCGACTACTTTCGCGATTTGTCTCAAGATTTTGAGTATTTATATTATACTTGACAATCAATTGTATTTTTAGCTCGTGAAATGACGACAAGACTCGCAGAACCGATAGAAGCCCCGGAAATAGTTGAGAAACGCCAGAAGCTTGAGGACTCGGATGATTCCACGGAGAAATCGGACAGTTATGATCTGCAAGGACCGTCCAAAGCGAGTTCACCTGATGCCAAAACAGAACCTGACGAAGATGGCTTCGTATCGAAACTATCCGAGTATGAGGAAATGTTCAAGGACCGGTAAGATTTGTTCTTTCTATTTTTTTGTTTTTAGAGCCATAATGGAGACAATTTAATGGGGATAATGATAGATTATCCGACCTTACTTTCAGGTATACCCAAAACGATGTAGATTACGTGAATCGCGTAAACCAACCGTTAGAGCCCATAGTAATGCCCAATTGGTCAGCCCCACGGCAATTCTTCCGTCGGAATGGCAATTCGAATTGGCGAGGGAACGGTGAGTATCTAGTGTAATATAAAAAGCTTCAATTTTTAGGTGAATTTCAGATTACAGTTAATTAATATCGGCTTTCAGGTAATCCCAGAGGCAATGCGGGTAATTTCCAACGGAATTGGGGGCAGAATCAAGGCCATCAGTCGGGGCGCGGGTATAGCCGAGATTATCACTCGGATCGGCGGAGGTGAAGATTTGGTGGAACATAATTCGCATTTCACAATCTCATTAACTATTATAAACCATATTTGACATGTGCATCGGCTTTCTTCGGGTAAATTCTGTCTATTTTAACATTTCGTATATTACACTTGACATCAACTCCAAAAAAAACTTGATAATTTATTTCCCGATGAGACAAACAAAGAAAAACAAGGAAGGTCAATAAAGATGGGTTGTAATTTCACGATACGCAGATATATCGTGCTCTTACAACGTAACAATCAACAATTTTACAGGGGGGTTTCTCTTTCGGCGGGGACTTGAGCCGATTGGCCGGCGGCTTCGGACATGAAAAGTTTGGCGATGTTGTCGCCAGTGACTTTGGCTGTGAAGTTGGCGTATGCGTCAGTGTCGGCGGCGTTCAAGAACAGCTCAATCATTCCGTTTCTGGTCTGGATCTGAGGCTGTTTTTGTTGGCGTTTCAGGTCTTCGATTGAGAGACGGGCCTCGCCGCGGGCGGCACGGGCTTCGTTTTCGATCTGGCGCTTCTGGAAACAGATATTACACTCCTTTCTATCACACAGTCACGGACCTGACCCAGGGGCAAAAAAGTACCATTTTGCATCCGGGAAGTATCAAAAAATGTAGCAAAATGCCTCCCTCTCCAATTGAAAAAACGCCGATTTCAAAAGGGAGTTTTGTGAGGGAAAGGGCGCCCTTCAAAACGGAGTTTTTTCACTTGGAGAAGGAGGTATTTTGCCACATTTTTTTATACTTCCCAGATGCAAAATGGTACTTTTTTTCCACTAGATCACGTCCGCCACTGTAATAAGCCCAATTTTTTTTTAACAAAATTTCAAAAAAAAAATTTTTTTTTGATTTGAATCTCTCCAATTGGGTCCAAAATGATCTCCAAATCCTAAATTTCAAAAAAAAAATCATTCAAAAACTCCCACCTGGATCAGCGAGTTCAGCACCGCATCATAACGCTGCTTCTCCAAGGTGTACTTGTTGTACGCCCCAATGGACTTGTTCAACTCCTCCACATTGCAAACCATGGCTCGTAGGGTCTTCTCCAGACTTCCGCGAGTGCCCAGCTCAAGATTGGGGGCGGTCTTCTTGGGCTGGAGGAGTCTGAGCTCAGCCAACATCACATTCATCAAATGCGAGTTCTTGATGAAGATCGGCAGCTCTTCCAACAGATTCGAATAGGTCACTCCGGAGTTTTTGAGGCTAAAGACACGCAGTCACATCAAAACCGAGAATATTTTGCTCAAAACAACAAAATTTTTATATTACACTAGACCAAAACTTACGCTTCAGGTGAGAAGTCGGTGTTGGTATAAAGATCGAAGGCTTTTGGTGTGAGTCTTAGAGCCCGAACGGCTAAACGGCCTTGTCGAGTGGCGACTGGGTCTAAAATTCGAAGGAAAATAGGAACTTTTGGAAGCAACTCACCGTAGACCAAGATGACACTATCGAAAAGACTGTCTTGGTAGTCGAACAAACTCTCTACCATTTCTTGACTATAACAGGCACCAAAGAGATAAGACTGGTAGAAACCAACCAGTTCATAATCGATGTTCATCTTTCTGAAAGAGGCATCAATAATAACATCTAAAACATGCATCTGAACGACAAAATCCTTATAAAATTTTCAGGAAGTCCATTTTATTCCCATTGAAACACCCTAAAACCCCATCCAAATCGATCTTCAACCAAAAAATCGAAATCTCTCTTCAGTTGCCTACTACAATATAAAAACCTTTCAAATCCTACCTGAACCGCCTCAACATGTCAACAACTTCGTTCTGCTTGTCTTCAAGAGAGTGGGCATTCGCCTGACCGTCATCAGCATCCATCAAGAGCTCCGGACGAGGAGTTGGGAAGCAATTTGTGATCTCAAGTCGACGGTCTTCAGCCGAAATAAGACCAGTCAGGATTCCCTGACAGGCTTCACCGGCGGCATCTGACATTCCGGAATAGAACTCAGAGTCCACATGTTTCACCAACTTCATGATAACCTAAAATTGAAAAAATTCAACCGAAAATTCCATTATCTTACCAAACTGTCGATCTGCACAACATCGACTTGAGGCTCATGAGGAGGAAGAGCTTCTGGTGGGGCAGCCTAAAAACAATGTCGTAGAATCCTTCATTCATCTTTGTAACAGTTGAAATATCAAAAAATCCTATAATTTCGTGGCAAATCCGTCAAAACTTCTACAAGAAAGATTACTGCTAAAAATCTTAAAAAAGTTGATGAAAGGCCTCAAATCCATGGAAAATTCATAACGGAAAAGCAGCTATTCAAGGAAAAAAGCCTTCCTCTAGCTAATAATACCATGTTCAAGGAGACAGTGTTTCAAACTCCCTTTCAAATACCAAGTTCTTCCACAGATATACCTAAAGTAACAAAACCCAAAAAAAGAGCACTTACCATGATTGTATCAGTCAGATAAAGATGGGAGCAGAGAATTAGTTGTCCAGCGACAACGTTGTCCAACAAAATTTGCTGGAAAAGTGGAAATAAAGAAAAGAAAAAAAATTTTATTTCGCCTAAATTATTTGTTCAAACCGCTCTTGAGTCCCGGCACGAAAACAATTTTTGTCAGAAAAAGAGCGATTTTGACGGTTTGAAGGGTGATCAAACATAAGTAGGGGTCCTGTGAGATATAATTGACGGTTCTATATAGAGTTGGACGGATTTAAAGTCTTTCTGATGCCAAAAACATTAATCATGACATTAATTTTGATGAAACATGACAAAATTGTGGTTTTACAGTGCCGTAAAAAGATACAAATGGCATGCAAAAATGTCATAGAGCATGAAACTGAAGATGAAGCCGTTTTAATCTTTGGTTAAATTTGGTCTATTGAATAAAAGATATAATAGTTTAAAAAACATGTATGTTTTTTTTGAATCACCCTGTATAAATCGCAATTGTTTTGTCTGAATGCGCAATTCTTGGGAAATAAATAATCACGGAATACATCATTTTCGTGCTTATTCCTTCTTTGAAACTTTTTGTTTTTTTTTCAATTTTTATTGCCGCAGCATAATTCATTTTCTCGATGGAGATGCGATTTTCAATGCGACAGGGTGCTCATTGTTTCCCGACAGACTGATAACAACGTGGGCCGACTTTTCGGGTCTACGACAGTTCGGGTCAACACAAAATCGATCGATACGGGGCGTAGAGCAGGTGGGTACCCAAAAAAAGGATGTAGGAAGTGCCTACGAGGCCTGGCAAAGCCGTTGGATGGTCAGCAAAGCCTCGGCGGAGACTTGGCGAAGACTTGCAATATGTCCACTTTTTCTAATTGTAGCTATTACTTTAGTTTTTTAGTTTTCTTTACCCTAAGTTATCGCAACGTATAAAAGACCAAAATTTGCGGACGAAGATCCATAACTTTTATCCAGACATTATTGATGTGAGTACATGTAAAATACCTCAAAATAGTTAATAAGCTATCCTCGGACCGGTCAATCTTATTACTTCTACTAACTAGGCATTCTCATAGCCTCCACCACGCATACAACGACGCCCCGACGCGATCCATGGTATCGTTGACCCGAACTGTCGCTGACCCGAAAAGTCGTAGCGCCGATAACAACGGCGTTTCCAAAGGCTGGGAGAAGCCTTAATTAGTAGAAATAACAAGATTGACTGGGTCTTAGGATAGCTTATCACCCATTTTGAGGTATTTTTCATGTACTCACATCAATAATATCTGGATAAAAGTAACGGATCATCGTTTTTTTTCGCAAATTTTGGTCTTTTATAGGTTAAAATAACTCAGGGTGAACAAAACTAACGTTATTAATAGCTAACATTAGAAAAAGTGGACATCTTGCAAGACTACGCCAAGTCTCGCCAATCCTTCGCCGATCATCCAACTACTTTGTCAGGCCTCGTAGGCACTTTCTACAACCTTTTTTTGGGTATCCACCTGTCCCACGCCCCGTATCGATCAACTTTGTGTTGACCCAAACTGTCGCTGGCCAGAAAAGTCGTAGCGCCGATAACAGCGGTGCTTCCAAATTTCCCGCCAAAAAAAGCGCCGGATATCTTCGATATCCGAAAAGCGCGAGGGCAAAACCGAAAGAGCGCCAAAAAAGTCCTCTGGGTTTTCTATAAGCCGCTTTGTCAAAGAGACTGTGGTTTTGGAGAGAGGGGAGAATTTCAAAAGTCCCCTCAAGTTGGGATCCGTCGGGATTAACAGACGGGTTTTATGATTCAAATAAATTTAATTGGCATCTGTTCAGTAAGTAACATATTTTTAATACGATTCAACGACAATTAACGTCGTATTTTAGCGGTTTAGACGGAATTTTCATCAAAAATTGTGGTAAAATAGGGAAAAATCGATGTTTTTGTGTTATAAATCAGAAATAAAAGGCAGATCTCAGGTTTTGAGCTAATTTTCAGAGGATTTATTGCATTAAAATTAAAATTTTAGCCATCAAACAAGAAATTTTTTGCCCAATTTTTGATGACTCTAGTCTAAAATAAGGTCGAAATTGTTTAAAAATTTGTTTTTTATTGTAAAATACGTGGCGACAGCTTTCGATACAAAAATATTTTATTATTTTCAATCAAAAAATTTCAAAAATTATTACATTTTTCGCTTTTTTTCACCAGAAAGCAGCTAAAAATTGTAATGTTTACCATTCCGCTGAACCCACGACCTTGCCTCGGATGATTTCCTTGCTGTTTGTCTCCAACTCGGGCGGCCCTTGTCCTTTTTTCTTTCGAAAAAACAACCCGCTGCACTCGGGAACAGCGAAAGTTCTCATCCGTCTTCAAATTTCAGTTAATTCGGCGATTTTTCAGTCGGGTTTTTAACAACATTCCGTGCACGCAAAAATTTTATCACTCCAGAGCAATAGATCGTATTTTATTTCAACATTTTCGCTTGATTTTCCCATTTTTGCGGCGTGGTTTTACCGCACTGTGCGAAAAATTTTACTTTGTTAAATTCTCTCGTAATAAAGTAGTGTTGCGGTTCGGGAAAATAATAGGTGATGTAAAATACGAGGTTTTAAATGATTCGTCCCTTTTTCAATTTGATTTCAACTTCAAGCACTTCAAAATGGCAAATAATTTTTTCCCGCACAGTGCGAAAAATTTAAAATTGGCAAAATTTTGAAAACTTACAAAGTTTTTGGATAAAAAATTGTCCGAGTTTGTAAAACACCTTTTCAAATTCTACATAGAAAATTTTCAAAATTTCAGAGCAACCTTAAACATGTCATTATGACATATTTTGTTTTGCTGCACCGTGCAGATCACTTTTTAGCATAATTACAATTGCATTTGCAAAAAAATAATCCTTTGTTATAGATTATCCATTTAGCCTCAATACTACACCTTGAAGTCCAAAACAGCTTTTTAATCGGTCATGATGACGGATTTTTTACAATTTCTTTTAATCCGTTACGGTTTTTTCCGATTTTTTAAATGAATATTTTGAAGCTCAAGTTTATAGAAATTAGACTTTATTCTTCTAATTTTCTCCACTCCTTTGCCTCTCCTTATTATTTTTTTACTGCCTATTATCAATTATATTGCTAAAGGACTACAAAACGAAGACTTTCGTAGGGTTTATGCGACCTTTTATTAGTCATAGTTTAGAAACTTTCGGCTTGTTTTTGTATTTTCTATGGTATTTGCCGAAAAATAAAACACAGTTTTACTACGATTCACTTTATTTCATCATTTCTCGCAATTTTTGCCCAATATTCCTGAAAAAAACTCTGCTCTCCACTTTTTTCCTTAGGCTATTATAATTAAATCATTAACCAAATTACCCCTTATGCCTTATAACACATGTTCTATTGCCTAATCCCCTCGAAGTAACCATAGAAATGCGCGGCGGGCCTTTCCTTCCCCCTGAGAACACCTAAAACAATGTTTTTGGTGCGAAACCTTATCAAACCCCGCTAATTCCAGACCCAAATGCCGTCACGATAGCAGTTCAGGACTATGATTCGTCGCTATGGCGTGTCCCTGGTTTACCGGCTCAGTGCGAGGCAATGGGCGGGCTTGATTGCGGCCGCGTTACTGCTCTATAATTGGCAGATTTTTTACCTACAATATAAGAAAACATACTCGGGAACTTTTTCAAGAGATATTACAGTGGACAGGGACAAATATGGAAGTAAGTTGAACAAGTTTTCGGATTGAAAATGGGATTTTTTGATTTCATTATTTTTGCACTGTGCGAAATTTCGTTTTTGTTGTAAAATACGACGTGATTTACTATTTTTCTTACAGTTCTTTGAAAATTCTGTCTTTATAGAGTCCAACTTACTACCTAGAAGACCTTTAAATTACTTTTTCCCACCTAAAATACAAATTTCCGCTAAAAGAAAAAATTTTGCACAGTGCGAAAATTTCGTGGGTAAAATATGAAAAAACAACTCATAATTTAATTTTCAGAACTGCCAGTTCGCGTAGTAGTAATTCAAGCCGACTATAGCCATACCTCTGAATATATTCTACCTCAATCTACGTTACATTGTTATTGTGCCTTCCACAACTACACATTGGTCGACATCAACCTGGCGAGAGATGCAAAATACGCGCAGCTATGTGCTGGCAAAGATGTAAGGGATTTACTAGTCCGTCCGGAAAGCGCCGGAATGAAATCGGCGATGCACTCTGCGAAAACGAAAGTTCACTTTGCACTGTGCAATTTTTGGCTTTTTGCACTGTGCAATAGGCTTTTTGGGGCTGTCGCTCGCTCGCACCTTGACTTTTTTCGCACAGTGCAAACTCCAAAAATCAGTCCGGCGACTTTCCGGAAGCATTGGGGAAAAGACAATTGGGGAAACTGAAAAGTATTATTTTTCTTCGATCTAATTGTCGAAATAAGAATAATCGATGGCGCTGGTTTCGAAAATTACATTCATTCTTTTGATCGTTACTTTTTTCCTTAATAGTACTGTAAAGTAATAATTTTTTGAATTTTTTTGATCAATACTCGATTTAGAGGTTTTCGATAGTGCTGATTCCGAAAATCGTATTCAATTTTCTGATTTGAAATCAGCACTATCGAAAACCCCTAAATCGAGTATTTGCGAATAAAATTCAAAAAATTACTACTTTACAGTACTACTATTAAGGAAAAAAGTAACGATCAAAAAAATGAATGTCATTTTCAAAATCAGCGCATCGGTTATCCTAATTTCGACACTTACATCGAAGAAAAATAATACTTTTCAGTTTCCCCAATCGTTTTTTCCCCAACCATCTTTTTCCCCAATTGACGACGCTCCGTTTTAGTTCATGTTTCGTCGTCATTGCGTTCTCTCACACTATATGGCCCAACACCCTGAGGCAAAATGGATTTTAGCGCTGGATGCGGACATGGGTGTGATAAATCCGAATCGTCTACTGGAAGAGTTCCTCAAAACAACGAATGACGTCGTATTTTACGACCGACTGTTCAATTATGAGATCATGGCTGGGTCTTTCATCCTGCGGAACACCGAATTCGCGAGGAATTTTCTCACAACTTGGAGTGAATACGAAAATAAGGTTCCCGATAGCTTTCATGGGACTGATAATGGAGCTCTTCATGTAAGTTTTTATTTTCCAAATATAGCAGAATACAATTAAGAAAGTGCCAGTTTAGCTTGCAACAGAATGCCAAAAATGCTGATTTTACGCGTTTTCGCTAGAAGCAGGCTTATTTTTTAGCGGAACTTGACTAGATACAAAACAAGCAGTGTTGAAATCCGATTGGGTCATAATGCTGAGCCCAGTCGATAATTTGTGAGTCCCACCTACGACTTCCCTGAAAATCAGGGAAAGTCATCAAAATGGAACGCCAATTGGGAAAAAAAGACGATTAGGGAAAAGGACAATTGGGGAAACTGAAAAGTATTATTATTCTTCTATGTAAGTGTCGAAATTGGGATAATCGATGGCGCTGATTCCGAAAATGACATTCATCTTTTTGATCGTTATTATTTTGCTTAAGTAGTACTGTAAAGTTAGTAATTTTTTGTCGATTTAGGGGGTCTCAATGTGCTGACTTCAAATCAGAAAAAATAAATTAGATTTTCGGAACCAGCATTATCGAAACCCCCTAAATCAATTATTGTGAAAAAAGTTTAAAAAAAACTACTGCTTTACAGTACTACTTAAGCAAAAAACTAACTATCAAAAGAAATGAATGTCATTTTCGAAATCAGCGCCATCGATTATTCTTATTTCGACACTTACATCGAAGAAAAATAATACTTTTCAGTTTCCCCAATTGTTTTTTTTTCCCAATCGTCACTCCCCGTATTAAAAAATATGTTTCAGTACCTGCAAACTATTGTAAAACACCCAACACTACTCTAACATATTTTTCAGAAGGTCCTTCTCGACGAATTTGCCCCCAACGCGTCGCCCGGCGAATCTACCGTTTGTCAAAATCTTTGGAACACCTCGAAAGATTATGACGACCTGTTTGTCTTCGAATCATGTGTAAGGTCGATTCTGGGCTTTCGAAATGTTTTGGAGTCCAAACAAGGAAGTGTTCGGATTTTATCGAGCTCTAGCGGTTATTGGGCACGAGATGGATGGCAAACCGAAAATTATTGGTCCGACGAGGACTTTATTCTGCATGGATGGCAAGAACGGTGGGTTAAGAACCCCTTATAACATTTACAATGTACAGTGACGGGCCTGATCCAGTGGCAAAAAACTTACCATTTTGTATCCGGGAAGTATCAAAAATGTAGCAAAATACCTCACTTTCCACGTGAAAAAAACTCCGATTTCATCCGCAAGGGCGCCCTTAAAAACAGAGTTTTTTCACTTGGAGAGTGAGGCATTTTGCTACATTTTTTGATACTTCCCGAATGCCAAATGGTACGTTTTTTGCCACTAGATCAGGTCCGTCACTGTTCATTTGCCTAACCCAAATTAAATTTTTCTTTTGCACTGTGCAAAATTTAAAAAAAATGTTTTGACCGCACAGTGCGATCAAATTTTCATGGAAAAAAGTTATCCAATTTTCTTTTCAGGCGTCGAGAATTTGTCGATCTCTTTGCTTGGTGGATCTCTCCCTTCGCAGTCGAGGACTTTCCCATCGAAAAGTGCTCGAATAAACATGAAAACCCCGGGAAATTTTGGATTTATAAAGCGTATACCCATCAACCCGTCGAGTACATTCGCAGCATTCTGATCAGCACAGCGACTGCAAGCTACAACGACCATTTACTGCGACTTAAAAAGGTCGGCCAGGTTCGAAGTGACTTCGCCAAGCGACTTTCACTCTAATATTCTTTAATCTACTATAATATTTTGATGTACATAGCAATCTCAAACTGCATTTTACCGCCATAACGAGGTATTCAGCCGCATAATGAAAATAATAATGGGTACTAACCATTTTGTTACATGAAAGCATAATAAATTTGAAAAAATTATATTACACTTGATAATAAATGGAAATTTGATGAATTTTATTGATTAAAATCACATTAAATATGGGTTACCCGATTGAGGAGAGTGAGTGGGATAGCCGGTACCAATAACCGGTTGATTCTTCGATGCACGGTGCGGTTAGACCGCAAATATTAGCGGTATCGATGAAAGTCATCTGCCCATGACGTTTTCGTATCCCCTCGGGCGATGGCGGCTCAAAGTCTTGACTAAAATCGATAAAACGAATCTTTAGATAAAATTTAAAGTCTGCATAACATCACAACAACCATTACTTACTCAAATTCAATTCCCTTGGCCGTTTTGTTCAACTTGTTTTTTGCTTTAACCATGACGAAAATCTTGGCGTTCTTTGACATCCGGTGTCCTGGGGCGTTGTTATTATTATCCAAGATCAGCGAGGTATATATTCGTCGACGTTCTCTGCAAACGATTTCTTTTAGGCAATATTTTCAATATTATTCATGATAAAGATGACTTCTTCAGAGAAAACTAACGCAGACCGGAAAATCCGACCCTAAATTTCGAAAGACACACAAAGACAGTAAAAACATACCTTTGACTAAGTTCTCCACAATTTTGGGCACATGTTACTGTGACATCTCCATCCAATTTGATGTCGTGTTCGTGGTTGGCGCATGGCTCAACTTTAACATCAAAAACTTCAAGAGGAGTGAAGTAATTACTCCCAATTATGACTAGGACGTTTGTAAGGAGATTCCGGTTAATTGATCGAAAGACTTCGCGAAGCTCCGACATTATCTGAAGAAAAATATATTGTCTATGACAATCCTGCCTAGAATAAGTGGATTCTAAGTGCTCTTGCGTCCATTAGTGACCTAAACCGGCAGAAAATAAAGGAAAACACTTACACTTGAATAATTCTCGCAAAACTTCCTCGATGGAACACTTTCATCCCGACAAAGTAATTGATAGGTCTGCGGAATAAACCCTCGAGAAAAGGAGATGATCTGCATCGTAACGTCGACCATTTGAAGCATAGAATGAATGCATAAGCATCGTCCAAAGTCTATTTGCACCTTGTTCTCTTTCACTGGCAGTGTTTGAGGAAGCAGGCCCATATTATTATTAGGTAAGATCAAGTGCAATATCAAAATATAAAAAGCTGAAAAACTATTCAAACTCTAGCGTCTAAACTAGCATCAAGCGTACCAAGCGTTATAAGCAGTTAGCGGTCGGATGCCGAAGCTCGGGAACGCCGTTGCAACTGTTTTTTGTTCGAATCTTATTTGCACTGCCCGATTTTCTGCGTCTCGTAGGGAAAAATTGCAGTGCGAAAAATAGGAAATTTTTCTTCTGGCGTTGTGTTCTAGCTTTTTCCATTTTCTTCGGTCGCGACCTGCGTACGTTTGCAAGACCTTGTTTTAGGCCGGGCGCGACCCTACGGATGGTATTGACGCGAGATGGCAGACAATGTTATCCATCCGAATCTGCACAAATAAATCTTCCGCGCCGTTATAAACTTCTCCGTAAATTTTGACTGAAATTGCTTTAGGCATGCCTCCAAAAGGTAAAACAGTGCTAAAAGAGGAGGTTACGGGTGAAGCCTTGGACTCCGCGAGTTCGAGTAGTCCGTGGACAGGTCGGACTCGAGGAAAACGGCTTCCCGAAAGCCTTCTTCATGAGTTGACGGGCCAGAACGAGCCGGAAGAAGAGGATTACGCCGCTCCAGAGCAAGAGATTTCGGAATTTGATGAACCGTAGGTGAAACTTTCTTTATTTGTTCATGTTTTAGTTTTGGAAGAAAGGAGAACCATTTTAGAAGCATTTTATGGTCATAATTGGCGTTTTGGACATTAATTTAGACTTTCTTTGACATCAGTTGGAAAATTTTTGAAATTTCGAAGTTATGATGCAATCTCTCTGATCGCTTTGATTTTGTAGCTGCCCAGCCTCATAACCCGACTATTTTCAGCATCTACAAGTACGAAGTGTGCGCGTACAAGGTGAACGATGTGGATGATCCGATTTTGTTCTACAAATCGCCCAAGTACAATGTGGTATTTCTGTTCGTCGCAAGGAAGGATGAGCATGTTTGTCTTGATTGTTTGATCCATGCCAAAGTCAAGAAGGAAGTGCAGTCGTTAAAATACGATAACGGATACGTGTTTACCGATCCGGACACGATGAAACATTGTTGTTTAGATCAGAAGTGGGTGGAGGTCCCCAAACGGCAAGTTTTTCATGTTTTTTCTCTTTCAACGTTTAGGAAATGAATTCAGCTGGTTGGAGGACATAATTTACCGTCTTTGAAAGCTCATTTCAATCTAGAATTCGTCTTGCTTCTTCCTGAGAATAATTTTTTCTTCAAGACCCTTCAAAACTTTGCAAAGTTTGGGAGATAAACACCTTCTTTTCAGTCCTGAGAAGATCAGATTCGGCTCAATTGACGAGATATTCATCAAATCAGACGGCCCCGAAAGCGAACATATATTTTTCCTGAAGAAGATGGAGAAAAATCACAACACCTTCGGTTGTCTTCGCTGTCATTTGAAGGCTTTGCAGAAGGAGTTTCAAAATGGATCTGCTCGAGTTTTGACTACCGTAATTGGTGTGTTCTTCGCTGAGGATCCAAAGAAGTTGAGCCACATTTGCAACAGCAAGGATGAATTGTCGATCGAAAGAATCGAGGAGTAGGTGTTGTAATATAAATTTTTGATGGTAAAACCACACAAATATTGTTATAAAATTAAATTTTCTTGTCAGAATTTATTTTGAGCTAAAAAATCGCGTTTTCAGGATAAAATTTGCCCCGACCAAAGTCTGCCAAGGTCCCAAACATCCCACTTACCTGTACCTCTCAAAAACCAAGCCCGATTACATTTATCGCTGGATTTTCAAGTGCTACAAGGGTGATCAGAAGATTTACAAATGCATGGAGTGCGAGCTGGTGAAACGGAAGGAATTCCCGGACGCCGATAAACAAACTCAAGCCAAGCTGGTCGTACCTTCATTGGTGTACAAAGATGGGTGTTTTGATATGGATCCCGATGCTGTGGAGCATTGTTGCGTCTATTATGAAGAGTCTGACCTCGTCAAGTATCGGAAATTGAAGTGAGTTGATTTTTTGGAGGGTGCAAAAAAAATTTTTTTTTGAAAAGTTCTGCACTGTGCAGTAAAGATAAGATGTGGTTTTTACCTTGGTAAAGTAAAAAATTTGGGAAATTTTTGTCATGACAGTGGTTAGTGGATGTAAAAAGAGCGGTTTAAAAAATTTTAAGTTTTTTTGATGAGCAGATTTTAAATTATCCCGGAAAGTTTTTTCTTTGCACCGTGCAATCACAATTTTTTTCAAAATCTCTCATTTTCAGCATGCTCCGGGATAAAAACTTGTTCCAATCGGAGCCATCCGAACCCGAAGACCTCCTGGAAGACTCACTTGACAATTCCGTGAACCAGTCTCTTGACCAGTCCAATCTGGACACGTCCAAATCCCAGCCGCTGAACCCGCGAATTCTCCGCTACAAATCTCAACATTTCCCCAACTTTTTCTTCACTTTTGTGCGCCGCAGCAAGGGCGACAAGTACGGAGCGACCTACAAGTGCGAAGGATGCATCAATCAGCGCTCAATCTTGGCCCAATCCGAGCCCATCACGGTCCTGCCACAGGTGCCTAGTATAAGGTGGAGAAATGGGTACTTCCTCAGCGACCCCGACGAACTGGACCACTTCTGTCAAAGAGGACAGAATACCGATGATATTGATGTGGAAATGCTGGATGCACAGGACTTTGATGAGTCAGGGTGAGCAGTTATATTATACTTGGTGGGAATAGGTAACATTGGTTTGAAGAGGTATATCTCGGAGATGAATGGAGTGAAGTGGATAGTTTTTGACATTGAGAAAGTGGATTGTATGAAGATTATTTGTGGATAGGGTCGAAGTTTGGGGTCAATTTTTACGGTAGTTATGGAAGATTTTTTGCTCAGTATTGTAATCGATGGAAATTGAAAATTTCTTGGAAAAAATGGTGAAAAATAAATGTGTAATGGTGTTTATGAGCTTTTAGATTCTGTTTTATATTCTAAAGAGTCGAAATTGGTATTGCAATCATATAAAAAATTATTTTTTGAGCGGTTTTTACCGAAAGTTTTGATGTTCTCTCTATTTTTTCTATTTCCAGCCCATCCCGTCAGCCCCAAATCCGCTCAACCTTCTTCCCAGCCATCATCAAGCCGCAGCCGGCCAGAAAGGCGCTGGTTTATATGTACGAGAGTCGAAAAGTTGAGGACGCGATCTACGAATTCGTTTATTTACACGAAAACAAGTGCCATCAAGTGTTTGCGTGTGTTGGATGCAGAGACACCAAGCTCTACCACATGAACGTGGGAGAACCGGGACCATTCCCCTCCGTCCCCACCATAAATGTGATCCGAAAGAACTTTTTGAGCGACCCGGACGAACTTTCCCATTACTGCCTGATCCCAGGTGAATATGAGCGCCAGGTTGAGGCGCTAAAGGGTAAAAAAGAGAAAGGAAAGAAGAGAAAAGCACCAGAAGCAGGCACGGAAAATTTGGAACCATCCACAAGCGGTGGGCCCAAGGAAGGTAGGGATTTTTATATTGTTTTAGGTAAAGATTTGAACCATGAAAAAAATTCGATTTTTTTTCGAATTTGTACATTTAAACATGTACCGACCATACTAATAGGTATCACAGTATTGTGCGACACTAGATGGCCTAGCAGTTGGCTTTAAAATTTCAATTTTTTACAAAACAAGTTTAAAGAAGGGTAATATAAAGTTTGGCAACTGGTTCCAAAATTTGCCAAGCAATCTGTCTGATATTTTGGAATGAGAAGAGATATGATGAATGCTTTGTTCGATTCAAAAATGAAGTTTATTGTAAAGGGATTACGGTAGTTGTGCGGGTTTTTTTTTGAAATGTCTCTTTCTTTGACAAAAATTTTTATTTTTGATAACATTTTGAAATTTTGTGATGCCTAGAGTAGGAAAAAGGATGCATGAGCATCAAGAAGCTAAATGAAGATGTACTAAGGGGTTTCCCACTTAAAAGTTATGGTATGTTGTGATGTTTTAGCAAAAATTTTTGAATTTTTGGCCAAAAAGTTGGGTTCCAAAAGATGGCTGTAATACAGTATGACTCAACCTTTTCATTGGAATTTTTGACATTTCGAACTATTATTGGAGCTAGTTTAGGTGCGTTGAATATCAAGTTTGGGGTTTATTTGGGAGCGGAGATGTCGACAAAAAAGTTACAGTGACGGACCTGATCCAGTGGCAAAAAACGTGCCATTTTGCATCCGGGAAGTATTAAAAAATATAGCAAAATGACTTCCTCTCCAACTAAAAAACCCTGTTTTTAAGGGCGCGTCTCACAAAAAGAGCGGGCGCGCTTTTGAAAACGGGGTTTTTTAGTTGGAGAGGAAGAGGCTTTTTGCTATATTTTTGATACTTTCCGGATGCAAAATGCTATGTTTTTGCCGCTGGATCAGGTACGTCACTGTAACTTTTTTCTCGATATCTCCGCTCCTAAATACACCCCAAACTTGATATTCAACGCACCTAAACTAGCTCCAATAATAGTTCGAAATGTCATAAATTCCAATGAAAAGGTTGAGTCATACTGTAATTACAGCCATCTTTTGGAACCCAACTTTTTGGCCAAAAACTCAAAAATTTTTGCTGAAATATCATAAAATACCACAATTTTGTTTTAGGAAAAAAAAATCATTTTCAGCCCCAGAGGAAGAGCGAAAGTTCCCAGCGATGGAAGGGATCTCGCTGCACGGCAAACACCCCCTCTACATGTACCACTCGGTCGCCGATCCGGGCGTGATCTGGCAATTCTCCTTCAAGTCCCTGAACCAAAACGACGTCACCTACAAGTGCACCAAGTGCGACGCGGTGAAACGCGAACTGGTGAAGGAAGACCGCTCCCAGAAGCTGATCATCCCGACGATCCGAATCCGCGCCGGCCAATTCCTGTCCGACCCGGACGAACTCGAACACTTCTGCTTGAAGAGGGCCAAGGACACGAAAGAGGAGACTCTGGTCAAGCAGATTGTCCTGTAAGTTGTTGGAACTGTGTGTTAGAGGGTGTGGGTTGGATTGGGAAAGATTTTTTAGCCAGGTTTGGGTAAGGTGGATTTTTTTTTGATTTTTTGCACTGCACAGTGCAAAAAACAAAAAAGTGCTAAAAATTGATTATTGAGCTGCGTTACAATAAAAACACACAAAAATTTCATGAATAGTCGATTTTTGGACAGATTTTTTTCAAAATTGGAGTTTCCCGCCAATTCGAAAATTCTTTGGCATTCTGTTGCAAGTTTTGAAAGTGACGTATAATGAAATTACTAGTGGAAATAGCTGGTTCGACACAATTTTTATACCAAAAAAAGTTTTGCCGTGATATTTGACATAGGTTTTTTTCAAAATTCAAATTTCCCGCCAATTCAAAACTTTTTTGGCGTTCTGTTGCAACCCTTGAAAATGCAATTTTTTGCAGGAAGATCTCAAAAGAACAACGGGTATGCCCCAAATCGCTGAACGAAGCCCGCGCCGCCATCCGCTACGAGCTGCAGCAGGCATCGGTGAAGGACGAGGACTTCAGCTACGAGCTGGCATTACGCTACTTTACGGAGCTCAGGCAAAAGTCCCTGGCCCGAAGATTGAGAAGAAACATGATGGACGGATGTGTGACCGTGATGGATCCATACAACGAGTCCAATTTCTCAATGCATTCTCAAGTCGGCGACTATTTAATTGAGGTAGGTGAAGATAATATTTGGTTGAATTTGATGAAAATATTGGTTTGTTTTGGGGGAAATGTGTTTTAAGATTTTTTAGGGGAGAAGAAGGCAGATTAGATTGTTAGTTTGATTTTTGAAAACAATAATTATATTGTTGTAGGTAAGGGACGGAGAAAAATTGGGAATTTTGATGACGAAAAGGGTTGATATCTCATGGAATGGCTTAGAATATAATTTAGAGCACCTTTCAATGTATGTGATTGATTTTTTTAGAGTTTAGATGTGTTTTTTATATTACACTTGAGATCAAAAAAAATTTTTTAATTTTTGCTCAACCTTGATTATTATGATGGAAAAGCGATTTTTTAGACTAGTGGAAAATTTTTTTAGCGTTTATTATTGAGACTACAATATTTATTTACAAAATTATATTGCACTTGACGTCAGATCCGATTTTTTCGAAATTGAACGTTATAGATGGAGTTGACTGTAAATAAATTATTATAAATAATCTTTGAATGATTTCAGAGCTCCACGAAGCCCGACGCCCAATTCCTGCAGCCGAAATTGCCGCGCGAAGGCTTGGCCTCGTACGTGCATCGGAATGATGACTTTGATAAAAGTGGAAGATACCTCGAAATCGAAGATGATATGGTCCTGGAACGCTACATAAACGAAGAAGGACAGCATGTGGTCGTGGTCAGAGCGGACGAACAGGACGACCGACTCAGAGAAGTCCAGGAAGAAATCGATGTTGTGGAGCAGGAATATGAGGTATAATATAAATTTTTGGATTGTTTGAGAACGGTTTAGAATTTCTAGAGGCTTTTAAGAGGATTTGGGAGCTTTCAGAATAATTTTTTGGCAAAAATCCGTCATCCTGACATGATTTTTGGATGATATTACACTTGACCTAGAGGTCAAGTTTTTGGAATGCTTGAGGACCGTTGAGGATTTTTAGAGGCTATTTAGAGGGTTTGGGAGCTTTCTAAATAATTTTTTGGATGATATTACACTTGACCTAGAGGTCAAGTTTTTGGATTGTTTGAGAACGGTTGAGAATTTCTAAAGGCTATTATGAGCATTTGGGGGCTTTTTGAATAATTTTTTGACAAAAAATCCGTCATCCTGACGTATTTTTTGAATGATATTGCACTTGACCTAAAGGTGATTATAAATATAAACAGGGGTATAAGGTCATGCCGAAACTTAGTATACAGATGTTTGAGAATGTGAAAATCATTTTTGTTTATGATTTTCCTTACGTCGTGTTATAACATGTTGAAAAATCAATTTTTTTACAAAAACGGGAAATTTTTAAAGTTTTTGACATTACACTCAAAATTGATGGTGGTTTAATGAAAAATTGGAGATGTATATTGCGAAAAGTGTGTTAGTAATTTTTTACTGAGAATTTTACAATTTTTGCATGAGTTTTTTAATAATCTATATTATTTTAGGCCCCCTATGGCGCAAATTATGAGGAATATTCCCAGCCAGACGTCAAACCCTCCACGGAAGACCTGAAATCCCCACCTCAAAGTCCGAAGAAGCGCAAAGTCGCACAATAAAGTTGTAATCGCTCATTATCATCTCTTCAAGTCGTCAATAAAGTTTATTTCGCCATAAGTTTAATAGTTTTCGCGGGAAACACGCCGAAATTTCGCCATCACAACGCATTCCGCAACAACTCTCAGCTTTCCCAACGTCATAGTTCAATTTATAAAAATTCTTTTTTCCAATTTATAAAATTTTTTTTCATCGGAAAAGACCCCTCCGGAACAGCTCAAACTGCATGAAATTCTCCTCGCCCTGCGCGAAACTCAGCCCCTTCAGGCCGGAGAAGATGCGCCGCGAGCGCATCGTGACCAAATACGTCGCGAAAAAGTCGAACTCCACGCCGCCGCGCAGGTCCCGCCGCAGAAACGCCTCGAAATGCGTGATTTTGGGGTTCAGATTGCGAAACGAGCGGCGCAGAATCCCAATGGGGTCGCTGCAGCGCGCCGACGAGGTGTTGGTGCAGTCGGTGACCTGGATCAGGTATTGGGCCACGATTTTGGAGACGTTGAAGCCCTGGTTGTGCACGGAATTCGAGATCAGTTGCGCTTCGGCCATGGAGCGGATAAATTGGGCTTGGAAAAGGCGGATTATCTGAAAAAAATCGGTCGGAAAATTTGTAAAATTAAGAAAAAAAAAATGTTTTCAAAATTTTTTATCGACCGCTGAAACCAATAATCGACAAAAATCATTGCACTGTGCAATTTTTGCATTACTTTTTTTTGCACCGTGCGGCAAAGGTGGATTATCTGGAAAAAATTGGTCGTAAAATTTGTAAAAACACTTAAAAAAAATTTTTTTAAATTTTTTATCGACCGCTGAAACGAAAAATCAACAAAAAAAATTTAAAAATTTCATTGCACAGTGCAATTTTCCCATCAATTTTGTTCGCACTGTGCGGCGAAATAAACTTTCTTTTTTTGCACAGTGCGGAGAAAGAGTTGTTCAAAGCGACAACAAGTCTATTCTACTCTTCAACGTGATCCTTGATCGCTACATAAACAGTCATAAAAACATTTCACGGATTCGCCGTGCAACTTCACTTCTTTTTAACGCTGCACTGTGCAGCGAACAAAAAATCTGTTATCGCACTGTGCATTGGAAAATTTTGGCAAAATTGAATGGCCATGTGTGTTTTAGAAGAGACGAAGATTATCTTGTCCTACTTTAAAGTTTTAGGTTACTGTATTGCGAAAAGAAATTTTGACTTTTTTAAATTTCGCACAGTGCAACAAAATTTTTTTTGGTTTCGCACTGTGCAATGATTAAGATTGAAGTAAAACAAGTTAGAAAATAAGTATAGGCTCTACTAGGTTAGTATTTCTCAAAAACCGCGACTTTCTCACCTCTTCTTCCGTCGAATTTGTGGCTTCGAAAGTCTGCGAATGCCAAAACTCGATATCCTCCAATTTCGGCGCCGCCTTCCGTAGATTCTTCGCCGATTGGGTGTAAATCCCCTTGAGCGTTTTTAATGGCAGCTCATCATCCTCGCCAGCGGCTCCATAGCACATGACAGCCCAATCGATTTGATAATTTGGCTTCCAATTGGAGCGTTTGGCGAGGTTCATATAGTTGTGTTCGCGGTCATCATCATCGCAATACAACTCGTTGCCGGGCTTGAAAACTGAAAATAAATCTTATTTGTGACAAATGGATGAAAACTTTTGTCATTTTTTTTGCAAGACTACAGTATGCTTACAGTCCTCCAGAACCGCCTTCGCATGAACAAGATTGCCCAAAAACAGCACCAAAAGGCCAAAAACAGCCGTTGAACACATTGCAAATCAACCACAAACGCCTTTAGAATCCTAATCGACCGTTTTCTCCGTGATCTAGACCCTTTTCGAACCGTAATCGACAAGTTTTTATATTGTAGTAGAAGCGGGTCAAGAAAAATCAATACAAGCTTGGAGAGCGCCGCATTATAAACATATTGAGACGTCAAACACCCGCCGATTTCTCCATCGTTATGGTCACCGGCATGGTAGGCGACAACAAGACCGGCAGTCGTGATTTATTGCATTCGGTTGGGCAAGCAGTTTGTTGGACGAATCGTGAGTGGGAAATCGGTTTACATGCGACGATAATTCAAATGGAGATTTATGGGGAGATCGGAAACAAGTTTCAACGCGTTGCAATGTGTGCGCAGCCCAGCAACTTGCACTGTGCGGTGCGAAAAAAAGGCGGAAAAAAGTCTACGCACTATATGGAACGACTAGTAATAATCAATCGACAAAATTCATCAAAAGCACTGCAATTTTATCATTTATAATAAAGCCATAATAAAAATTCAAACTCTGATAACATCGGCTTTCCAGTTGACATGCCTTGAAGGCTAAATTAAGGGCTCTTTCGTCGGTAGTGATCATCAACTTCTGCCTTCTACAATCATCAACTTATTGTGTCCCCACAATTGAAGTCTCGATCGGATACAGCCAAAAATTGCTGGAATTGTAGAGAGCACCGTTCTTTCCAACGCAGTACGCGTCAGGCGATGATTTCTCGTCGTAGGAGGCCTAAATGATACTGTTATAATAATCCTGTCACTTTTCGAAGAGAAATTAATCAAAATATTCCAAAAAAAGGCTCGAACGAGTTCTAAAAGATGAAACGCCCTCTCTACACCATAGACTTTCCCTAACACAGCTCCCAACCAGACATTGCCACGGCTCCGGAGCCGGCTCTTGGCTCCGGCTCTGAGCGGCTCCGGCTCCGAGCCGGGAGCCAGAGCCGGAGCCGGAAATTTTGGGGTCGGCTCCGGCTTCCGAGCCCAAAGTCGGAGCCAGGCTTCCCAGCGGTCAGAAAAGTAAAAATTTCGTGATCTTGTTAAACCAAATTACTTGAAAAAACACTGCGGAGGATGTGACTTGACTGCAAAAACGTTGGCTGTATGATCTGTGGCACTAATAACTTTTATTTTTGGAAAAATATTTTTAAAAAAACATGTTGCATAGGAGCCGGGATTCGGAGCCGGAGGCCTTTTTAAATTTTGCACGGAGCCAAGAGCCGGAGCTGCAAATTTGGCCTCGGCTCCGGCTCTGGGAGCTAAGAGCCGGAGCCGAAATTTTGACCGTGGCAATCTCTGCTCCCAACTATAGTAAATCTTCAAATAATTCAAATTTGTCCCGCAAATTTGATAAAAATTCTCAGCATAACGCCAATTACGACCCATACCCTCAAATCCGCCATAATCTTCTAAAATACGACTTAAAAAAACGCCTACCTTTGAGTAGGCGTTTTTTTTCGGTTTCCAACGACCATAGAGTGCCCCATCGATCTGCCAATTTTCTCATCAATGAAATCGTCCGCTGCAGCGCGCTGGGATCAAACTACGGCCGTTTCTAATTCCTCTCAACAAAGCTTCAGCCACCACATGCCTCCCATGACTGTTGCGTGAACGGGGGACTCCGATGCCATTTCCTAAATTCCGAACAATCCAAAAACAAAGCACAACATACTTTTAATTTTTGCCCATCATCTAGAACTCCTTCTGCGGCAATTCGAATCACATGTCCATGTCCAAGCCTGAGGGTTTCGGCCGTCCTTCCAAGGCATGAAGGTTGCCTTGGAAGAAGGTCTTTGGAGAACTGCGAGTATCAGAAAACTCTGTAGAACCATCTAAAATTACATATAAATTAAAAGCTGCTTCAAAACCTATGCCCCTGGATTTTAGAATTTCCCTGAAATACACTGAAACTACAGTAAATCTTCAATAAATCTTCAAATGAGTCCAAATTTATCCCGAAAATTCTAAGAAACCCTCAGCATAACACCCATTAACAATCCGTGCCCTCAATTCAGTCATAACCTGCTACGATACGACCAAAGATAGGCCTACCTCTCAGTTAGTTTCCAATTAATCAACGACTTGCACCATCGACTCGCCAATTTTCTCTTCAATGAAACCGTCCGCTGGGATCAATTTGCCGATTCTAGTTCCGCGGGGGACTCCGATGCAACTGCCTAAATTCCGAACACAACAATTAATCCCAATTGAAAAGCGCTTTTTTAGCTAATCGTCTCAATTATTGATTGAAATTTTTGAACACTTCGTTACAAAAACACGGTCCAACAAATATTATCGCCTCTCACTTTTGAGGACATCGGGTGATTGGGTGAATAGTAAATAAGAAGGAGGGAATAGAACTCTATCTGCACCACCTAAAATAATTTTTGCAGTTTTTACAGTTTGCAAGATATAGCCACCTTAAGTATTCAACAATTGCAATCTTTCCCGTGGTCTAACCGACTTATAATAACGAAAAATCGCATGAAACTTGGAAGTCAACATTGACACATTCTTATCAAACAGTATGCAAAAAATCGCGGCACATTTACTACTCGGCTGAGGAGTTATCCATCAATCTTTCCCCATAACAAAAATCAGTTCCCGGCTTTTTGGCACTTTTTGGCATTCTGCAAATGGGAAAAATAAATATAAAAAAGTCATGAAGATTTATATATTTTATCAATTATAGTGTCTTTATGTAATAATTTAGACTTTGATGGTTCATACCCATGTCATTTGGCAACTTGCCGACGTCTAAAGGAACTTTTGGCTAGGAAACGGGACTTGGAAGGCGAGAAAATGGTTTTTATAAAAAAAATATTCTTTGGAAATTCTTTTATTTTGCAGAATGCCAAACTCCTTTCCATTTTCGTGGTGAGACAAAAGACTGCAAGCGAGATTAATTGTTGTGGAACAATCCAAAAACAAAACACAACTTACTTTTTCCATTTTGCCCATCATCTAGAACTCATCATGCGGCAATTCGAATCAAATGTTGTCTTCTATGTCCAAAGGAACCATCTAAAATAACATATAAATTAAAAACTACATCAAAATCTAAAGAAATCTTACAAAAATTGTCAAAACTCACCGAAAATATGCCATACAGTCAAAAACCCTTGTCCATACCCGTCCCGATGCTTTCAAAATTCCACGAAAACGTCCGAAATTTCGCCACGTTGCAAGAAACGTTTCAAAAAAATTGAAAAAATATGAATGAAAATCTGAAAAAAACGTCAACTTTCCCACGAATTTGCACAAAAAACTCGAAATTTGCATATCGAAATTCACCAAAATTTCGTTGGCAATTTGCTCATTCACCGGTCGATACCCTTATCCTGGTTCAACGCGAAATTCTGTAAAGATGTCCCGCCACCAAAACACCGCTTCCAGCGACGCCGTCACCAACACGACGAAGACGCCGACTGCCTCCACCGATGCCGTCCCGGTGGTTGCAGTTGGGGTAGCCTCCGCCACCGCCGCCGTCCCGGTGGTAGGAGAAGGGTCGACGGGTGAGTCCAGTGGGATCTTGTGGGGATTTTTTGGGGGTTTTTTCGGGACTTTTTCGGGGTTTTTGAAGCTTTTAAGATTTCAAAGTCGGATTTATCATCAAAACTTCCAGAAAATCCTGGATCTTTCGATGACAAATCCGGCTTTGAATAATGTAATAGGCCTTAACTTTCTATAAGATGACTTACGTAAGCTTAGGGGCAAAAATATAAAAAATATCAATATCATCGCTGACTTGTCAAGTACAAGCTAATTTTGAAGTCAAAGACTCGAAAAAAGGAGCTCAAAAAATTGAGTTCGAGCTCAATTGCAACTCGAAATTACCTTATATTTAATTTGTTATCCACAAAATAATTTTTGGCTGGTGGGTTACTACCGTAAATCCCGCCAAAAATTACAATATAAGAAGGCCTAAGGGCCTTGAAAAATAGACTATGACGCCTTGAACAGCAAGATCCAGGAAAAATATTGCACAAAAAGAGGCAATTTGGCTGGTGAGGGATACTGTAAATCCCGCCAAAAACTATTTTTATACTGTAAAATCCGGCCGAAATTGGCCTTGACATTATGTATACGGCTCGATGGATCAATTCCCGCCCCATTTAAGACCTGGCAGATCGGTAAGTCAAAATTTTGTGCGTTTTACAGTGTTTTGAGGCCTCATGGAGAAGATGTAAGAAGGCAAAATTTTGACCGAAAGGGTAGATTTCCGGCATTTTTTGAGATGGATTGCTGTGTTTTAGACAAAATTTTGAAAAATTCCAGGCCAAAAACGTACTCGAAACCATTTTTGCGAAAAAAAAAACAATTTTGTGAAAAAATCTTTTCGCTTTTTTGACACCCCTTCAGGCAATAAAATAAAGCCAACAGCACTCATTATCTAGCAAAAATTCCGAGCTTGTTTTTGATACAAATTCCCCCTTACCCAAATTTTGCTTTTTGATCATCAACATCCCAGCCCGCAGCCTCCCAGAATACCCATTATGATTGGGCTGACATCCCTCCAAGGCCCATAAATGAAGAAGTCGATCGGTGGCCAGAACTTCAGTCCATTCACTGCTCAGATCCAAGACGACATTCGGAGGGCAAAAATCTGGAAAATCCGTCAATTTTAGTTAATGTTTTTGAAAAAATTAACTCTAATTTAGAAGCTTCATTCTCTTTCCAAATAACTCCAAAAATTAGCCCTTCCCCAAAGATTTTTGACGGATTTTCAAGAAATTTGTCATCCGAATGTCAGAATTGATGTCCAACGTTCAAAATTATGGCCTCAAACGTCTGCATGTACCTCCAGAATACCTCCAAGAGCCTAATCCGGGTCGAAGATGGATCATTTATGTTGATTGTGGCAGTTCCAGCGATTGATGGCATCACCTAAAATATTATTTATTATATAATTTACTGTATTCGTCATAAATTATTATCATACATCGTAATTTGGATTATTTTTGGAGGCAAAAATCCCAATTAAAGACTAAACCATTCTTTTTCACGGCCAAAAATAGCCTTACTTTGTGTTTTTTCCAATTGCCATCGAACACCGTCTCCAATCTGATTCGTGGACCAGGTAATAATTTTATTTTGCCTTCCTTGGCTTTTCAGTTCGTCCATGGAGCTGTTCCAATATGATTCAAAACGTCGCTCCTTGTCATGAGTCCATTTCCAATTCCGTTGGCGCCCTGAAACTTGAACCGTTACAATTGGATAAATATTCTTTTATAAATTCTAATTGTATTAATCATAACAATAAATACTTACATCATTTTATACTATCCATGTAAATTCACCTTTCTTGTTACTTTTAACGGGGTTTTCACTGTGAGACACCACCTGATGGCACGATGAACCTGCACCTCTTCCTTCGGACCAATTCAATCACTGGGCTGATTGCTGAAGATCAACGTCGAATGGACCATGTCTCCGATCATCACTTAGGTTTAGGGTCGCATTAGACTATTTCCAAGGGGTGGGGAGCTCGTCTCGTCCATGGATGGACGTTATTGATGGTGTTCTTGGCAACTGTCCTCGTTTTTCTTGTCAAAGCCTTGTTGAAAGACCTCTTGATGTGCTCTGTGATTTTCTCCAGGTGGACTTGGCTTCTCGTCGTTCAGGCTCGTCGAATTTTCGGTTGCGTGTCGCGTGGACCTTTTCAGAGAATTCCAATCAACCAACAAATACATCTTCAAGATGACAAAAAGGAACGCCAAGGCACCTACCTTCGTCATGATCACTTCAAATCAGCTCCATCTTCAGTTCAACCACCAGTGTATTAATTCTACCGCCCATTCATTCCATCTCATCAGCATCTTCACCATCAAATTTGTTTTTTACATCATGACTCCGTCTCCAATCGGAATTTTCAATTTTCGCCAGAAATTTTGGATTAGCAACCTTCAGAAATGATTCCTTTGGCCTGGAGATTATTCATGACATCAATGTCGTGTTGGGAGTGATCGAAGAACCAATGAATATCTGAAATGAAGCATTTAGAAGACCGATACAAGGAAAACAGAAATTTAAGACATTTTCGCCCATTTGACCCCTGCACTCACCTTATTTTAGCTGAAGTTGAACGTCAACATACCAATCTGACCACTTTCATCTCCATGAATCCAATCCAGCACCCGTTTTCCATGATTTCCACGTCGAAATGGCCCCAAATCACCCGGAAATTGTCCACTCGCGCCTGAACTTCACCAATCGAAAACCAATCATAATCTTGGTTCGGACCACCACCTTAAATTTGGTTCCATCTCATCTTCTGGAGTCCTTTTGAAGGATCTCCCGTTCCACGTTGTCGTTTGATCCGATCTTCGGGTCATTCAGTGTTCTGGCTTTCGAGCCGCTGTGCAGTCGCTTTCCTGATCACCACTTATTAATACGCTTTCTGGTCGCCATCAACAAAAAAATCAGCTCGGGTTTCTTGTGGTTAATACGGCTTTCGTCACCGGACTTCAAACTGGATGGTTTTTCGACGTTCTTGGACCTTTTTCTGGAGCAATGGAAAAATCTTCACGGGATTTTGAGTCAAACATGCCGTTTTCGGTCACCGTGGACTTCAAGATTAAGGATCGTCAACATCAGGATCTCCGCCTAAAACCAAAAAGGGTTACTTCAGAAACCGAATAAAATTTTTGTCGGGAAAATTGGGGGAATATGACAGAATAGGGACCTTAGCAATAGTTTTAGATTTTTTTTCATACCTTTTTTATTTTTTGACTAATTTTGGTGATTTCAGTGCTTCCCAGCACCGTAGGCCAGGCCTCTGGCCAAAACGCGGCCCGCACCGTTCAGGCCGAGTACCCGCCGGCGGTTGCGGGCTCCCCTCTGGGTGCCCATCGCTTCGGCGTCCCAGGGGGTGAGGGAGGACTTAGCATTGCTAGTCCGACCTCAGGCTCGCTGTTTTCGCGCTCGTCCGAAAACAGCGCCGGGACTTCCACGCTCCATGGAGTCCCGTCAATCGCCTCTTATGAGGAGTTTGAAGCCTATCAGGCAATGATGGCACAGAACACGCCGGAGCCAGGAGACGAAGAGAAGACCAAGCTGAGGGCGAAGATGGAAGAACTGATTGAGGAAAATCGCCAACTATTAAGGAAGACCGATGAAATGAGGAAGGCGAAGCAAGCCACAGAAGCCTTGTGGCTCTCAGAAATGGAAAGAGCCCAAAAGGCCGAAGATGACCTGGAAGAGGCACAAAGGGCCTTAAACGAGTTGAAAACCAGCAACTACCGGGCTGGAAGGAAGCTCGAAGAAGCCATAAGGGCGAAAGATGAGGCAGTGGCCGAATTGGAGAAGGAAAAAGAAGAAAAAATTCGTCTCAAACGACGTCTCAGCGATATCCTCCGTCACGCCGAAGCCGATGCCCGACCACCAAGAAGCGACCGCTCGCGTAGTCCCTTGACACGAACGACGCGATCGCCGACCACTGACGTCCAGCCTCCAGCGGAAGTCGCCCCACTTAAAGAAGAAGTGGTGTCGCCCCCTGTCCAGGATCAGGTCATGGAAGGCCATGGACCACAACATGAGGCCCCAGGGCCGCTGCGAAGGATGCCCAAATGCAGGAGGCGGTGCTGTTACCAACCGCCGCCTCCTGCGCCCCAAGTTGTCCCCCGGCCTCCCCGAAGATCAAGGGAGGTCGAAGACCTCGGGCCAGTGATCGAGCCCGTTGTCTTCGAGGAACGGCCAAGGAGAAGCCGTCAGCCCCCGGCGCGACTTGTCGTCAACATGGCACGCCGTAGCTATGCGGCGATACGGAGCTCTATCATGCCTCGTAAGTTTATTGGCTCTTGTTTTTTTCGTTTTAAGCCAAACCCCTCTAGAAATAAACCAAACTCAGGTGTTTTTTTGAAGAAAAAATACATTATCCATGTATAATCCTCAATAATATCTTTTTTCAGGCAGAAGGACGCATGCTCCGCCTAATGATGCACCTTGGTTCCTTGGATAAGGTGGAGCCAAAGATCAAAGGCCAGCTCAGACCGGAGTGAAGAAGTGGATACGGCACCCTTGCCCCCTGAATCAGCCCGGGGGGCATCTGGAATAAAAAAAGGGTGCCCCATCCACTTTTTATGGTCAATATTGGTGATTTTGGACTAAAATAAGGTAAGTTATCGTGTTGAATTTATGTTTGCCTTTTTTTCAGAATTCCCTAAAAAGGATGAACTGGGAAAGGTGGAGCACCCTAGCCCCCCGAATCAGCCCGGGGGGCCGCTGGAATTTCATGGGTGCTCACCTTTTTTCCGGTGACTGGCGCATCGAACCGGAGCACCCAGGCCCTCCGCTTCATGCGGGGGGCCCTCTGGATAACTTTACGGGTGCTCGGCTAGACCAATAAGGTAAGATTTCCTTCTGTTTTCCGGAAATTTTTGACTTTTTTGGGCTAAAGTAATATAATTTTCCCACTTTCAGTTCAAGGCCAGTCCAGACCGAAGTGGACCTGGAACCCTCGCCCCCTGAATTAGTCCGGGGGGGGGGGCCTCAGTGAACCAATCAATGAAATTGAGGTAAGCAAGATTTATATTCGTCTCCTGCGAAGTTTAGGAGTCATGCTTAGGAATTTCGGGATAATCAGCTGCACGCCGGAAAGATATATCCATCTAACACAACGTTACACAACATATTAACGTTGTATAACGTATGTTATGTCGCAATAGTTCCATGTCCCAACGAGATAGCGCAAAAATCGAAACGTTTTTCAATAAATTGTTACCTAAATTAATATAAAAGTATCCTGGAGGCAGAAGGGCAACAATTTATGAACTGATGATGTCGAGAATGCTAAAATACGCTCAGAAAGTGGCTTCTAACCCGAATAGATGTATTATGAACTCCAAATGTGATAAATATGGCCAAAATAAGTCAAATCATTTAAAAATTTAGCTAAAACCGAGATTTTTCGAGCTTAGTAGAGCAAAAATTTGCACTGACCTGCAGAAAGGTCTCATAAACAAATCTGACTAAGCATTTTCCCCAAATTTGGACTAAAATGCCGTTTCCGAGTCGATTCTTCACCACATGGTCGATACCTAAATTTCGAAAGAACGAAAAAACATAAAAACACTTACGTATATCCAAGAGATGCCTTTTATCACCTAAAGTAACCAATTCTCCAACTTCAGAAGCCATTCTCTTACTTTTACACCTTCTGCAAAACGGTTCACGCTCGTTTCTGCAAATTTATTTTGCATCTGTCCGCAAAGTTTTCCTTGATGCAGAATGCCAACCATTTCTATCAACTAAAAAAGTTCGTTTCGGGGTGTAAAAAAAACTCCGTCAAAGTTGTTAGATAAGGGAAGGGTTCGGAATCATTTTGGTCCATTCCAGGCAGGGGTGGTCAGTGGGCCGGGCCGGCCCGTGACGGGCCGGCCGGGCTCAAAAATGGAAAATTACAAACGGGCCGGGCCCGTCACGGGCCGGGCCGGGCCGCGGGCCTGGGGTTTTTTCCGGCCCGGCCCGGCCCGTCTAAATTACAATGCCAAACCGTTGGCATTCATTGTTTTCGCGCCGGGAAAATTAATTGATGTTGTTATAGTTGCTGTTTCTCAAGTTCTAAAACGTTTACAAGTCTATAGTTCCATTATAAAACCACAAAACTATCACATTGATCCTTTACTAGCTATATCAACGCCTTTTTTGCCTAAGTTTAGATCCCAAGCTTGGGCGCAGTTCGCAGAACCCTCTATAAACGGGCCTGCACGGGCCGGGCCGGGCCAGGCCCGTCACGGGCCGGGCCGGGCCGGGCCTGGAAAAAGACTAGACGGGCCGGGCCGGGCCGGTAATTAGACGGGCCGGGCCGCGGGCCGAAAATCGGAAAAATAGGGTCCGCTGACCACCCCTGATTCCAGGATGCAAAATCACACGTTTTTTGCCATTAGATCAGGTCCCTCACTAAAATTTTCTGGATGGCTAAAATTTTAAGCTAAAATTTTCTGGGATGGATTTGGGGATAATCTAAAGAATATGTGCTAAATTTGGGAAAAGTTGAAGAAGATTTTTTTGGGTTTAGTAGAAGTCAAGTATAAGGTTAAAAAGTCTAGTTTTTTGATATTTTTTTGGCTGAACTCAGAGGTTTTCTCATGTCTAGATTATGTGTCAGAGAGTGTAATCGAATAATTTCAGCACCGGCTACTTGAATTCGACGGATTTGGGACGAATTGCGTCACTTTACAATTGAGTCGATCGAGACCTTCACGAATGGACATGAAGCTGTCAAACTGACCCCGAACATGACTTATGATCATATTTTGGCCCTAATCTGCTCTTCCTCGGAATTCACACAAATTCAGGTGATTTTTTTTGGATTTTTTAAAAATTTTTTGGAAGTGATATTGATTTAGATGATTTTTTTTTATTTTTTTTGTGATTTTGACGTTATTTGTTGGAATTTCAGTGTCGCGAAACTGAAATGACCGACCTGGACCTGCTCATGTCGGAATGCATGCGTCCCCTGAGAGGCGGTGGACTGGCCGCCGTCCAATGCCTCGAATTCTCCAAATACATCAACCGTCTCTGGAATTTTAACAGTTCGTTGCGCCAGGTGGTCGACGTGTAACTGCAGAAGGACGTAGTGGTCCGAAAAATCGAAGCCAAACGAAACCTCGGCTTCCTGGACCTCCTGGATTACGACCAGAAGAAGCTGGGCGCACAGTTCAATTGTGACGGATGAATCTTGTACGGCTACTTGAGGTACATCCCGTCCTTGGATGTGGAAGCAACCATCAAACCAATCACCCCGTAGGTTTTGCAATGGATTTTTGACCTTTTGGACAGGTCAATTTGCCTGGAACTTTTGGGCAAAATAGGGGTTTTGGGATATCTTGGGGGTTTTTTTGGGCAATATGGATTTTTTGGGCAATGTGGAGAACTTTTTGGGCAAGAAGAGAGTTTTTTGAGCAAAATGGTTGTTTTGGGACAGGTTGGGGTTTTTTGGCAGAATGAGAATTTTGGGCAAGATAGAAATTTTTGGGCAAGATGGAATTTCTTTGGGCAAAGTATGATTTTTTGGGCAAAATTAGGATTTTTTTGGACAGAATGGGAATTTTCGGGCAGAACGGGAATTTTGGGCAAGATGAGAATTTTTCAGCAGATTTAAATTTTTTGTTCGAAATGGATTTTTTTGCTAGGTGTAAATTTTTGGGCATGTTTTTTGGCAAATTTGGATTTTTTGTACTGGTTGACATGTTTCGGACGTACAGGTCGAGTCATATATCAAAAAATTCGCACAATTTTACTGATTCAGAATATGTCAAAATTAGCTGTCTAATTTTGGTTTGTAAGGGCGAAAAAATCCTCTGAGCTTTTCTCGCAACACCATGAGAATGCCTTTTTGACAAAGTTTCTACCAAATCCATAGCTTTATTTTGAGCTAAAGTGAGCGCGTTTGACAAGTCTTCAAATATCACATTTGATTAATACTACACTTTAATTAATAGTTCCGATAAAAAAGGGGGATTTACATGGTGTTGCGAGAAAAGTTCTGAGGATTATTTCACCCTTACCGACCAAAATTGGGCAGCTAATTTTTTTTTATAAAATTACACAAACATATGTAATACATGTGTTTTACAGTGAGGGACCGGATCCAATCGCAAAAAACGTCTCCTTTTGCATCCCGGAAGGGACCAAAATGTCTCCAAACCCTTCCCTTCTCTAAGCTAAAAAACCCCGCTTTGAAGAGCCCGCCTTGAAGGAAAGAGCGCGCTTTTCAAAGCGGAGTTTTTTAGCTTAGATAAGGGAAGGGTTTGGAGACATTTTGGTCCATTCCAGGATGCAAAATCACACGTTTTTTGCCATTGGATCAGGTCCCTCACTGTACGTTGTTTTCAGTTAATTTTTTTATTTTTCAGAGATGCTCTCTCGTCAATACCCGCCACCGAAGAAGTAAAAGAAAGAAGAAAATATGTAAAAAAAAACCAAAAAATGAAAAAGGCCTAAAAAAGGGCCAAAAAAAGAGCCAAAAAAATGAAACGGCCAAAAAAAGAGCCCAAAAAAATTGAAAAGGCCAAAAAAAAAGAGCCAAAAAAATGAAATGGCCAAAAAAAAATAAAAAAAGGCAAAAAAATAAAAAAAAATATTTTGAAAAAATAAGAGAAAAGCCAAAAAAAAAGAAAAAAATTAAAAAAAGTAAAAAAAACAAAAAATAAAAAAATAAATAAAAAAAATTTTAAATTTACCCCTCATTGTACATGATTTGTCACTATTTTTTATTCGTATGTATAATTTATCACCATTTTTTATTCGTATATGATTTATCACCATTTTTTAACTACGTAAGTTATCGTTTTATACCATTTTAGCGTATATTTTTAATCTCAAATTATGTGATCTATATTTGCAGAAAATCATCCCGGAAAGCAATGGATCCTTGGAAAACAACGCAAATTCAACAGCATCACTCCCAACTTCGGCCCAGGACGGCACCCTTTCGCCGAGACTCAGACCAACGTCAGAAACACCATGGAATGTAAGTTTTGATGGCTTTTTTTGGTATTTGAGGAAATATTAGGGAATTCTTCTTGAGATTGTTGTTACTTGTTTTTTTGGTTGTTCTTAAATTTAATGTTTTTTTATTTTCAGATATTCGGTCCAATTTCTTTGCTGCGATTCGGATGTAAAATAAAAAAAAAGAAAAAAATAAGAAAAAAAATAAAAAAAAATAAAAAAAAAAGAAAAATATAAAAAAATAATTTTTTCCTTATCCTTTTCTTGTAAAATTTGATTTGCCTATTAGTTTACGACCCATCTCTCAAACAGTGGATCTTTGGAGCACATTTCCCGACTGCTACTTTCTATGCCTCAACTTCGGCCCAGGACGGCACCATGGCCGAGACTCAAACCAACGACAGAAACAACATGGAATGTAAGTTTTGATGGCTTTTTTTGGTAGTTGAGGAAATGTTAGGGAATTCTTCTTGAGATTGTTGTTGCTTGTTTTTTTGGTTGTTTTTCAATTTAATATTTTTTTACTTTCAGATATTGCTCCAAGATTTCACTGCGTATCCCAAATATCCCAAATGTTTACCACCCATTTTTCACTATGTAAGTTGTTGTTTCACCCTTGCTTTTAGCCTGGTTTTTTCTCAAACTATATGGTATATATTTTCAGGAACCTAAACATCACCTTCACTCTCGCCACACCCCTTTCCATTTGCAACACCCATCCTCCCCTCCCACTCGCACCGCACCCCTCCTCCGTTCCACTCCCACCACACTCCTCCCCTATCACACTCTCTTCAGAATGTAAGTTTTGTGGTTTGTTGGTAGTTGAGGAAATTATAGCGAGGGACCTGATCCAATGGCAAAAAACGTCTCCTTTTGCAACCCGGAAGGGACCAAAATGACCCCAAACCATTCCCTTCTCTAAGCTAAAAACTCCGCTTTGACAAGCGCGCCCTTTCCTTCAAAGCGGGCTCTTGAAAGCGCGGTTTTTTCAGCTTAGAGAAGGGAAGGGTTTGGAGACATTTTGGTCCCTTTCGGGATGCAAAATGAGACGTTTTTTGCCCTTGGATCCGGTCCCTCAATGTACAGATGGCTTGAGATTATTGGCAACTCTTTTTTGAGGGTTCTTCAATTTATTCTTTTTATTTGCAGAGATCTCCAAGCCCCATACAACGGATACCTTTAGAAAAGAAAAAAAAACATAAAAAATGAAAAAAAAATAAAAAAAAGAAAAAAAAATAAAAAAAAATAGAAAAAAGAATAAAAAAAAAGAAAAAAATAAAAAAATAAAAAAAAGAAAAATATAAAAAAATAATTTTTTTTAAAGTGACCCTTATCCTTTTCTTGTAAAATTTGATTTGCCTATTAGTTTACGACCCATCTCTCAAACCAGTGGATCTTTGGAGCACATTTCCCGACTGCTACTTTCAATGCCTCAACTTCGGCCCAGGACGGCACCATATGGCCGAGACTCAAACCAACGACACAAACAACATGGAATGTAAGTTTTGATGGCTTTTTTTGGTAGTTGAGGAAATATTAGGGAATTCTTCTTGAGATTGTTGTTGCTTGTGTTTGGTGATGCTTCAATTGATTATTTGATTTTCAGATATTGCTCCAAGATTTCACTGCCCTACCCCTATTGTTTACCACCCATTTTGCACTATGTAAGTTGTTGTTTCACCCTTGCTTTTAGCCTGGTTTTTTCTCAAACTATATGGTATATATTTTCAGGAACCTAAACATCACCTTCACTCTCGCCACACCCCTTTCCATTTGCAACACCCATCCACCCCTCCCACTCGCACCGCACCCCTCCTCCGTTCCACTCCCACCACACTCCTCCCCTATCACACTCTCTTCAGAATGTAAGTTTCGTGGTTTATTAGTAGTTGAGGAAATTACAGATAGCTTGAGATACTTGTCAATTTTTTTGAGGATCCTTCAATTTATTCTTTTAATTTGCAGAGATCTCCAAGCCCCATGCAACGGATACCTTTAAAAAAGAAAAAAAAAATGATAAAAAAAGAAAAAAATAAAAAAAAAGAAAAAAATAAAAAAAGGTAAAAAAAAAGAAAAAAAAATAAAAAAAGAAAGAATAAAAAAACAGAAAAAAGGAGAGGCACATCACTTCCTCTCCCACCACCACCCTCCTTTCCCTTTCCCTTTCCCCTCCCACTCCCTCCCCTTCACCCAATCATCAAAGCCTGCTTTGGTGATTAAAGTAAGTTGTTTTTTTACCAATTGTAGGCTTTTATTCTTGTTATAAGTGCGGATACTGCCAATTCTATTTTTAACATTGTCTATTTTCATGGAAACCATCAAGAATCCGTTCCTTGGAGCCCTGGAGAAGTTGGAGAAATCAATGGTGTCCTGAAGGTCTGCAGAAGATAAGAACGGTATGTTAATTGGGAGTGATCAATTCAGGAATCGGGTATTAGAAGGGGACACTAGGAACATTGTAACTGAAAAAGCGTTTAGCTGTGTAAAAGCCAGTCATGACGACATATTTTTGGATGGTTACGGTAGAGACGGGGGTTTTTCTAAACTCTGATTTTGCTGGTATAAACGGGTTAGACTTGGGTTTAAAAGCTTGCAAAATCTTGATATGTGCTGTTTTGTGATTGATCATTTTGGAATACGCATTTGTCTGCATGCTAGGATGTTAGAATGTTATGTTTCTTGTGATTTTTCGGAATAATTTCAGAATTTCTTGCTTTTTTGGGGAAATTAAGGGAATTAAAATATGTAAGAGGTCGTAAAAAGCAATCTTACACGGAGTAGTGACTAATTTTAGCCACTAATCATGTCATTATGACGATATCGTGCTACTTTTATATTGTTCATGAGATGAATAACATGAAATTTCTCACTGTTTAAAACAACTTTTCATTCAGAATGGCCACTTTTTTATGGTCGACGAGGAAGCTGGAGTGATTGAAAGCGAAGAACAAGCTGCATTCCACGGAAACGGACGGCGTCTCTGAGGATGCACAGTGCAATTGTTTGGAGGTAAGCAAAGTTTTGTTAATAAAGGGGAACTTTGGTTGATCTAGGGCTAGAAATTCGTTTGATTTTGGATTCAAAAGACGTAGATCGCCACATTCGTCCTCATGACGGATTTTATTATGGTATCCAACGCGTGGGAGTAGTCGCTTCTTTGTGAAGTTTTAATCTCTTTAGTGTAATATTTGATCATTTTGAGGGGTCAGTGGTGAAAAGCACTTTTTACTCCAGCTTCCATCCTTATTTCAAGTACTTCTCCGCCAATAATGCACCAATTTCCATAAAATTTATGTCAAATTGAAGCTGAGGTTCCCTATTTTCTGTCCACAAAATATGACAGGCCCAAGTTAACGGAGACTTCCGTACTGTCCGAGAACTCAATTGAAAATCATTGCAAAAATTTTCAAAAGTTTCACCGATTTGGGGCTCCGACATTTGGAACGAAAGTGTCAAGGGTCAGTACGGGAGCCTCCTTGAACTTGGACCCGTCATATTCGGTGGACAGAAAATGGGGTACGTCAGCTTCAATTTGACATAAATTTTATAGAAATTGGTGCATTACTGGCGGAGAAATACTTGAAATAAGGATGGGCTATTTAATTCGTCGTCATGACTGATTTTTTAGCTCTCTGGTGTAATATTTGATCGTTTTGAGGGAAAAAGTTGATAAAGACACTGTTTGCTCCATGAATTGTCTAATTTAGTGGTAAAGGACTTGATTATGAAAGATTTGTAGGGGCTTTATGTTGTTGATGAGATAGTTAAATTCCGTTTTCAAATTTTTCCATTTTTTAGTAAAACGTTGCTTTCAGGTCGCCCGTCCAAGTTTGTGTGTGAATGACAATTGGTATAAGCTTGAAGAAATTTGAGTGTGGAGCGGTGGATGTCAAGAACAAAATCATCATCGTTTGGTGTCACAATGGAAGAAAATTCAAAGGTAAGTGGCGATTCGGAATATGTGAAAGTTAGCTGCGTAATTTTGGTCGGTAAGGGTGAAAAAAATCCTCAGAACTTTTCTCGCAACACCACGCAGATGCTTTTTTTACCAATTCGAAAGCTTTATTTGAAACTAAAGTAAACCCTGGCATCCTGACAAACCTTAGCATATCAAATTTGATTAATACTACACCTTAATTAGTAGTTCCAGTATAAAAAAGGGGAATTTCTGTGGTGTTGTGAGAAAAGTTCTGAGTATATTTTAACCCTTACAAACCAAAATTAAGCAGCTAACTTTTACAAGCTCTGAACCAAAAAAATTGCGAATTTTTTGATATATGTTTTGACCTGTAACTCCATACCCCATAGAAGTTCTTTCTTTGTTAAATTCCGCGTGTGGATTACAGGGGTATTCCGATCAAAGATCAAGTAAATTAGTAATTGAATCATGGGATCGTGACAGTTTTTTTTGACCCACTTATTTTGTCTATGACATCAGGTGTCTTTCGGTTTGACGTTTTGGTCTCTAATGTGAAATCAAGGGGATAAAGTAAATTTAAATGCGATAAAAGTATATAACTACTATTTTTGGCGGAAGTTTAGTCACTATGAGCGCATTTTTTTGAGATCCCTGTGTTACTCATGAGATTGTTGAACTTATTTTTGATTTTTTAGTCTTCTAATCTCCATTTCCTTACAGATTCCTTCAAGTCCCATTAAACCTGTCCAGGCAACTTTCCAGCCCATAAGAAGAAGAAGAATCTACGATTTTAATTTTATCTTTTTGTTTCTTTTTTATTTTGTCTTGCTTGCTTTGAAAGGGGAAGGGGAAGTGGGAGAAAGGGGCGGAGAAGGTAAGTAATCGGAATTGCGCTGAATCGCGCTGATGCTGTAGTTGGGCAACCTAGGAAGAAATTCTTATTACTGGGCCGGTAGAGAGCGTACATCTTAGAGATTTATAGTTTAGTCTGGAAGTGAGGGCGCTACCGCGTTTCGGGTCAGGGGCAAATCGGGTCACGACATGTCGGGCCGACGGTACCGTTTAATATTTTTGCTTCGGGACTTGGAGAAAAGGATTTTTTGGAGAATTGGAAAAAAATTTTTAAATGTTTCGCTTCGGGACTACGGAAAAGGATTTTTTGGAGAATTGAGGTTTATTTTCGAATTTTTTTTGGAAAATGGTGTCTACAGGGTGCGCCAAAAATATTGGGACAAAAATCAATTCCGTGTAGCTTTTTTCGGCTGGCCTTGGAATCAAAACTTTTGGCCGTTTTAGCAAGGGTAACAGCCTTGCTATACGGCAACGGTAATGCCAGGGTTGGGGCCTATTGCAAACTTGAAAAAATATTCAAAAGTTTTTGGGGGACCAAAATTTTCTTTTCAAGTGGATGACCGGGAAATCAATTTGGCCATTATTTCCGCTAAGGGAAAGTAAGATCCTTCTAATTTATTGTGTATAAAACACATGCTATTCACTTCGTAACAACGTATGTAATCATGGTTGACGACCGATATGGCGGCGCTGGTCGAAAAAACAAAAAAATCCCGAAAGTTCGGATTTTTATGTTTTTAACGATCTCAATATCACAGTATCGCCCGTGTTGCTGTAAAATTTTGTGGTTATAGAGTGTGTACATAGGGAATTGTCATACTGTAAAAGAAAATCTACACCTAGAAGGGGACAGTTTCTGTATGGAAAAAACTTTATGGTGCGGATTGGAGGCACGGTCCTTCGAAACTTGATATATTTTGGCAGTTTACTACAAGTTGAAAAGTACTTGAGCGTTAAAATCGACGTAACGCTGTACTCGGGATACATGCTGACACAACTGAATTACTTTTAGCGATCTTCAGTCCAAGCTCACTTGACGAGCAACCTTAGAGTAAATTCTACCCCTGTAGTCACTATTTCATCCCCCAGAGGCAGAAAATAAAAAAATAATTTTTCAAAAACGACTAGTCAGACTCTCGTTGTCCTTATAAAAGTATCTCTGATGCCTAATACGCTGGGAACCTTACATCGAAACTTCTACATAAAAATCTTTGATCTTACGGCAGTTTTCTGGAAAACGGCGCGTTTTTAGGCCGACTTTGACGGGCTGTAAAAGATGTAATCGTCATTATAAGTAAAAATCATTTTTAGTGTATAAAAAGCGACCGCTACTCCGTCATATAAAGTGAATTTCTGCCATAGCATGCAACGGCAAAACTAGTGTTTCCAATTTTTATCCATTTTGGGGTCCGTGTCTCAGGGGCCTTAGTTGTGAGCACTTATAATGGCAGAACAGGCGTCGTATACGACTACTCTGTCTGAAACTTTGAAGATAGATGCTTGGGAGCATTGCACGTTTGCACAAGCGACCACTTTGCTCTTGTACCATTATAGCCCGCAGGGCAAGTAAAAATATGAGTCCCAATATTTTTGGCGCACCCTGTATAACCGACGAGCAAATAAGAAAATCGTATCCATTGTTTATGTGTTTAACTGGAAGCACGGGATTTAATCCCGAAGCGAAAACATTTCAAAATTTTGTTCCAATTCTCCAAAAAATCCTTTTTCCCAAGCCCGGAAACAAAAATATTAAACGGTAACGTTTAGCCGAAATGTCGTTGCCTCGAGGTGCCGTTGACCCGAAATGTCAGGATACGGAAGTGAGGGATACCTAGAATTCTTTTAGTTTTTGGCTCTGAAAGGCGTTGAATTATGGCTCGACCGAATTGCTTGTCTCCTCTGGGGCATTGGGCGTTTTCGACCTATAGGAGACTGGCACCGTAGAAGGGTAGGATGCATGCGGAGGAGGGGAATAGGACCGGGAAGAACAGCTGGGTAAGTGAGGGTTGTTTATCCTTCCTTTGTTCGGCCGTAAAAGCGCCAGTACTGTCGTCGGTATGGTATTGTTTGAATCGTGTATCAAAGGGACGTTTGGAGGTTGGAGTACAACTCGTTCCAGAAAGTGCGTGGACCTTTCGTCGCAAATTTTCCGCACTGCGTTTGACCTTTGCAACGTGGAATTTGAAAAGTCGCAGCGACGTAAGGTTTTTTTCCACTACGTCGCCGCGCATTTTGGGCGTGTGAAAACGATTAATTCCTGAAAGTTTTAGCTCGCGCTTTGCAAGCGCAGCCGAGATATTGAACGGTCTTTGCCGCCGAGAGAGCATGCGAAACGCGGAGAGCGGTCAGAGAGAAAACAATTTTTGTTCATAACTTTGCCAGTTTCGTGCGGAAAAATTTGATTTTTTGTGGAAACATTACCCTCTATGGTAGAAATAGGCATAAAACTTTTCGTGCCGAAATTCGGCAAAAAGTGTCAAATTTTCGCCAATTTTCGAACTAAAAATATCAGTTGTCTCTGCAAAGCGCGAGCTAGGATTCTCGCATAGATTTTAGAAAAAATCGCTCTAAATTTGTACCAAGTTTCATCAAAATCTGAGCGTCGCACTTGGGGTACTTCCCCTGTTAGCTGAAAGTGAGGGGTACCCTGGGTTTTTCAATCCAAATTACTTATACTCGGAGAGACGTTGGGCATTCTCTAGATTGATAATGTAGAGGGGTAGGATGTATGCTTAGGGAAGGAATAGCTCCAGCAAGGATGGTTGGGTTAATGTGGTTTTTTATTCGTTACCCGGCCGTAAAAGCGCCATTTCTATCGCCATTGTATCGTTTGAATTGTGTATTGAAGCCAAAAAATGGCAGATTCTACAGCGAAGGCAGGGATTCAGTCCCGAAGGCATAACCAACCTGCCACTGGTCAACGAGTTCCCGTGATCCGCTGGCCATGTCTTCGACTTCCAGACCCGTAAGACCGGCACTCTCCATTCTTGTTCCTCCGGCTGGCTAGCCTCGGATCCATTGCAAATTGGGCAACCGGACGCTTGGCGGCCCTAGAATTTTCTCGCCGTTAGCGGAGGAGTTCTACCTTCTGGTCGAAACAGGTTTTGTGGAACACTCCCACAATAGCGTAGAAAAAGCGGTTCGAGAACGAACGTCTTGGACAGAACCCGGATTTACAGACAAATGACCGACATCCCAGTCTTTAACACGGCGGTATGAGCCGCGAAACAAGCGGAATTTTCGGGGTTCGTCGTGTATGTACATTTTCTTCCAATACTGAATTGCGTCCAAGTCGACCCTACTCGGGAAGATGCAAGAGGCTCTAAAGCTGGGAATCGGCGATGTGGTGATCCCTCGACTTGTTTTTGACGCCGTTAAAAACGGAGAATGGACCAAACTGTTTGGCCAAGTCGGCGAACCAAAGCAGTTGTTCCCAGCGGACGTCTACGACGAGATTATTGCGCCAGCCTGCCTCTACGTTCGGATACACAATCGTTCGCCTGGCCCAAGGTCTCGGACCTCGCAATTTAATTTTCGTTTGGATCTCTAATATTATTTTTGGTCGTATTTTACGAAACTCTTTTAGCATAGAACAATTAGACATCTGAAAGCTTTTTCTCTTCAAATTGCATGTTTTAAATTCTCGCTTCATAAATTTTTGCCACCTTTCTTCAACTTTTGGTGCAATTTTACTTTGTCGTCATGGTTACTATAACAAGCTCGTTTAGATCGACCACGACAAAAAATGTTCGAAGAATGTTCCTCGACGAAGGTGGCCCAGTGGTGCCAACTGCTAATCCAACCCTTGAACCGTTCTATGGCCTCTATTCGGATGATGCGTATGGAGATGCAAATCGAAAACCAAGAGACGTATAATTAAAATGGGATTTTATTGCGAATAAATTGTGCATACAGTCGTTTCGTGGAAAAGATTCGAAGCTTTGAGGATGAAGTATTTGGAGAAGGATGGTTAAAGCAATATAGTTTGCTCATCCTCCTCTTCCGACGTCTTGTGGCCAGATCGGAGCCAGAGATGAGCGGTGGGAACGGCCCTGATCGCCTTTTCCTTTGGTCAGGAAGCCCTTGAACTCCGGCCGAATCACTAGGACAATGCTGATGTTGTATTCTTTCCCTTGGGCCAAGTCTCCAGTGTTGCCTAGTATAATATCAGAGTGTTTCGCCTGGGACGGGCGTAATTTGATTCCAAAAAAGATGAAACTTGCCGTGCTAAAGTCTTATGCGGTTACCTTTCGAATGGTATATGTCTTGTCAATTCACTCCGTCATCACTAATTGACCTTTTTTTAAAACCGGTGCCTAGTATAATATCAGAGTTTTTCGCCCAGTGTGGGCGTAATTTGATTCCAAAAAAGCTGAAACTTGCCGCGCTAAAATCTCATGCCATTACCTTTCGAACGGTGTATGTCTTGTCAATTCACTCCGTCATCACTAATTCACCTTTTTTCAAAACCGGTGTCAAGTATAATATCAGAGTTTTTCGCCCAGTGTGGGCGTAGTTTGATTCCAAAAAGGTTGAAACTTGCCATGCTAAAATCTTAGGAGGTTACCTTTCGAATAGTGTATGTCTTGTCAATTCACTCCGTCATCACTAATTCACTTTTTTTCAAACTGATGTCTAGTATAATATCAGAGTTTTTCGCCCAGTGTGGGCGTGGTTTGATTCCAAAAAAGCTGAGACTTGCCATGCTAAAATCTTAGGAGGTTACCTTTCGAATGGTGTATGTCTTGTCAATTCACTCCGTCATCACTAATTCACCTTTTTTCAAAACCGGTGTCAAGTATAATATCAGAGTTTTTCGCCCAGTGTGGGCGTAGTTTGATTCCAAAAAGGTTGAAACTTGCCATGCTAAAATCTTAGGAGGTTACCTTTCGAATGGTGTATGTCTTGTCAATTCACTCCGTCATCACTAATTCACCTTTTTTCAAAACCGGTGTCAAGTATAATATCAGAGTTTTTCGCCCAGTGTGGGCGTAGTTTGATTCCAAAAAAGCTGAGACTTGCCATGATAAAATCCTAGGAGGTTACCTTTCGAATGGTGTATGTCTTGTCAATTCACTCCGTCATCACTAATTCACTTTTTTTTCAAACTGATGTCTAGTATAATATCAGAGTTTTTCGCCCAGTGTGGGCGTAGTTTGATTCCAAAAAAGCTGAGACTTCCCGTGATAAAATCTTAGGAGGTTACCTTTCGAATGGTGTATGTCTTGTCAATTCACTCCGTCATCACTAATTCACTTTTTTTTCAAACTGATGTCTAGTATAATATCAGAGTTTTTCGCCCAGTGTGGGAGTAGTTTGATTCCAAAAAAGTTGAAACTTGCCATGCTAAAATCATAGGAGGTTACCTTTCGAATGGTGTATGTCTTGTCAATTCACTCCGTCATCACTAATTCACTTTTTTTTCAAACTGATGTCTAGTATAATATCAGAGTTTTTCGCCCAGTGTGGGCGTAGTTTGATTCCAAAAAAGCTGAGACTTCCCGTGATAAAATCTTAGGAGGTTACCTTTCGAATGGTGTATGTCTTGTCAATTCACTCCGTCATCACTAATTCACTTTTTTTCAAACTGATGTCTAGTATAATATCAGAGTTTTTCGCCCAGTGTGGGAGTAGTTTGATTCCAAAAAAGTTGAAACTTGCCATGCTAAAATCTTAGGAGGTTACCTTTCGAATAGTGTATGTCTTGTCAATTCACTCCGTCATCACTAATTCACTTTTTTTTCAAACTGATGTCTAGTATAATATCAGAGTTTTTCGCCCAGTGTGGGCGTAGTTTGATTCCAAAAAAGTTGAAACTTGCCATGCTAAAATCTTAGGAGGTTACCTTTCGAATAGTGTATGTCTTGTCAATTCACTCCGTCATCACTAATTCACTTTTTTTCAAACTGATGTCTAGTATAATATCAGAGTTTTTCGCCCAGTGTGGGCGTAGTTTGATTCCAAAAAAGTTGAAACTTGCCATGCTAAAATCTTAGGAGGTTACCTTTCGAATAGTGTATGTCTTGTCAATTCACTCCGTCATCACTAATTCACTTTTTTTCAAACTGATGTCTAGTATAATATCAGAGTTTTTCGCCCAGTGTGGGCGTAGTTTGATTCCAAAAAAGCTGAGACTTGCCATGATAAAATCTTAGGAGGTTACCTTTCGAATGGTGTATGTCTTGTCAATTCACTCCGTCATCACTAATTCACCTTTTTTCAAAACCGGTGTCAAGTATAATATCAGAGTTTTTCGCCCAGTGTGGGCGTAGTTTGATTCCAAAAAAGTTGAAACTTGCCATGCTAAAATCATAGGAGGTTACCTTTCGAATGGTGTATGTCTTGTCAATTCACTCCGTCATCACTAATTCACTTTTTTTTCAAACTGATGTCTAGTATAATATCAGAGTTTTTCGCCCAGTGTGGGCGTAGTTTGATTCCAAAAAGGTTGAAACTTGCCATGCTAAAATCTTAGGAGGTTACCTTTCGAATGGTGTATGTCTTGTCAATTCACTCCGTCATCACTAATTCACTTTTTTTTCAAACTGATGTCTAGTATAATATCAGAGTTTTTCGCCCAGTGTGGGCGTAGTTTGATTCCAAAAAAGTTGAAACTTGCCATGCTAAAATCATAGGAGGTTACCTTTCGAATGGTGTATGTCTTGTCAATTCACTCCGTCATCACTAATTCACCTTTTTTCAAAACCGGTGTCAAGTATAATATCAGAGTTTTTCGCCCAGTGTGGGCGTAGTTTGATTCCAAAAAAGTTGAAACTTGCCATGCTAAAATCATAGGAGGTTACCTTTCGAATGGTGTATGTCTTGTCAATTCACTCCGTCATCACTAATTCACTTTTTTTTCAAACTGATGTCTAGTATAATATCAGAGTTTTTCGCCCAGTGTGGGCGTAGTTTGATTCCAAAAAGGTTGAAACTTGCCATGCTAAAATCTTAGGAGGTTACCTTTCGAATGGTGTATGTCTTGTCAATTCACTCCGTCATCACTAATTCACTTTTTTTTCAAACTGATGTCTAGTATAATATCAGAGTTTTTCGCCCAGTGTGGGCGTAGTTTGATTCCAAAAAAGCTGAGACTTCCCGTGATAAAATCTTAGGAGGTTACCTTTCGAATGGTGTATGTCTTGTCAATTCACTCCGTCATCACTAATTCACTTTTTTTCAAACTGATGTCTAGTATAATATCAGAGTTTTTCGCCCAGTGTGGGAGTAGTTTGATTCCAAAAAAGTTGAAACTTGCCATGCTAAAATCTTAGGAGGTTACCTTTCGAATAGTGTATGTCTTGTCAATTCACTCCGTCATCACTAATTCACTTTTTTTCAAACTGATGTCTAGTATAATATCAGAGTTTTTCGCCCAGTGTGGGCGTAGTTTGATTCCAAAAAAGTTGAAACTTGCCATGCTAAAATCTTAGGAGGTTACCTTTCGAATAGTGTATGTCTTGTCAATTCACTCCGTCATCACTAATTCACTTTTTTTCAAACTGATGTCTAGTATAATATCAGAGTTTTTCGCCCAGTGTGGGCGTAGTTTGATTCCAAAAAAGTTGAAACTTGCCATGCTAAAATCTTAGGAGGTTACCTTTCGAATAGTGTATGTCTTGTCAATTCACTCCGTCATCACTAATTCACTTTTTTTCAAACTGATGTCTAGTATAATATCAGAGTTTTTCGCCCAGTGTGGGCGTAGTTTGATTCCAAAAAAGCTGAGACTTGCCATGATAAAATCTTAGGAGGTTACCTTTCGAATGGTGTATGTCTTGTCAATTCACTCCGTCATCACTAATTCACCTTTTTTCAAAACCGGTGTCAAGTATAATATCAGAGTTTTTCGCCCAGTGTGGGCGTAGTTTGATTCCAAAAAAGTTGAAACTTGCCATGCTAAAATCATAGGAGGTTACCTTTCGAATGGTGTATGTCTTGTCAATTCACTCCGTCATCACTAATTCACTTTTTTTCAAACTGATGTCTAGTATAATATCAGAGTTTTTCGCCCAGTGTGGGCGTAGTTTGATTCCAAAAAAGCTGAGACTTGCCATGATAAAATCCTAGGAGGTTACCTTTCGAATGGTGTATGTCTTGTCAATTCACTCCGTCATCACTAATTCACTTTTTTTTCAAACTGATGTCTAGTATAATATCAGAGTTTTTCGCCCAGTGTGGGCGTAGTTTGATTCCAAAAAAGCTGAGACTTGCCGTGATAAAATCTTAGGAGGTTACCTTTCGAATAGTGTATGTCTTGTCAATTCACTCCGTCATCACTAATTCACTTTTTTTCAAACTGATGTCTAGTATAATATCAGAGTTTTTCGCCCAGTGTGGGCGTAGTTTGATTCCAAAAAAGCTGAGACTTGCCATGATAAAATCCTAGGAGGTTACCTTTCGAATGGTGTATGTCTTGTCAATTCACTCCGTCATCACTAATTCACTTTTTTTTCAAACTGATGTCTAGTATAATATCAGAGTTTTTCGCCCAGTGTGGGCGTAGTTTGATTCCAAAAAAGCTGAGACTTGCCGTGATAAAATCTTAGGAGGTTACCTTTCGAATAGTGTATGTCTTGTCAATTCACTCCGTCATCACTAATTCACTTTTTTTTCAAACTGATGTCTAGTATAATATCAGAGTTTTTCGCCCAGTGTGGGCGTAGTTTGATTCCAAAAAAGCTGAGACTTGCCATGATAAAATCCTAGGAGGTTACCTTTCGAATGGTGTATGTCTTGTCAATTCACTCCGTCATCACTAATTCACTTTTTTTTCAAACTGATGTCTAGTATAATATCAGAGTTTTTCGCCCAGTGTGGGAGTAGTTTGATTCCAAAAAAGTTGAAACTTGCCATGCTAAAATCTTAGGAGGTTACCTTTCGAATAGTGTATGTCTTGTCAATTCACTCCGTCATCACTAATTCACTTTTTTTTCAAACTGATGTCTAGTATAATATCAGAGTTTTTCGCCCAGTGTGGGCGTAGTTTGATTCCAAAAAAGTTGAAACTTGCCATGCTAAAATCTTAGGAGGTTACCTTTCGAATAGTGTATGTCTTGTCAATTCACTCCGTCATCACTAATTCAC